AGCGCGAGGCGCGGCTCACGCGATGGAGAAAGCAGCGCTGTAGAAAGCACATGCCCGAACCACATGGCAATCCGCGCCGCGGCGAGGGCCCGCGCAAGAAGCGCCGCGGGTCAACACGTGGCCGCGGACCGCGAGGGGCGCGCCATCTGCGCACGGACCAGGACGGCGTGGGGCGATGAGAACAGGGCGGAAGATGCAGGGGCAGGAGAGGCGCGAACACGTCGAGAGAGGGGGCGCTTGCGCCGGGGCGATGCCCTGGCACAAGCACTTGGCAGCGAGAGGGGTGTTGGCGCGGCCAGCGGCGCGGTTTCGAGCGCACCTGCCTGCGGAACTTGAAGTGGCTGCCAGCACACCGCCCCAGACGTGACGACGCGAGCTTGCCTCGCGGGCCGAAGCGCGCGCCAGGGAATCTTCCAGTCCTCCACTGGCATGAGGAGGCACTGGCGCTCCAAGAGGACCTGTCTGCGCACCGGGAGAACGATGGAGCTCTCCTTGCTCCCGGGCCCTCCTTGCGCCCATCACGGGGGCTCCAGGACCGCCCCTTCACAGCCGCGAGTTCAGACCATCATATCTCCAGCGGAACTCGCGCCCGCGAGGCGTCACCCGCCCCTGGCACCACCGTCCGCAGCTCAAAACTCAGAGGCGGCCCAGGTCCGCCCCTCCGCGGCCCACCGGGTGCACGACGCCCTTCAACGGCCCCGCTGGCACCACGCCACTCGTCCACTCGCCGCGCTGCGCGGCGCTCTCGTAGCCGGAAACGACCGGGTGGCCCGCGGCGGTCCGCTTGCTGATGTCGGTTGTGTGTGCCCGACGTCGCGACCGCGTGCGACGTCTTCCGCCTCTCTTCGGGGTTCCGCCGCGCCGTCGCGAGCGAGAATCCCGGAGTCGTCGTGGCGGACCGCCCGATTTCCTCAGGGGGCCCACGTGGCGTCGCGCGCTCATTGCGACAGTAGTCCTGCTTGAAGGCGCCGCCCTCGGAGCACCATGGCGGATTTCGGCAAGGACCAGAACGCGCGCAGCATCTGCAGGGCTTCTCCGACCATTGCTCGGCGAGAAGTGGACTGCTCGCCTCGCGGCCGCCGCGCAGCAGCCCGGGCAGTCGCCAGTCGGTCACTGCCGACGGGGGCCTCTGCCCAAGCCGTCTCCTCCGGGCGTGATCGCGAGTGAGACGCCTCCGGGGGGGGTCAGCCTCCGCACCGCGACCTCGAACTCGTTCGGCGCCGCGGGCTGCGAGCAGAAGCAGGCCAGGCGGCGCGGACAAGAAGGCACCCACCTCGCGCCGCTGTCCTTCCTGACCAGCACCGACCGCGCAGGCCACACGTGCTGGCATCGTTACCATCGCGGTGCGCGGGCATCCGCGGCATGTCGGGCGGACTCCAAGGCCACGACGGCACACGCGATGTCTCTGCGCATCTCCAGGTGCACACGCGCTCCTTCCGGGTCGTCCGCAGCCCCTCGCCGCCCGCGTCAGCGCGCGAGGGTACCTCTCGATCTTCTGGATGCGCCTGTTGTTCGCGCGCGTCTGCGTCTCCGTCGCTCGCGGCTTCACCAGCAGCGCCTCCGCCCTGTCCACACTGCAGGGTGCGCAGGGGGCTGGCCAGCTCGTGCATGACGCCACGCTCGACGAGGCGCGGTTGTGGCGGGAACATCTAGCCCGCGCAGCCCCGCCCTGCGCGCTGGCGCGGGCGCAGCTCACGGACCAGGGCGTGCTCCTCGTCTCCGCGTGCCTTGCGCTCCAGGCCGCGCGCCAGGTGCTATCTCCGGGCACGATCCGGGACAGGAAGCTCGGCACTTTATGCACCGACGCCGCGCTTCTGCGCGTCCGCGATGCGCTCTTCCTGGCGCCGCAGGTGGGCCACTCCAGCGGCGCGATGGACGGCCCCGCCGGCGCGTGCCACGCGCGCGACGGGGCCGCGGCGCGGCAGCAGCATGTCGCCAGCTCACATACGCGTGACGCGAACCCAGGTGCGCGCCTCGAGCTGCTGCCGGTCTCGCGCACCACGGGCCCACATGCCTGCCTCAACCACCGGGGGTGCCTACCCGCCCGCGCGTCGCGCCCAGCATAGCGCTGTCCGTGCGCGTTCTCTCGCAGGAAGCTCGATCAATCAGCGGGTCGGTGTCGCCGCGCCAGAGCGAGCGCCCCCGGAGCTTGCCCGCCGCGCCGACGTGGTGGCGGTGACCAAGCTCCTGTGCGCCGCAGCACTGGACGTGCCGCTGCGCTACCTCACCCCGTGCCGTCGTGCGGCGCTGTGGCGGAACAGCGAGCCCTCCGTCGCCCGGGCCATCCGCACGCTCGCGGGCGGCTGCGCGACGTTGGGTGGAGAGCAGCTTGGGAGGGGCGCCGGCGAGGGCGCGGCGACGGTCGACAGGGCGCGGCTCGTGTCAATTCTGCGCGATGCGGCGCAGCGGGGCTACCTGCCCTGGCAGGCGGAGCTGCCGGAGCTGCTGGGGCAGTGGCTGGTGCTGGAGCTCACTGCGGGGCCCTTCGGAGGGGTCGACGTCGGCGGACGGGCCCTGCGAGTTCTCCATCTGGCGACGGGCGCGCCGCCGCCGGGCGCGGACAGCGCCTGGCCGCGCTGCAGGCGACGCGACGCACACACGCAAGTGGTCGCTGAGGCCCTGCTCCCCGCTCTCATCGTCGCGACGGACGCGCCCAGTCGCGGCGCCGGCGATCGGGGCGGCGGCTCGGAGCCACCACCTGCGCCGCCGGGCGCGTCCAGCGGCGCCACCATCGTCGCCAGCGCGCAAGAAGCGACTCGTGCAACAAGCCTCGCCGCCGCCGCCGCCACCGTCGGGCAGCCGCGCGCGGCGCACGCGGAGCACCGCCTGCACGGAAAGCGCGCGCGCGACGCCGACGATCCGCCAGCGCGACACCCGGCGTCCGACGACGACGCCCAGCGGCGCAGGACCGGCAGCGTCCGGGAGCGGCCGCACAGCCCGCCGGCGCGCCCGCCGCGGCGCCCCGCGTCCACGCCACGTTCGACCTCATACCTCGCGATGGCGTGGCAGGAGCTCGACCGCGTCCTGGACATGCTCGACCAGGGCCTGCCGCCCGCTGCTGCTGCTGGTGCAGCTGCCGTGCCGCCGCCGCGGCGCCCAGGACCAGTGCCACGCGGCGACGGGGGTCCGTGCGCGAGCGGGACCGGTGCCGCGGTGCGCCTCCTGATGGAGCGCCTGCGCGAGACCGCGTCGCAACTGCGCGTGGCTGTCGGTGCACTGGTCGACGACGAGGAGGCGGCCACTTCGTCGGGCTGCGAGTTCGAGATCGCGTGCGTCGCGTGCATGGAGGACTTCGACGCGCAAGGCGAGCGCGCGGCGGTGAACCTGCCGTGCGGCCACGCTGCCTGCGCCAGGTGTCTGGCGCACATCATGGGGTCCGCAGCTCTCCGCAAGGCCTGTCCGACGGTGCGTCGACGCGTGACGAAGAGCGCACGGCCTCGAGGCCGCGAAACCTGGCGCGACGGCGCGTTTCTCTGATTCCCACCCTGCTGCTCTCCGCCTCCTCCCCGACGCAGTGCAGGGCGCCGTTCGGGGACGCGATCGTGCCGCCGACGCGGCGCACCGGAACGCTGGTCGCGGCGCAGCGAGCCGTCCGGCGCGGGGACTGGCACGAGCTGGCCCGCGTCTGCACGTGCGTGCTCTGCCGCGAGGTGCCGCGCGGCGACGCCCTCCTGCTTCCCTGCGAGCACGTGCTGTGCCTCGGATGCGCCCGCGAGGTCGCGGCGCCGCCGGAGAGGCGCGGTTGCAGAGAGGCGCCGCCACGCCTGGACGCGCGACGGCACGTGTGCCCGCAGGCCGACTGCTGTGCCGACATCAGTGCCTGGCTGCACGTCAGCGACCCCAGGCCGGCGGTCGCGCTCAAGGTGCGCTGCGCGACCGGCCCCGCGACACAGTAGCGGCGCGACGTGCGATCGCGAGGCAGCGCGCGTCGCGTATGCACGTCCAGCAAGGCCGTAGCCCTGCACCCAGCACCACAAAAAACGCACGACGTCGACTGGCTGCAGGAGCTGATGGAGCTCGCGAGGACGCGGGGCGCCGCCGTGTAAGCCTGGACGATTCCCGTGCGGACGACACCGATCGGTCGACCGCTGGCTGACATGTCGCTGTACGGTTGCAGTCGCCGTGCGTGCGCCGCCCCGCCGCGCCGCCGTCATCAGGCCACCCACCGCCTCCCGCCTGCACCGCGAATCCCCCCCGCAGCATCTGGCACCCCGAAGATGTCACAGGGCCTCAGCAGCGGACGGGGCTGCTGCATGCCGCGGCGTGGCACTATCCGAACGTAGCGGCGTCGGCGGCGCCTCGGTGTGATGCGTACACACGATGTAGTCACTCGGTGCGGACAGCGCGCGAGACATGGCAGCGCATCAATGAGGCACGGCGTGGCGTCGAGGCGCGGCGGCCGGGGGCGCTTTTCTGGTCGCCTCACCGGACGTGGCGTGCGGCCGTCATACCCCCCCTCTCGTGTAGTAGCCCTCGTCTCGCGGCGCCGCGGGCACGAAAGGCCCGGCGAGCGCCGCACGTCGTCACTTGCGGCGTATCTGAGAAACAGAATTGCCGAGAGGATAGATAGTTCGTTGCGTTTGCGGTCCTCAGGGCCGAGGTATCGAGAAACAGGGTACGGCCGAGAGCGCTTGCCTGCCCAGGCGCAGGTGCAGGTGCGACGCCCAGCTCGCTTCCCCGTTAGGTTTCAGCCGTTCCTTTCTCTTTCCAGCCGCGTGTCGGTCGCATCGTTCGGTGCCGCGTCGCACGGGACTCCTAGCCGAGCGAGGCAGCTAGGCTTCTCGCCGTGACGGCCCGCCGGCCGTCGCGCGGGCGCCACCGCGGCGCGAGACGCATGGGAGCAAAGAGGCGAGGCGCGCGCAGGCGCAGCCCCTGCCGGCGGCGCTCGCGCCCCCGCGGATTAGCACCTCAACCTCGTGCACCCCCCCGAGCGGCCAGTGCAGGGCGCCCCGGGCTCTTGAGGGCGCTGCGAGAGCGGCCGCGCGCAGCCCGGTATCCAGATGAAAGTGCTTCAGCTCTTCAAGAAGAAGGAGAAGGAGCGCAAGCCCCGGGAGCTCCCCGACGCGCTCCGCCTAGGTGCGAACCTCCGCCTACCGCGGCGCCGCGGCACCTCGCGGCCAACCCCGCCGCCCCCCTCGCCCTCACACATCTCGGCGGCAATGCTCCGCGCCACATCGCGCGCCGCGCCGCCCCGCGGCCGCCCCCTCGACCTCACCACCCGACCCACCTTCCCGCGCGCGCACCCACCGCCGCACCGCCGTCGCGACCGCACCGAAACGCACCCTCCGGTCCTTCCCACCTGCCCACGCGCGCGTTACACGCCGTATCCCCTCGAAACAGCACGCACTCGCCGTAACTGCCACCTGCAACGTACCTTCCCCGCAGGCGCGTCGGACCTGCACGTCCTCGAGAAGCGCGGCACGCAGACCGTCCTCGAGTCGCACCACTATGCCGCGGAGGACGCCGCGCAGGACCCCTCGAGGCCGCAGGTGCGCCGCCTGCTGCCCACGGCGTTGCACTCAAATCCCCGGCTCCCCGGCCCGCGCCGGCCGCCGGAGCGCCCTCGCGCCGCGACACGAATGCCGCGAACCAGCAAGACCCAGATTCGCGCACTCAATCGCCGCGCAGGTCTCCCTGCCGCGGATCCCCGGCAGGGCGCCCCAGCAGGCCCCGCCCCCTAACTACCCGCGCGGGGAGCTCGTGCGGCACCGCGCGGAGCCCGGGCAGGACGTGCGGTCGTCGTTCGTGTCGTGGCACGTCGTCGGACACGCCTGCCCGCCCGACGTGCTCCGCCAGGCCTGGTCGGTGCACCAGTTCTCCCCCCTCACGACCCTAGGCAAGGGCGCGAAGTCCCGGGTCTGGCAGGCGAAGGACCACGTCTCGGGCCGCACCGTCGTCTTCAAGGTACCTCTCCCGTCCGAAAGCGCGCCCTCGCGGCCCGGAACCGCCGCGCCCCGCGCCGCGGATGCCACTGCTAGGCCTCTGACCACCTCTCCGCGCCTCCCGCGCCCGCGCAGGTGTACGACCTCCGGCGCATGCAGGCCGGCGAGATCGACCAGCTCGAGCGCGAGGCCGAGGTCCACGCGAAGCTCTCGCACCCGAACGTGCTGCAGCTCTGGGCGGCGTTCCAGGACCAGGTGGCGTGCTACTTCCTGCTCGAGCGGGCGGGCGACGACCTCTACAAGCGCTACCCGACGCTCCCCGCCAAGGACGAGTCGTACCTCGTCCGCAGCGTCGTCGCGCCGGCCCTCCGCGGGCTCGCCTACTGCCACGCGCGCGGTGTGCTGCACCGCGACATCAAGCCGGAGAACTTCATCTTCGGCGTCGACGGCGAGCTCCGCGTCGCGGACTTCGGCTTCGCGATCGACACCACGCGCGCGCGGCCCGTCACGCGCCTCGGCACGCTCGAGTTCATGGCCCCGGAGGTGCTCTCCTGCGGGCGCCTGCCCGACGGCTCGACGCTGCGCCGGGAGGACCGCGAGCCGTACGACGCGGCCGCGGACGTGTGGTCGGTCGGGTGCATCGTCTTCGAGCTCTTCGCGCGCCACACGCCGTTCGTGCGCTCCACCAAGGAGGCCACAACTGCCGCGCTCGAGGCGTGCGACTACACGATGCCGCGCTGGGCGTCGCGCGAGGCGCAGGACTTCATCCGGCGGACGCTCGCGCTCGACCCGCGCGCGCGGCCGTCGATCGCCGAGCTCCTCGACCACCGCTGGGTCGTCATGCACGCGGGCCGCTCCGCGCAGGGGGCGGAGGCCGCCTCCGAGAACGTGCGGCGCAGCCTGCGCGTCGACGCGAGCGCGAACGCGTTCATCGGCCAGGAGCCCACGCCCGGGTCCGAGAAGCACATCTCTTTCGCGGGGTCGGCGTCGTCGACGGTGCTCGGAGACCCCCCCGTCGCGCGTCCGTCGCAGGCGCCGGAGCCGCAGGCGTCGCCGGTCCGGCCGGGGAGCGCGCGGGGCAAGGCGAGGGCCCAGCAGGCGCTGAACACGCTCGTCGAGAGCGAGGAGACGCTCGCGTCCGCGGACTCGCTCAAAGACCTGTTCCCGAAGAACGTCAAGGCCTCGCTGCTGCTGAGCGCGGTGGCGCGCGCGGGGCGGAAGAACTCGGGGGAGTACTTCCGGAAGGTGTCGCCGCCGCGCGCGAACCTGGACTCGGTCGACGAGCACGCGCCGTCCGCGCACGGAGCGCAGGGGGCGCGCGACGCGCAGGAGGAGGAGATCGGGGACCTCGCGCGGCGCGCGGCGTCGATGTCGGTGGGCTGGCTGTCGCGGCAGAACCGGCAGTGGAACGCGCGGCCGGCGGCGGCGGCGGCGGCGGTGCCGGCGGAGGCGGAGGCGGAGGAGGGGGAGTGTGTGCTTGGCGGGGGGGAGTCGGTGCTGGGCGACGGCGTGGGGCCGGTGCGCGACACGCTCACGCGGGCGGCGCTCGCCGCGCGCGGGTCGCGCGGCGCGGGCAGCCCCGGGAAGCGCCGCTCGACGGACGCGTCCGGCATGATCTGGATGGGGAAGACCCCCCGGTGCTCCACGGAGGACCTCAACACCCCCCTCGCGCGCATCCTCGCCCGCAACCGCGCGCCCAGCGTGACGGCCAAGTGCGCGCAGGTCCTGCGCGACGCGCCCCCCGCGCGCTTCCGCGTCATCTCGTACGGCCTGCAGCAGGCCTCGGAGACCTCTCAACACAGCGCCGATTAGGCCGCAACGCCCGACCCTACCGCTGGCGACCTCCGCGCAAGCGTGCGCGCTCGCGGCACATCCGCTCGTCTCTCGTCTGCCACGGCGAACTTGTTTGAACCCCCTTCACCCCCTTGACCCCGTTCACCCTCCCCTCTTTCTACTTTCTACTTTTAACTACTTTTAACTTTTTTCTTCCTGCTCCTCCACTCGGACCTTCCCGACATGGGACAGCAGAACTGGCGTCGAGTGCCGCTTCTTGTTGCGCTTGACCCGAAATACGTCCGCCAGTGCGCCGCGCATTCCTCGCCGGCTCGCGCTCCCACCCCGTTGGCTCTTTTCTCAACCACACCACCAGCTGCATCTCTCGCCGTCCTCAGGGCGCTGCCCCACCCACGGATCATGCCACACAATTGCCTCATCCAGCGCACACAGCCTGCCTGTCTCTCACGGACCACGCTCCGAAGACCCGTCACACCCCCCTGCGGGTCGGCACGCCCCCCAGTAGGTACTCACAGTATCAACAACCCCCCCCCAGGCTACATTTCGGATCCGCCCTCTCCTTCCGGGCGCCCCTCGAACGCCCGCAGCTGCACGGGCGCTTTCGCTTGTCGCAGCACCCGCTTTTTACCTCCCGTTGTCAACGCGGGAGGCCACGTCCTCTTGCGAGCCAGTGCGGCGCATGCGCCCTTGCAATCGTGAACGCGGCCCGCCGCCAGCCGCTGGCGGCCCGCGCGACCCCAACACAGACCGCATCCCCGCTATAACCCCCCCCGCCCTGACATGACCGGCGCGGCTCAGACTGCCCCGGGTGTCACGGCGGGAACGAGCGCGCCCGCCTCTCGAGTTCGAAGCAGAGACGTTGAGACTCGGCCACGCGCATGCCCCTTCCTGCGTGATCTGAAGAGATCCATGAACGATGCGCACTAAGTTAATGAAACAATAAATAAATAAATACTCATTCAGTAGTTGTTTGTGACGGAGTTTCCGATCGTTCATGCTGCGCCGAGCAAGCACGTCTCGCCCGCAAGTCGCCCCGTTCTCTCGCCGCGCGCCACTCGCCGCCCCTCGTCCGATACCGAGTCGTTCCAGGGCCACACCAACGTCGCGACGCTGCCTGGCAGTGGCCCGTGACATCCGCCGGCTCGTTGACGGACGTTGTCGACGTGCGGTGCCGGCAGTGGAACGCGGCTCGGGGACCTGAGCCGCGCTGCACTCCCTTACTTCTACTGACGTGGGGGGGGTCCTGTGGCACAGTGAGTCTGGACCGCGGCGCCTTACGCGCAGCGCAGCGCCGCTGGGAGGCACTTGCGAGACAAGCTACGCGCGTGCGGGCCGCCGAACCATTCCTCCACGCTTCGTCTCAAATCTGCGAGTGGTTGCAGTTTGCCGCAGCTCCTCCACGGGGCTCTCGCGCGCGCTCCTGGCCATGCCTCGCAAGCGCAGGGCGGTCCGCGACGACACGACCTCGGAGGAGGAGTCGGGGTCCGACGGGGACGCCGCGCCGCGCCCGCCGCCCCGCAGCCGCGGGAAGAGGACGCGCGCCACGCCCGCTGCGGGACAGGACGGGCCGTCGCAGCCCCCCCGCGCGAGCGGCGGGGACGCCGGGAGCTCCGAGGACGGCGAGGCGCTCCAGGGCGAGGACGCCGCGTACAGGACCGCGGTGAGTGCGCCTCTCGCCGCGAGAGAGCGTGCGAGGGTGCCTGCTCATGAAAAGCGCGGGGCCGACGCACGTCCGTCGCCACCCGGCGTCGCCCGCCCGCGAGGCCGCGCGCGCAGCGCCGCAATCGAGCTCTCTCGCGACTCAGCGCGCGCTTCGTGGCGCACGCGGCCGGAGCGGGCGGAACGGAGGCACAGAGTGCATGCTGGGCAACGCCCAGCGCTCACCGCGCGCTGTGCGTCCCCACCGCGATGCAGCTGCAACGGGCGACCACGCGGGCGAACGAGGCGGCCACGCAGTGCAAAAAGCACCTCGAGAAGATCTCTGAGCACCAGAAGAAGAAGTGCGCGCCCTCCCGGTGTTCGAACCACCCTGCAGCGCTGCGCCCGCCCCGCGCGATACAGAGCGCGGGGCCGCGGCGCTCCGCCCCCGGCCGCGCGCACGCGCTTCCCACGTCGCAATCTTCGTCCTGCGCGGGGTTCGAGGATCGGACGCTGTCTGCGTTCGCGCAAACACGCGGCATTCTGTTTCCCGCCGTGACGCTGCGCAGGCTGGTCGAGGATGTGGCGCGCATGATCGTGTTCCGCGCCTCCTCGAAGCCGGAGCAGCCCATCATGCAGAAGGACATCAACGACGTCGTGAGGCACGTCCGCCCGCCCACACACCCGCCGCGACCCAACCCCACGCCTGCGGCAATCGACACCGCCGTGGCGCGGAACGCGCCCGCGACGAACCACGGAGAATGTCTGAGTTCGCACGCCGCAACGCGCCCGCTCCGCCGCCCCTGCGCTCGCAGCGGAGCCATGGCCAGTGGCGCCGGTCGCCTGGCTGTCTCCAAGTGGGTTCTCCGGCGCGCCGCGCTGGTCCTCCTCAAGTCGTTCGGGTACGACCTGGTCGAGTTCAACATCAACAACTCCTCCAAGGCCTTCCGCCTCGCCTCCACCGTCCCCCGCCCGCTCCTCGCCCGGCACGTGGTGCGGCCCGGCGAACGCGCCGTCGCCGGCTTCCGCCGCGCCGTGGTGTCGCTGCTGTGGGCCGAGGGCGGCAAGTGCGACGTCGGGGAGCTCGCGACCCACCTCGGGCAGCTCGGCGCGGCGTTCACGCCCGCGCGGGTGAAGGCGACCCCGGGAGCGCTTACGGCGCACAGCAGGGCGGGGGCCCGCGACGCGCACAGGGAGTTCGGCGCGCCGGTGGAGGCGCTGATCGAGGACATGGTGCGCATGAAGTGGCTCGCCGTCGAGGACTACCAGCGCCCTGACAGGTCCGGAGAAAACACCCCCCAGTAGAACACGCTGTTTCTGGTGCCGTGCGAGGCGTCGTGCCTGTGCTTGCGCCGGGCCGCCGCGCGAGGCGTCATGCTGAGCTGGGCGGGGGGTCGGCGCGGGGTCCGACGGCCGTGCGGCGCGCGTGTCGGCGTGTGCGTGCAGGTCGACTGGTAAGCGGCTCGCGCTCGCGCCGACGGCGATGGAGCACTTCGGGGGCGAGAAGAAGCTGACGGAGATGACGACGAAGGTGTTCCGCGCCGCGCGGGCGTCGTGAGGCGCGCGGCGCCCCCGTGGGAGGGCTGACGGTGATGACGCAGGGAGGCGAGTGGCGCAGAACTGGCGCACGGGACGCGGAATGTGACGCGGAGAAGCGCCGTGGCGCAGTCCGAGCGCGCGCCGTCAGGCCCCGGGGGCGTGGCTGCGTTGGCCACGGGGGGGGGTGTCCCTGCGTCAGGTAGAACCCCCCCTTTGCCATGTGCGGGGGACTTCGCCGCCGCGGGGGACGGTGCGAGCGCAGATCGGACGGATCGGCACGCCTCCCAGTTGCAGCGTCGTTGCCTCTGCTCCACCGTCGTCGTTGACCACGTCGCCGCGGAGCACCTGGGCCGCGAGCACAACAGAGCTTCCATCCATCGCCGCGCCGCCTGCTGCGCGCGACCCGCGACGGCCACGCGCCGCGCTGAAAGGAGAAAGCCACCCGCACGAAGAACCGCCCGCGGAAAGATGGCGGCTGCTCCCGGGCCGGTTCTGCTGGCCCTGAAGGGCGGAAAGCCCGTGATGCCAATTCCGCTCGATACCGGCAAACCAGGGCCTCTCGTCATCGGCAGGTGCGGCCCCGGAAGCCTGTGTTGTGTTCCGCCCACGGGGCGCAGCAGATGTCTGTTTCGCGCCGTGGACGACGCGCACGGCGCTCTGAGGAGCCACAGCCCTCACGCCCAGCACCCCCGCGCGCCGACCGCGAAACCAGCCGATACGCGCCTCACGAGCATGTACTGCCATGTCAAACGTGTCGGGACGTGCGATTGCGCTCGGAAAAAAGCTCGTTCCGGCTCGCGCGGCAGGGACGCCCAGGCTGGCCCCAACAACGCCGAACATCGGCCCCGTCCGCCTCGTCAGCGCCGCAATACCCCCCCCCGCCCCCGCCGTGCAGGAGCGACGACTGCGACGTGATCCTGAACAACCCCGCCGTGTCGCGGCGGCACTGCCAGGTGTCGCTCGACGCGTCGGGGGTGGTGACGCTGTGCCCCCTCGGCAAGGCGCCTGTCCGCGTCAACGGTGTCGAGATCGCGGGGCCGACGCAGGTGCAGAACGGCGACGTCATCGCCGTGGACCAGCTCGGCAAGCCGGCCAAGGAGTTCCGCGTCAACCTCGCGAAGCAGTCGCGGAGGAAAGGTGCGACCAGCGCACAGCACGCGATGCGGTCTGTGCGCCCGCACCGGCCCGTTCTGCCCCGAACGGTCCTGCGAATCGCGTTTTCTGAGTGCAGGGAAGGAGAACACGCCCCGGAGGGGGAAGCGGTCTCAGTCGTCGCCGGGGCCGCGCCCGCCCCTCGCTGTCAACGACGCAGGCAATGCGGGGCCTCTGGCGGCCGCGGAGCCCGACGTGCCGGACTCCCCCGACGCCGGCGGCCCCGCACGCACGACGCCGCTGTCGCGCCGCGTCTCGGGGCCGATTCTCAAGCCCTCGCCTCCCCCAGGTGCGCTCCACACTCGTGCTTTCCCAACTGCCAGCCCCCTCTCCACCTCATATCTAACCCGCACCGCACCGCACGCCGCCTCACGACCCGGCACTCCGCGCCCTCCCCCCCGCAGTCTCCGGCACAGTGTCGCGCAGCCGCGCCAAGCGCCAGCGCGACGCCTCCCTGGATCCCCCCCCCGCCTCCGCCCCCCCGGCACCCAGGCCGGCAACGACCGTGCCGTCGCCGGACGACGCGCCGCCGGCCAAGAAGCGCGTCTCCTGGGCGCCGCGGACGTACATCCACACGATCCCGAACCGCGCGAACCGCACGTCGCGCGCCCTAGGGGATGTTGACATCACTCTGTCACAGGCGATGCCGCCGCCGAGCCCCGCGGGGAGCCCCGTCGGGAGCCCGAAGGCGCGGGGTGCGGAGGCGAAGGCTACGCCGCGCAAGGGCGCGGCGGGCGCGGCGGCGAAGAAGGAGAAAACACCCCCCAAGTCGGACAAGAAGGCCCCCCCGGCGGCGAAGAGCCCCGCCGCGGCGCGCAGGGGCGCGAAGACGCCGTCTCCGGCGCCGGCGAAGGCGGCGCAGCCGCGGAAGTCGCCGCGCGCGTCGCCCGCGCCGCCGTCGGCGCCGCGCACCGGGGGCAGGGCTCCGCGTCAGACGCCCAACACCTCGGGAGGGGTGTTGCCCCGTGCCGCCGAGATCGACGCCGCGGACCTCGCGGGGCGCCTGCTCGACCTCGGCGGCACCGTCGACGGCGCCGCGGAGGTCGTCGTCGAGGTGCACGTGCCTGACCCCTCCCAAACAGCGGGGGGGGTCTCGCAGCGCAGCGCGCCGCGCACGACCCCGCGCGGGCGCGCCACGCCGGGCTCCGTGCAGCACAGCTCGCTGGCTGCGCCGGCCACGGGCGGCAGCGTGTCCGTGCGCCTCCCCGCCTCCCTCTTCGGCGGCGGAACAGCGGACGCACAGCGGTCGGCGGCGCGGCCGCGGCGCGGCGCGAGCCCTGGCGCGGTGCCGGCGAAGGTGGCCGCGAAGACGCCGGAGTGGCAGAACATGGTGATCAAGGTGCCCGCGTGGGCGGTGGAGCTCGCGCGGAAGCGGCGTGTGGAGGCGCGGGGCCCCGGGGGGGTTCGGACGGGGACCCCCGCGTCGGCGGTGGGGGTCAGCCCGGGGGAGTTCACGGTCCGCGCGGTGACGGTCGGGTCGGCGTCGACGCGCGGCACGCCTGTGGCGGGGAGCTCGGCGGTGCGTCGCAGCCCTTGACCCTATCAGCATGATCATCGCCGCCTCCTTCTCTGCTGTGCACCACCTGTCACGCACGCGCATTTTCGCCGCTCGGTCGATGGTGCCGTGCGTGGGCGGTCGACCACATATATATATATATATATATATATATATATATATATATATATGCAGCAACACGTCTATCTGCAGCAATATGACTATTCCCTCGTGCTGTTTCGACGATTCCGAGTCGTTTCATCATTCGATGCTGTGCAGAACGGATCGATCTCGTTCAACCTCTCCCTCTCGTCGATCGGCGCGTCCGGGCGGCGCTCCTCGCGGCCCTCTGGCGGGCCCGCCCGCCTGTTCCCCACTCCCCCCCCGGGCGTCCTCGAGGCCTCCGAGGGCACCCCGCAGCTCACCTTCGGGCGGCAGGCGCGCTCCACCGCGCTGCCGTTCTGCGGCCTCACGCCCCCGGGCGCCGGCACGAGCAGCGGCGTCTTCATGCCCCCGGGGGAGTCCTTCCAGAGGTCCCCCTCCCTGGCGCTGTGTCAGGACCCCCCCGCGGAGCGTCAGGCCCCCGCGCCGGTGCCCGCCGTCGTCGAGCTCCCCGGCGAGGCCTTCCGCTCGCCGGCCCCCGCGCAGGGCCGTCGCAGCAGCCGGTCTCCCCCCAAGCAGCAGGGGGGGGTGTCGCCGGCGTCCCCGCTGCCGCTCGCGGGCGGGATGGAGCTGACGGTGTCGCCCGGGCTGTTCTCGCGGAGCGGCGAGGCGCTCGTGGGCATCGCGGCGCCGCAGAACACCCCGGTGCTGGGCCCCAGTGGCGGCGGCGGGTCTGCGGAGGACCAGGGGGGGGAGTTTACTCTGGTACTCCCCCGTGAGCTGTTCGAGCTGGAGCGCGACGAGGACGTGGTGGTGCAGATCCCCGCGGAGCTCATCGCGGCGCAGGGAGGAGGCCGCGACGACGGCGACGGCGACGGCGACGGCGGTGAGGAGGAGCCTGTTGTTGACGATGAGCCCGTGGCGGCTGAGACGTACGGGGCGGACGACAGCGGCAGCGAGAGCGAGGAGGAGGAGGCTGAGCCGGAGGCGGACGCGATGGATGTCGACGACGCCGAGGGCGCAGCGCTGTGCGGCGACGGCGGCGGCGCAGGCGCCGGGACGGTGCTGTACAGCGAGGGCACGGTGCGGGCGCTGCGGCGCGTGGCGCGCCGCGAGGCTACGCGCGCGAACGCGGCCGCTCGCACCGCCAAGCGCGCGACCACGCGCCTCGCGAAGGTCGCCCAGAAGTATGCAACAGCCAAGGCCATGATCAAGACGCTGCGCTCGCAGCTGCGGTCCGCGGTAGCAGAGGACGTGGACGAGCCCTCCGAGGACGCGGACGAGCCCTGCGAGGACGCGGCGGCCGTGGTGGAGGCGCCCGCGGCGCCTGTCGCGCCGGAGGTGGACGGCGCAGGAAGGGGGGTTGTTGTGGTGCGGCAGGGGCGGAGGACGAGTGCGGCGGCGCCGAGCGCCGCGGTGCGCACGGGCGCGTGCGTGGTGGTGCGGCAGACGCGGAGCCGCAGCCGGAGTCAGGGCGGGACAGTCGGGACCGCCACGCCGGCGTCCGCGCGGGGGATGCGCGCGGGCGCGGGCGCGGTCGTGCACGCCAAGGAGCAGCAGCACGCGACGGTCGAGAAGCCCGGGTCGCGCGGCGCGGCCGCCGGCACACCGGCGTCGGTCAGCCGGAACGGGCGCTCGATGTTCGCGACGCCGGAGCGCGCGGGCGCGGAGGACGGAGCCGCTGGCGAGGAGGCAGTTGCGTCCGCGCGGCCGGCTCTGCGGTCCCGCTCGCCGCCGGCGCGCAGCGCCCGCACCGCGACGCCCAGCGACACGCCTGCGTCGCCTGGCCTCGCGCTGACGCCGCGGAGGTCGGCGTCCAAGTCCGCACGGAGGTTGAGCGCCGCTGCCGAGGACGCCGCGATGGACGTCGACGGCGCCGAGGGCGCGGAGGGGGGGGTTGCGGCCCTGGCTGACAGCAGCGGCGATGACGACGTGTGCTTCGTGTGCGAGGCGTCGGAGGACGGCGACGAGCTGCTGCTGTGCGACGGCTGCGAGAATGCTGCGCACCTGGGGTGTGCGGGCCTCAAGCGCGTGCCCCGCGGGGAGTGGTACTGTCAGCCCTGCAAACAACGGCGCAGGAAGGAAGCTGCTGCGAAGGCGGCGGCGACGCGGAAGGCGCGCGCGGGCGGTGCGAAGAAGTGAGGGAGCGCTGGTGTTGCGGCGGGCGTTGAGGCGTTGGTTTGCGGTCGATGTGAGGGGGGGGTGACTCAGGGGGGGTGTGTTGTGAAACCCCCCTGTGGGGCGTCGAGTGGTCTATGGTGGGGCCGCGGAGTGCGTGGGGTGTAGAGTTGTGCGCGGTCGCGAGGTGCGGTCGAGTGCGCAGTGGTGATAGTGCGTGCGGTTGGTGACGAGATAGGATTTGGTGTCTGGAATTCGCGTTGCGAAGTTCGAGATGTGGGGGTTTCCTGGGAAGAAGCATGGCAAGGAGCGTGTTCACTTGAAGCTGGAGGACATGCTCGCCGAGGTTCTGGGCGCGCGCGACGCAGCACCGGACGGCAAGCGGCAAGAGGAGTCGTCACCGAGCGCAGCCAAGGAGGAGCGGAGCGACGGCGTCGCGGAATCGGGAACGCAGTACCATCAGCACATCGTCGACAGCTCGGACAAGTTCCTTCTCGACGTACAGGACACGGTGCGCCGCCGCCGTCTGTCCCGCACCGGCCACCCCCACAGATCACCCCAGCATTGCCTTCCGTCCGGTCGCACGCTGCCGCGTTACCGAGTGCGCTTCGCCACGGACGATCCCTGCGTACAGATCGACAAGTTCGGGGAGGCGGCGGAGCGCGAGGTCTCGCGGTGGAACCGGAAGGCCCGAGAAGCCCATGACAAGCACCGCCAACTGGCGGAGAAGTCCGCGAGAGAGGTCTTCGGCAAGGTCTACCAGCAGTTCCTCGACCAAGCCGGCGCCGCGTCCCCAGAGATCCGCGCCCGCGGCCGCGTCATCGGTACGGCACGCCCACACAACATGCACAAGTACCCCACCGAACCGGCACCGCCGCGGCCCCGCGACGGCACGACACGAGCGCAGCACGCGCCGGCCTGTGCGGTGCAGGAGATATGATCCTGGATGAGCTGTACTCGAGCATTTTGGGGATGGAGCGGCGGAAGCCAGCGCAGAAAGCGGAGGCCGCTGTGGCGCCGAGTGGCGGGCCGGAGCGGGTGTCGACGCAGCCGCAGGAGGGCGGGCAGTACCTGGGGCGTGCGGCGGACGGCGAGGCGGAGTGGCTGGCGGAGCCGTCGGACTGGGAGTCCCAGGCTCAGAAGTTGCACGGAGATAGGGATTCGAGGACTAAGAACGGCGGGGCGAGCAAGGGCGAGAAGGGCGCGGGGGGCGGCGGGGAGGGGGCGGGCGAAGGGGCGCAAGGGGTCGATGGCGGGAAGGAGGAAGACACGCCACTACTATTTAATATGGTGCGTCAGCCGCGCCATATTTGTTTTCCTATATTGGACGATTTAGGTCGTCTATCTTTGTGGAATCCCGGCATTCGACGCGGCATGCGCACTCGTGTTGCGGACTAGCCGCCAGCGCGTCGACGAGCCTGTCGAGGCGACCGTTGCGCTGGAGCGTGGCCATGCTGGGGCGCGAGGAGACGAGCCGTACCACGCGCCCCGCGCTGTGTCCCGCAGGTCGCACCGTGGACGGATCCTGTCCTCGGACCCTTCGTGGAAGGTGAGCGAGGGAGACCGGCGCGGAGACCGCAAGCCTGATCTCTCGTCCTCCGAGCGGCCTCGCCCGTCGCAACGTCGCGCGCGTTTTCACCCCGTCATTCGCGCAAAACACATTTTTCCTCTTGTCGGCCGCGCAGGGCTGTGGGAGCCGTTCGACGAGCAGGTGCAGGGCATCAAGCGTACAATCGTGGTGGCGGGCGCGACGCTCAGCGTGACGTGTCTCGCCACGGGCTTCTTCCTGGGGTACCTCAAGGGGCGCAGCGACAGGAATAACAAGTAGGATGGACGGCCGGACGCAAGCGAGGCATTCGCATTGCCACATATTATGCAATACCATAATGGTATTGCGCCAGTGGGTGCTGTGGCCTCGTTCGGTCAGGGTGCGGCCCGCTTTGGGGCAACGAGCAGATAGGTGAGCTGTGTAGATCCGCGCCCGCGACGGGGACCTCCGGCAATCCCGGACTGCGCAGCCCCGGGCCGCTGCACCTGCCCCGCACGTTCGCGCCACCAAACCCACGCGCCACCATACTTCAGCGGTTCTGCACTGCAGAGCAGTGGGGGCCACGCTCGCAGTCAGATCCGTGGCCCAACGCACCGCCAAAACGCCGAGCTCGGTGGCACGTGGGGGGTACAATAGATGCAGAACCTCCTGCGACAGCAGAAACACCCGGAAGGGCGGCTGCCCCGCATCGCGTCGGACCTGCTCACGCGTAGTTGTAAGGGACCCTCGCAGCAGCCATGTGCTCGGTCGACGCACGTGGACACGTGTCAGGCCCAGGTTCTCTCTCCCCATGCACCCGTCACGCACCAGCGCCACTTGCAGCCTAGGTCAGCGGGTTACAAGCCGCGCAGACGGAGGCCCCCGGGCGGCACCCACCAGAGCGGTCCGCTCTCGGCTCCTACACCCTCGATCCCTGTCCCCACGCACCACCACTTGACACCGACCAGGCATCAAATCGGAACGCGCCGTTTTTCACAGATGCCGCCCGCCTCACGTGCGCGCCTGCTGCAGCGTGATCTTGTCCCCGAGCGACAGCGCCATTCCCTGCGTTTTCGACCGGATCCTAATACTCCCCCCCAGCTTGCCGTCGTGCGGCTGCTGCTCCACCGACACGTTGATCAGGGCGTCCTCCCCGAACACCGACCGCGCGTACAAGTTCGCGGCGAGGAAGGTGCAGTCCCCCTCGAGCGCGGACGCCGGCGTGAGGCACCGCATGTTGGTCGACGCCACGACGTGCTCGATGAACTGCCGCGCGTCGCGGATCGAGGTATTAATGACGACCTTGTTCTCCCACTCGAACTCGGCCCACATGTTCCGGAACGCGACGTCCGGGCACGTCGCCGGCGTGATGTAGTCCATGATGTCGATGTGGATGTCGTTGAGGACCACCACCGTGCGCTCGCCGTAACCCTTGGCCTCGTATACGATGTTGCCGAAGATCACGCCCGTCTCCGTGGACGACACCTTGATGTTCGCGCGGATGTGCTTGCGCTCGTCCGGCGCGAGCGTGTGCTGCTGCGGCCGCTCGACCAGCTTGAGGTCCCCCAGCGTCGCCAGCTCCAGCGTGACGTTCTGCATCACCTGGCGCGTCCGGTTCGTCACCGCGACGTCCAGCACGACGTCGTACTGGTGCACCGTCACCTGCGCCTCCGCGTACACCGGGTCCGACAGCCCCGTCAGCTGCACCGTCCGCGGCGCCGCTTTCGGTGCCGGCGCGGCCCAGTCGACGGTGGCGTCCGAGTCCTCGCTCGGCAGCTGCGCCGCGCGCGCCCGGAGCTGCGTGAACTCGATCGCGTCGTCCGGCTCCGACGCCTTCGCCCGCGCCGCCTGCCTCATCTCCTGTTCGTCTCTCTGGAGTTTCTCTGCCAGCATCGTGTCGAGGGCCCTGCGGCCCGTCTCGAGGTACAGGGCGCTGGTCTTGGGGTCCGAGGTCGACAGCGCCGCGATTGCGCCCATGACCGCGCTCGCGGAGTCCGTGTCGATCGGGTGCGCGGCGCCCTCGTCGCGCCCGAGGCGCACGACGGCGGCGAGCATGCGAATCGTCGCGGCGGCGCGACGGTTCGTCTCCGGGCCCGGCCGCGCGTCCCGCAGCCGCAGAATCAGCTTCGCGCACGTCGACGCCACCACCGCGCCCACGAAATACTCCCCAGCGAGCAGCATCGCCCGCAAGTTGTGCCGCGGCGGCGCCTGCGCCGCCCCGCCGCCCACGTCCGGCAGCACCGTCTGCGTCGCGTACGAGCCGTCCGGGAGCACGACCGTCCTCGTCGCCGGCTGCGCGCGCCGCCCGCCAGGCGCCCCCGGCGCCGCCGCGTCCTCCTCGCTCTCCGCCGCGATGGGCGTCGGGCCGACGGCGTCGTCGATCGCGTCCAGCGCGCGCACCGCCGCGTCCGGGCCGTCGCAGAACTCCCCGGCCATCCACAGCGCGGCCGTCGCGACGCGACCCGACTGGATCTGCCCGAGCGTCGCCAGGAGAGCGTCGAAGATGCTCCCGCGCAGTCCCGCGTTCGTCGCGGCGACCTCGCGCATGAAGTGCGCGACCTCGAGCGCGGACGTCGTGCTGCTGTCGCCCAGGAAGTCCATCAGCATCTGCACCACCGACCCGGTCACTTCCGGGAACCGAACCGCGCACTTGTGGATGGCCTGCACAAGCATCGTGCGGTACTCCGCAGACCCCTCCTCGCCGCGCGTCTGGCTGCGCGCGATCTCCTTCTTGAGCACCGCGAACACCTCGTCCACGTTGCGCTGCGTCACGAGCTCCATCGCGAGCCCCAGGACCTTGGCGCGCACGTCGAGATTGGGCGACGCCAGGGACCGCAAGAGGTCCATCAGGGCCTCGCGGACGATGTCGCGGTGCTTGCCGAGGAGCTCGTGGAGGCGGTCGAGCAGGATGAGCTTCACGTTGTTGTCCGACTGACTCAGCAGCAGCTGGCAGTAGCATTGGACGCTGGCGCGCACGGCCGTGGGCGCGTGCGAGAGCTGCAGGAGCGTGCCCGCGGCCTCGTACAGCGCGCCGGGGGACGGCGCCTGCATCATCGCGAGGATGAGCGGGATCAGGCGGCCCTTCCACGCCGCGTCGCTGCGCACCGCGCGTCGCACCGTCTCCAGCGCAGCCACCTGGAGGCTCTCCGGCCACGTCGCGAGGCCCTCGCCGGCCTCGAGGAGCGCGTCCGTGGCGCGCGGCATGTCGTGGTTGGTGAGCAGCGCGAGGGCGTTCCGGCGCGCGCCGGGGTCCTGTTCCTGACTCAGGAAGCTCGCGATGACTTCGCCGATGTCGGGGAGCAACAAGTCGCCCTTCGGGAGCTTCGCGATGGAGTCGAGCGCGAGGACGGCGTTGCGGCGGACGTACGAGTGCCGGTGCTCGAGGTTCTGCGCGGAGCGGGCCGGCCGAGGGGCGATTACGCGTCAACTTGTGTACTATGAAAAGGGGTCGCCCGAGGGCGGGGGCCGCGGCGGATCGGCGCGGGCGGGGGCGGTGGGGAGCGTACCGCGATGACGGAGGGCACGAGGGGCTCGAGGATCTCCTCTTCGTGGATGCGGCAGAGGAAACGGAGCGTCACGCCGCGCACGTACTCGTTGGGGTGCTGCAGGTTGTTGCGGAGGTTCTGGCAGACGAGGATCTGCGAGGAATTGGGGGGGAGAGAGGGAGCTTGAGGCGTGGGAGCGGTTTCGGCGCGCCAGGGGCGGGCCGGCGGTGCGTGAGAGGGTGCGCGGAGTGGGTGTTGCGGCGTTGCGGTCGGCGCGCGATTGTAAGGGAGCGGTGGAGTGTGCTGGGAGGATGTATGGTGTGAGAGGAGGGCGGGTGCGGAGTGCGGCGTCGCTGTGTGGTCGAGGGTGGCCGGGGCGCGCGGGCGCGGGTGGGGTCGAGGTGGGCTCCGCTGGGCGCCGTGAGAGCCGTGACCGGAACGTCAGTCGTGCCATGCGAAACGAGGTAATGTTTCCACGCAAGCGGCGGGCGCCGGACGACGGGGCACGCGCGCACGGCGCGAAAGCAGGCGCCAGATTGGACCCAGGCGACCCCGGTGCGTCTTCAGCGCCTCGTTTCTCGCGCAGGTCAGACCGCTCCTCCACGAAAAGAAGCTCGAGCGTCAACAGAAACCGTCGGGGTGCGCAACAGGGTTCGAGGCGCGCGGGATCACGCACCATCTCCGGCAGCAGCTTCCCAGAGGCATCGGTGCGCTTGATCGTCTCCATGTAGAGCAGCAGGAGCTTCTGGATCTGGTGGTTGTCGCTGGGGAGGAGGTACCTCACGATCGTGATGAACAGCTGCGGCAGCTGCTCGCCGTTCAGCATCATGGCGATCACCCTGCACGTTGCGCGGACGGGCAGCTGCCTGTTACGCGGCCGGACGACGCGCACACGCGCGCCAGCCTCCCCCGGTGCATCGGACACTACACTGCGGGCCCGCTGTCGAAGCCAGGGGACCGCGAGCCGCTTGGAGCGGCCGGGAGATGGCCCCAGGGCACACAACGAAAGGCGGGTCGTGAGAGGCCCGTGTGCACGCAGAGCGGGCCGGGGCGCGCCTGCGAAGAGCTTCGATCCTGGCCGTCGTGTCGTCCGACTCGAGCGCGGTCTTGAGCTCGTTCACGCTCATGGGGCGGTCGAAGTGGACCAGCATGGTGCACGAGTGCTCCACTGCGAGCGCCGCCATCGTGCCGAGCTTTCCTGGCTCCGCAAGCGCGGCACAGCTCCTCGAGAACGACCCCGTCCGTCTCAGGGACTGCTCAGACCTATCAGCGCGCTAGGGATTCCACGAGCGCTCCTAGACCAGCAATCTATGACTCCCGCCGCGCGTTTCCGCCTTGATTGGCCGCCGCGCACGACTCAGTGCGACAGGCACGCGTCCAAGTACCGGGGTTCGCGCACAGGGCCACCTCACAGCGGCGGCACGGCCCGCCCTGCTCCGCACACCTCTTCATACCCTGCTGTCAGCCTCAGGCTGACAGTTATTCAAGACTCAAGGGTCGACTGCGGCTCCAGTCAAACCCGCAAGAGCGCCCGGCACGCAGGGCAGCCGCATCGCGGACAGCCGCCCCGGGGCGTCGCCCCTGGTGATCCTTTCCTCACTTGTTAATACTAATAGAAGCACCATGATGTAGTTGCGGCCCACAACTGGCCGGGATTCCACCGAGGCGGCGGTTGCTGGTGGCCACGCCTGCGCTGCGGTCGTGTGGAACGGCGCGCCGTCGCCGCGAACAACACTGCAGGCCGAACTATGACACTTAGAAGCTATAACTATAACACTTAAAAGGAACAGGTTGCAGTCAGCATACGCGATGTCTTGAGCTTCGTCCACCTCCCCGCCGGCCAGCGCCGCGCCCTCCGTCCCGCTCAACACGGCGCTGAATCGCATTCGCATCACATCGGATCAACCAACTGAACAACGGCGTGTGGTGTGTTGCGGCACGTCATCACCCGCGGCGGCCCACGCTGCCGCCGACGGGCAGCGCGTTGCGCATGTCGCCGCCGAGGGTCGAGGCGTGCCGCTCCAGGGCCGCCTCCTTGTGTCGACTCGACGCCATCGCGCCTGCGCGCCGCGCCACTCGGTCAGCGTGCAACCGCTGCTGCTCGGCGAGCTCCTGCTGCATGTCCTCGCGCGACATGCCCGCCATCGCGGACAGCCGGCTCGCCTCCTTCTCCATCCACGACCGCATCCTGCGGCACTCACAAAGGGGGGGGTCGGCGGGGGAACGAAAGAGCGTCGCGACCGGCACGGACCCGGCACGTCATGTTCGCTTTCAGGGCAGCCTGAAGAGCGTGAGTGCTGTTGCGCTTCTGCTCACCTGGTCGACGCCATGCTGCTCGAGGACCGAACGGGCGCCGCGGGGCGCGGCGTGGCCTCGGCGAACTCCTGCAGCGGGTCTAGCGCCACAACCGACCGCACCTTCGCGAGCACGCGGCTCGCGGAGAAGCCCCCCGGCCCCACCGTCGCGCCCCGCGCCAGCGGCGGCTGCGGCACGCCCGAGTCGCTCACCGCGGCCACGGCGGCGCCGAGCTTCTCCGCGCCCATCGTCCGCGCGTGCCGCAGGCTCATCTTGGACGCCACCAGCGCGCGCGACGACGGCGGCGTGCGGGGCACGCCGCGGAACGAGCTCTCGCGCACGGCGTCGTGCCGCGCCTTGACCGCCCTGCACTTCTCATAAAACGCCCGAAACTCCCCGTCCAGGGGGTGCGTGTACGTCGACACCCCCGTCGACGCGTCGTGGTAGTACTCGTTGCCGTCCTGGTCCGCGTGCGACGTCCAGCCGGCCGGCAGCGGCGCCGCGAGCGCCCACTCCGCAATGTAGAGCAAATCGCGCTCCGCCTCGGGGTCCGCCATCCCCAGCACGGTCCGCGCGTAGTCCGCGACCGTGTCGGGCCGCGGCGCCGCGCGCGCGCCGTGCGCGTCCTCGGCGAGCGCCGCAACCACCGCCTCGTGCACCGCATCCAGTTTGAGTACTTTGGCAGTCGAGAGCACCTTCCGGAGCTCCGCGCGGTCGCGCGGGAGGAGGAGGCGGGCGGGCGTGGTGCCGCTGGGGAGGGGGAGCTCGCTGACGCGTTCGGACTGGTCGAGGAAGTGCAGGGCGTGGCGGAGGCCGGAGGGGTCGACGCGGCCGTGCGGGCAGCGGTCGACGAGGACGCGGCCCTCGTGGTCGGCGTGCACGCGCCAGTCGCCGTCGACGAAGACGTTCCAGAACCACGACTGCGGGACGGGTGTGAGCGGGGGTTTGCCAGTGGTGCCACCACTGATGTTGTATTACTATGGTGAGCCTCGAGGCTCTCGGGGGACCGAAATAGATAGGAAAAAGTGGACACCTTGGTCGGTGTCCGGTGTCTGCCCACACAGACAAACAGATATGATATGCGCGAGTAAATGCGATGAACATATTCTTATCTTATGTGTAGACAGGGTCGCAGACGGTGTCTGAGATCGCAATCGCGAGAACAAGCATGTTCCACGTGCGCACCTGCGTGCCCGCGGACAGCAGCGTCAGCACGCGCGCCTCCACGATCTGCCCCCCGACCTTGAGCTGCACGAACGCCGGCAGCTTCCCACTCAGTACCTCCTCCTCCGGCGCCTGCGTCGCCAGCGAATCCTCCAGCTGGCTCGCCGCGCCCGTCGGCGACAAGCTCGCGATCAGCAGCGGGTTCCGCTGCGGCCCGCCGTCCGTCGTCTGCGACTCCATGCTAGGGCGCGAGCCCGGGCCGGAGCTCTCTGCTTTGCTCGCCAGGGCGTCCGCCTCGGCGGCCGCGGCCGCCGCGTCCGCCTCCGCCGCGCGCGCGAGCTCCGCCGCGCGCCGGCGCTCCGCCTCGGCGAGCTTCCGCTTCTCGTCCGCGGCCACCAGCTCCGCCTGCGCAGCCTTGAGCTCCGCCGCCGCCGCCTCGCGCGCCGCCTCGACCTCCCGCCGCGTGCGCTCCGCGGCCTCCTTCATCTCCATGAGCTGCCGCTGCTCCTCCGCGACGCGCGCCGCCACCGCCGCCGCCTCGCGCGCTGCCTCCAGGTGCCGCTGCGCCTCTGCGCGCTCCCGCTCCAGCCGCGCCTCCTCTGCGCGGGCCTCCTCCTCGAGGCGCTTGCGCTCGGCGGCGGCCTGCGCTTCCGCCGCGCGCCACTCGCGCTCCGCGGCCTCCCGCTCGGCCTGTGCACGCTGCACCTCCGCCGCCGCAGCCTCGCGCGCGCGGCGGGCCTCCTCCTCCGCGCGCCGCGCCTCCGCCGCCGCTCGCTCCTGCGTGTACGCACCGCCGAGCGAGCCGCAGAGGTCGGTTTCGCCAACCACATGCTGCTACAACAAATCAAATCAATTATGGATTTCCAATCAAACGCGACGTGGCATGGTATTCAGGAGGACGCGCATCGCGTCCGGCGGCCGCCAAGCGCCCGAGCAGGCGCGGCGTCGTGCCAGCGGAGCGCTCGCGGCGCGAGATCCCCGCAGGGGGGGGGGTATTGCGTCGCGTGGATGTTCTTCCTGCTTATTGTCCCCACCTGCATCTCCGCGCGCGCCGCCTCCGCCGCCGCGTGCGCCCGCTCCTCCTCCGCCGCGCGCGCCGCCTCCTCCTCGCGCAGCCGCGCCTCCTCCGCCGCCCGCGCCTCCGCGAGCCGCGCCTGCTCCGCCTCCGCCGCCTTCCTCCGCTCCTCCGCCATGCTCCGCTCCGCAGCAGCGGCCTCCTGCGCGCGCGCCAGCGCCGCCTCCGCGTCGCGCCGCTCAGCCTCCGCGCGCTCGAGCTCCTCGCGCGCGCGGGCGCGCGCCGCCTCGGCGCGCCGCCGCTCCTCGACCGCGACGCGGATGACGTCGAGAGCCCCGGGGTCAGTCAGGTTGGCAGCCCCCCGGGGGGAGTCTTCCGCGACGCGGTCGAGCGCGGTGCGCGAGGACGCGCGCGCGCCGCGGATCGTGCGCGGGAGCGCGTGTTGCGGCGCGCCTGCGTCGCTGCTGCTGTTGTTGGTGGGCGACGCTTGTGCGGTAGAGGTGGTGCGGTCTGGGCCGAGGGAGAGGGCGCGGACGGTGGGGGGGAGTCCCGGGTGCGGGTGGAGGCGGTCGACGAGGGCCTCGACCTCCTCTTGCGAGAGCTTCTTCGGCGCGAGCATGGCCTGCGGAGGTCAGTCGAGAGCGTTGCGTTCAAGAAGAGACATGGAATCATGTCTGGTGGTGCATCCGACATTCCTAGCTCCTTGCTCGTGTTGTTCGAGGACCGTGCTGGGCCGCAGCGGCGATGCGTGGCGCGCGAGGGCGCGGGAAAGGGCGGGAGGCTGCGCGGGTGCGTCGGAACCCCGCGCATTCGTCCCCAGATCGCAGATGATGCCATTGACGACGATATCACCAGCGTGTGAGAATCCGGCTGCCCGTCGCGCACCCGCCCTGGGATCCCGCCGCACGCATCGCAGACGCACATCCGCGCATAGAAGCCGCGATCCGCGGCGCGGCGCGCCCAAAATAGCCACGCACGGAGCCACACCCGCGCGCCAGCTGCCCATGGCCATCGGTAGCAGGGGCTCCCGGCGGGCCGCCGGCGAGTCGCGCCCCTGGCCGCGCTGCGGCGCCGGGGTCCATGCGAAGGGGAACGCACCATCGCTCCGTCCTTTTCGGCCGCGTCGCCGTCGATGCGCACCGAGCGGTGCCGCGCCACCGTCGTGGCCGCCTTGCGCCACCGCGCCTGGGCGGCGGCTTCCGCGACGGTCTGCCCCGCGGGCGCGGGCGGTGTCTTGGCGTCGCGGGCCGCGCGCTCCGCGATCGCGTCGAGCGCCGGGGCCGCCGCAGCGCCCGTCTGCCCCCCTCCGCCAGCTTCGGGGACCGTCGCCGAGCACTCGAACGTCAGGTGCGCGGAGACGGTCCGCCCGACGGCCCGCGCGGGCCTCCTCGCCGGCTGCAGCGCGTTTCGGGCCGCGGACGGCGTGTTCGTCGCGGATCCCCGGCGGAACGGCGCGCATGTTGGAGAGGGAGTCTCCACGGCGCTGCGGCGCCGTACGGCCGCGCTGGATCGCCTAGGCCGGCGTACAGGCGGTATCATGCGTGGCGGAGCGCGGAGAGGCGCGGAAACGGCGCAGGAATCGCGGTGCGCGCGTCGATGCCGCCGCTCACCTTCGCAGCCTCATGAAGGCGCGCCAGCGCGTCGTCGTCGCCCGCAGCGCCGCCGTTGCGCGAATTGCCTGACCCTGAGCGCTTCAGACCGCCGCCGTACGCCGCCTTCAACTGCTCCGTCCGCGCCCGCTGGGAGTCGGAGCGCGCGAGCGCCGCGGAGGGCATCTGCACTCACGCGCGGTGCGGCGTCCCCGCGTCGTTTCCGGGGCGCTGCGCCAGCGTCGCGAGCTCTCCGCGCTGGACCACGGAGATCCGCGCGCGGAAAGCGGAATTTCGGCCCCGCGGGAAGGCACGGTGCATGTGGGCCAAGACTGTGAATCTCGCTCGAGCCGCGCTCTGCGGGCGCCCGAGGCGGCGTGCGGCCGCCGCCGCGCAGGACGCTCGCTGGCGGGAGTCGGGGGCGTTCGCACCTGTGCTATGCCGGCGGTGCGGTGCTGCTTTGCGACGGGGGTAGCTCCGAAGGGCTGCCGCTGGCGGGGCGCTCGAAACGGAGCCCGCGCCGGAAGCGCGACGACACGTGACCGGGATCACCGGGGCGGCCGCGCGGGCCGCGCGCAACGTCCCTTGACGGCGTCGCGGAGCCTCGTAGGGGTCGAGAGCGTCCGTGGCGCTCGTAGCGGATGAATGTTGCGCGTGGGGCAACGTGGTCGGTCGCAAGTGGGATCTTGGCACGCGACGCACCGAGCCCGAACCCAAGAGCCCGCACGTACGGCCCTCGAGCGCGGTATGACGGTCTGTCGGTTGTGCCACCGACGCCCCAGCCCCCTCCGCCGCTTCGCCCGCGCTCGCGTGCCTTCCCCGCGGGGCGCAGCTGCGCCGCGATATTTCTCTGCACGATCTTTGCCGCATCCCAGCGCGTTTCCGCACCCGCACCCGCGACCCCACGCGCCCAGCACACGTGTGTCGCCGCGCGCGTCTCCCGACGGCGCCGCGGCCGCCGAGCGAGCCGCCCGCGAGCCGCCAGGGCCGCACCCGGCACGCCCACGCGCCTCACGCGCCGCCGCCGCGGGCCGCCGCGGACACCATAGAGCGCGATGTCGCGTGGAGGGGCTTCCGGCTACGACCGGCACATTACGATCTTTAGTCCGGACGGCCGGCTGCACCAGGTGGAGTACGCGTTCAAGGCGGTGAAGCAGGCGGGCTTGACGTCGATAGGCGTGCGCGGCGTCGACACGGTGTGCGTGGTGACGCAGCGCAAGGTGCCGGACAAGCTGATCGACCCGACGTGCATCGCGCACTGCTTCAAGATCACCAGCAGGATCGGCGTGATGATGACCGGTGAGTCGCGTGCTTGCGCGGACACGTCGCGGCCGGCCCCCGCGCAGGGAGGGAGCCCGTGAGGGGGCGGGGGCGCCGTGGGGCGCTGTGGTGGCGGTAGCGCCGCTGCGGCGAGCGCGCACGTTGCTCTTGAGTGTGCGGAGAGGGCCGGGAGGTGCCTGAGGGATCGGACAGGGGCCGTTTGGGCTGGAGATCTGGGACGGGAACGCCGGCGATGATGACCGGGCGTCCGTGCGGCCTGCACGGCGCCTCTCAACCGCGTTGCCCTCGCTGACGACCGAGATCCAGAAGTACTGGTCCCACGCAGCGCACTTCGCGGACCCGAGCGTTGCCTCGCCCGCGTTCTTGACGGCACCTTTGCCGTAGCGCACCAGACGCACCCGCCCCGCGCCCTTCGCGGAGCCCCCGCGACCTGGCGCCCGACCGCGTCGACCCACGCGCATCTACGGCCGAGCGCGCAGCGGAAACGGCTCCAGCCACCAGTCCCGCACACCCCACGGCCCCCTCTCTCCGGCAGCCTCCCCAGGCGCCCCGCGGCGCGCGCCGTCGCGCTGCCCCGCGTCTCCGCACCACCTCCCGATGCCTGGCCTTCGCGCTCCCGGACAAGCCACTATACGGCCTCGCGGGCGCCCTCACCGCCGCGCACGCACCGTCCCACCTCGCACCGCAGGCGTGCCCGCGGACATCCGCTCCCTCCTCCAGGAGGCCCGCCAGAAGGCCGCGGACTTCCGGTTCACGTACGGCTACGAGATCCCCGTCGGCGTCCTCGCGAAGCAGATGGCGGACAAGGCCCAGGTCTACACGCAGCACGCCATGATGCGCCCGCTGGCCGCCGTGTCCATTTACGCGGGCATCGACGAGGAGGAGGGCCCGCAGCTGTGGCGCGTGGACCCGGCCGGGTACGTCGTGGGCTACAGGGGCTGCGCTGCGGGCGCCAAGGAGCAGCCAGCCATCAACCACCTTGAGAAGAAACTAAAGGACGCGGGCGGCGCGGACCTGTCGCGGGACGACACGATCCAGGCCGCGATCCTCGCGCTGCAGACCGTGCTGTCGGAGGACATGAAGGCTGCGGACCTCGAGGTGCGTGCGCAGCGTAGCTGCAGCTGCCAGCGTAGCTGGCAAGGGGCGGGGCGCGAGCGTGGGGCGTCGGTGTTGCGCGGGAGCGCGGGGGAATGGAGTGATGGGTGGAAGTGCAGGCTTGGCGGGGCGAAGCTGCGGCCTCGTTCGTCGTTGCGTGACTTGCGGTGTTTGTGCCAGTGTGGCTGCAGGTGGGGGTTGCGGGCGGGCCGGACGGGTCGTTCCGCGTCCTGCGCGACGAGGAGGTCGAGGAGCACCTCATCGCGATCGCGGAGAAGGACTGAGCGCGCCCTGCTGCGCACGGGCTGTGACGCTGTCTCCGCCACTTGACTGTGCTCTCACCTGCGTGCGCGCGCTGCGGTGTTCAGGCCGCTACCGCCACGCGGCCCGACGACAGCGATACGGCGACGCGCGATGGCGCCTCGTTTGGCGCAGGGCGGACCGGCCACCGCTCGCGCTGCGTGCTGTTCATGCATGCAGCGAGAAAGCGTGCTGCTCCGCACCCGTGTAGCGGCCCTCCGCTCTGCCCTCCAACGACAAGCCTTTGCTGCCTATCGGCGAGCCAGGCGGCGCGCTGCTGCGTCCGGGTCCTGCTGCTGTACTCGCGACTCGCGTCGTGCATTGACACTCGATGATTGGAGTCTCCGGGGACCTGCCCTGGTACGTCTGGGCTTTCGGCGGCGCTGCGAGCTGCGCCGCGGCACTCCGCGCTGCACCGAGGCTCTCGGCAACCGTCAGAAGCGGCCCGGGTCCTTCGAGCGGACGTTCGACGCGGTGAAAGGCGTTCCCGCGCTCAGCACGCTGGAACCACCACGCACGAGCCCTGAGCGCAGCGACGGCCACCTCCGGGCTCCTCGCGGCGCGAGCCGGCCGCTGCGTGACGCTCACGTCGCGCCAGCGTCCTTGGCTGCTGGAAACGAGGGCGGAGACGATCCTGAGAGCGCGGTATCGCGGAATCGTCGCACGGGCTTCTGAGCGGGAGAAGCGAGCAGCCCGCTGGCGCTCCGTTCGGACAGACTGGCACGATGACGTCGCCCCCGATCGACCAGCAGCTCCTCTCGGACCCGGCGCCGAACCTGGAGGCCCCCGCGCCGCCCCCGCAGCGCGCGGGCCAGGACGGCACTGTCCCCTGCGAGGCACTCGACGACCCCTTCCTCGTGAAACCGTCGGAAAAGAAGGGCCTCACGCGACAGTACGCGCACATCTACTTCCAGCGCCTCATGCTCCTGGCCAAGGCACGCCCCGCCCTCCCCCACTGCTCCACGCCCACACCACACCTTGCCCCCATCCCCGCCGGAACGCCCCCGCCCGCGCACCGCCCGCAACGCTGCCCCTCCATCCCCGCACACCGCCACAGCTAGCCGCGCAAGCCGCCCCACCCCACGCCCACCCCCCCCTCTGCATCTCCGTCACGCAGGCGACCGCCGCGACGGCCGCGGCGCGCTGGCCGGGCGTGCCGCAGCAGCACATTCTGCGCGTGCAGGAGGGCGAGGAGTGCTTCGTCGTCGGCACTATATATAAGGAAGGCAAACTGAAACCTTCAGTCTTGGATGAGTATCTGAAAGGAGGCCTCAGCGGACAATCAGGCCTCAGCGGACAATCAGCGCTCGGGTGAGCCCCGCAGCTGTCGTTGCCCAGTTCGGGCGCTCACGTGCTGCCTCCGGCGCGGCCAGCGGCGGCGTGGGCGCGCGCTGTGCGCAGGCAGCCGCTTCGGCGCATGTGGGCGCGCGTCGCTGCTCTCTGTTCGCTCCGCGACTGCGCCCCGGCGATCTGCGGCGCTGCCTCGCTTCGCCGCGGCGTCGCCGCTGGCATCCTCGTTCCGAGCAACTGGTTGATCGACTCATTCGGGCTTCGTTTACATGTACTCGCGATTTCTCGATTGACTGTCCACGCAACACTCTTGGTCCGCCCTCTGCAGCGCGAAGCTCACGGAGGAGAACGACACGCTCGTCATGGAGGACGAGGGCGCGCGCATGGCGCTCACGGGCGACCTCGACGCCAGCAAGCTGCCCACGGGGGTCGTCATCGCCGCGCGCGGCACCAACGACGGCCGCAGCTTCCACGTCGTCGACCACTGCCTCCCGGGCCCCGCCCCGCAGCGGGCCCTGGCCCAGCCGCGGACGCCCGACGGCGAGGACGTGCTCGTCGCCCTGGTGTCGGGCATCGCGACCGGTGCGCGGCCCGGACGCCTGCGCGCGACGACACACACACGTGCGCGCGAACTGCGGCTGTGTTTTGATCTTGTTGCGAACGCTGCGTGCGCGCGGCCGATCGATGCGTTGCTCGGCCGGCCCGCGCTGGCCGGCGCGGGGAGTTCCCTGGTCTGACATGGGAGCAATAACACCCCCTCGAGCTCCCGTGCGCCTCGCTGCGCAGTGGACGGCAGCGGGGACTCGCTCCGGACGCAGCTCATGGTCGACTGGCTCATGGGCGCGCTCGGCGGCGCGCGCGACCACACCATGCAGCGTCGCGTGGCGCGCGTCATCGTCGCCGGCGCCCTCGCGCCGTCCGTGGCGGACCAGCCCGCCGCGGCGCCCGCGCAGACCTTCGGGACCGCGGGGCCCGCCGCGTCGACGGCGTCGTGGCGGGACGTCGACCGCATGCTGACCGAAATAGCCTCGTGCGCACCGGTGGACGTCATGCCGGGGCCGTGGGACCCCGCGAGCCACTCGCTGCCGCAGCAGCCGCTCCACGCGGTGCTGCTGCCCGCGACGATGGGCTTCGAGTCGGCGGTGAGTGCCGCGCTGCCTTTCCCCTGCGGCGACCCCGCGTGCGCTGCACCTGCGCTGCGTGCCCGGCGCCGAATTCAAACACGCCGCCGCTCCGTCGCGCTGCGCGCAGAGGCTCTCGACGAACCCGCACGGGCTGTCCGTGGGGGGGGTGTTCCTGTTGGGCACCGCGGGGCAGAACGTTCACGACTTGTACCGCTACACGATGGGGGAGTCCCGCTGCGGGCTCCTCGCGCGGACGCTGCACTGGCGGCACCTCTGTCCGACCGCGCCGGACACCCTCGCGTGCTTCCCGTTCGCGGACCGCGACCCGTTCCTACTCCAGGAGTCCCCCCACGTGCTGTTCGCGGGGGGCATGCCGGCGTACGAGGCCGACAGCGTCGCGACGGGGAACGGGAGCTGCCGCGTGGTGTGCGTGCCGCGCTTCGTCGAGACCGGCGAGGTCGTGCTGCTGAACCTGGCAACGTTGGAAACGCAGACGTTGCGCTTCTCCACGCCGGAGCTCGGCGAGGACGTGTGACGCTGGAAACGGTGCGGTGTCCGGGGCAGGGGGCGCTGGAGAGGAGGTGGAGGGGGCGGGTGGGGCGTGGCGGTGCTGCGTGGTGACATGATATGAGTTAGTATGACTCGAGATGTTGTTTTTGATATTTGTTGGGGCTGTGTTGAGTTGAAAGGAAGATCGGCGCTGCGTGCGGGTTGCTGGTGTGGCGCGGAGCGGTGGGGTCGTGCGGGTGCAGTGGTGCGGAGCTGCGGCTGTGCGGTTGGCAGCCCTGGGTGGTGGCGACAGGCGGTGGTGGTGCAGGGGCGTGATCGGACCAGGAGGCGATCGCGCGGCGTTGCGTCGGAGCTGGCGGCGGTCCTGGGGGCGCGGGCGTCGTTTCGCGGCGGGGTGCAGGCGGCTTGGCGGCGGCGCGGGCTGCGGTCCCGGGAGGAGAAGCAACGTGGGATGTGGGATCGAGGATCGTCGATTCAAGAGTGAGGGAGGCACGACGTCAGGAGGTGACTAGGCGGGGAGGTCCCGCGGCTACACGGGTCTCCGTGCGGGTCGGCGCGCGCACACTTGCGATGTCTGGACCCAGTCTGTAAGCGCGACCCCCTGGAGACCACCCACGCGGCTTTGTTGCGAGGGGGCGGGTCACATCTCAGGGACAGCACACTAGGACGGCTCTGCAGGCTCCCCTGGGCGGACATCTCGGCCTAGCGCCCCCGGCTTGCCCGCACGTGGCAGCATGGGGGCGTCGAAGAGCAAGCCCGCGGCCGCCCGCGGCAAGCAGCCGCGGAAACCCCCGGAACAAGGCCGGAGCGAGTCTGCCCGCAGAGAGCCCGAGCCAGCGCCTGCCGCGCAGGAGGAGCCGGCCGAGGCGGCGCAGAACGCGTCGATCGTGCGAGGGGACGTCGAGGTGAGAGCGCATTCCGTCGCGTGTGCGCGTGGCACGGACGGGGTTGTTGCTGGGTGCTGCCGCGCCGGCGCGTGGTTCCGCGGCGCCCGGGCTGCGCGTGCGCGCCTCCGCATAGATCCCGATGTACAGCACCGCCTCGCGAGCGCGTGCGTCGCCGCGGCGACGCACGGCGCGCCAGCAGCGCGCAACTCTGGCAGCACCGAGCCACGGCGCTCGCGTCGCGATCCGCCGCCGAAACGGCCCCCGCGCGCGGATCCGCGCTCCTCACATCGCGGACACGCGGCGCGGCGCGCGCGCAGGAGCCCCCGTCAGTGCACGGGCCCGAGGAGGCGCCTCAAGTGGAAACTAGAAGTACGGGAAAGCCGTCGAGCGCGGGCGACGTAGACGACATCGTGAACGACGACCTCCTCAAGGCCCTAGAGAACGTCGGTCTCAGCACGGAGGCGAGCCAGCTCGGGGAGCTCTGGACCGCAGCGAGTCAGTCTGGCACCGGACAGAAGGGCGGCGGGTCCGTCAACTTGGGCGACGCCACACCCCCCCGGGCGCCCGCTGGACGCGCGACGGCCGGCGCCGACGACGACCTGACGTCTCCTCCGGCGCAGCGCCACCTGGACTTCGACAACGGAGCCCCCTCGCCCGCCCCGTCGGCCCCACAGCCCCTAGCAGAGCATGCAAGAGCTCCGACCACGACCACGTTCCGCCTGGGGTCGCTCCCGAGCTCGGTGACCGTCAAGGGACGCGCTCCTGTCCCGGAGCCGCCCAAGGAGGAGCAGAAGGCGCCGGAAACGAAGCCCAAGGCGCCCGCCAAGCCGACGGAGGCTGCGGCGAACACGTCCGCGCCGCCCGCGAGGGCCGCGGCGAAGGCGCCGGCGCGCGCGGGGCGCGCGAACTCGAAGAAGGAGGACAAGGCGACTCTCCGGAAGCAGAAGAGCCGCAGCAGGGACGAGGCTCGGGCGCAGAAGCGGGCCAACCCCGCAGCGCCGGCGACGACAGCTAAACCGGCCGCATCCGCGGCGCCGCGACGCAGCCACGACGCCGGCAAGGCCGCGCGCACGCCCGTGAAGGTCAGCACCGACCCCGCGGAGCGCGAGCCGGCGCCGGCGCCGGCGCCAGGCACGCCAGCGTCGGGCAGCAACGTCGTCGCGCGAGCGCTGGAGCGCCGGCGCACGATCGGCAGCTCGATCGCGAGGGACGCGTCGGCGACGCCGACGCTCGTGGACGCGCAGAGCCCCGCGGCGAAGCAGCAGCACGCGCCGGCGGAGCGCGCGCCCGCCCCGCCGCCCGCGTCGCCCCCCGCGGCCGCGCAGAGCCATCACAGCGACGGAAGCTCCGGGAAGGTCTCGGTGACGAACGCGGAGCCCGCGGCGGACGTGAACCCGCGCGACGAGCACTCGCACATCTTCACCGCGGGCGCCGACGCGGCGGACTCGGGCGTGGGGGTCCACCTCAAGACCCCTCGCTTCACAGATGGCACTCCGCGGCCCCGGGACCCGCGCCCGCGCCCGCGGCGCCGCCGCCCGCCGCCGATCCCGCCGCGTTCGCCGACCCCTCCCGCCACGACGACGCGTCGCGCCACACGCAGGCGCGGGAGGACGACGACAACGACATGGCGCCGCCGAGCGAGGCCGCGAGCGGCTCGGAGGGCGGCTCGGAGGGCGGCGCGGCGCCGGCGGCCCGCGGGATGCGTGCCGTCGCGTCGTCCTCGGCGCTCGCGGACGCCGACGCGGCCCCGTCGAACGCCACAGCCGATACCCCGAAGTCGGACGTGCCCGCGAAGCTGCTCGCGAAGAGCCTGCGGACGTCGGCTTCGTCGCGGAACGTGAGCCGGCGGTCCGAAGTGGCGCCGCCGCCGGAGGCCGCGGACTCCCCGCGGACATCCTCGCGCGACGCGGGGACGCCGGAGCCTGCGCCGAGCTCGCCGCAGGACCCGGTGGAGGCCGAGGGGGGGGGTGTTGCGGCGCGCGGGGAGGTGGCGCGGCGGCCGAGCTTGGAGGAGCTGGCGCTGCCGTCGCACTCGATCGACGCGACGGTGACGCCGGTTCCGCAGGGCACGCCGGCGAAGGTGCGCAGGGAGGGGAGTGGTGTCCCGGCGTCGCCGGGGCTGGGGACGATCCTGAGCGGTCCGGAGAGCCAGCGGGTGCGCGAGAGCATCCGGAAGCTGTCCGCGGAGGTGAACGCGATCCTGAAGCGGACGGCGCACGGCCGGGACGCGGCGGGGGGGGAGTCGGAGGGGTCGGCTGCGTCGGGGGGGGAGTCGGCGCGCCTGCTGACGATGCTGTCGCAGACGCTGAACCAGGCGTCCGCGGCGCTCGAGGGCACGTGCACGTCCTCGAACCCCGCGACGCTCGAGTCGTCGCGCGCGGCCCCGGAAGGCCGCCGGCGGTCGGGGGCCGAGGACGCGGACGCCCCCACTGGCGGGTCCGACCCGTTCGCCACGGACGGCGACGAAACGGCGGCGGCGGCGTCGCTCGCGAGCGACCTGCGGACGCTCTACACCATCAACCGCATCGCGCAGGCCACGCCGCGGGAGAAGATCCTAGCGGACGCCGCCTCTCTGGGTTTGACGGACGCGGAGCTCGACTCCCTGCTGAGTCAGGCGTACGAGGTGTCCGCGCAGGCGCTCAAGGAGTCCGAGCGGATCGACAAGGTCCTCCTCGGCAGCAGCAGCGTCGCGGCGGTCGCGGCGCTGTCGGGGGACGGAGCGGACGACGACGGCGGCGCGGGCGCGCAGCGCCCGCCGCAGCCGCTCGCGTCGCACCCGCTCGTGACGCCGCCCGTCACGAGCGCCGCGCCGCTCGGCCTCACGCCGCCCGCCGGCGCGCCGATGACGCCGGACGAGCAGGAGGCGGCTCTCGAGCTAGAGCTGGGTCTCGTTGGCACGGCGAACTCTCGCATGGCGGCGCAGGCCTCCGCGGGGTCGAGCCAGCTGCAGTACGCGACGCCCGTGCAGCCGCACGCGCCGCACGGGGGCGCCGCGCCGCTCGTGCGGTCGTCGGGGTCCTATTTGGCGCGGCACGCCGCGACGCCCGCGCATGCGGAGCAGGGGGGTTACGCGCTGTCGGGGAGGAGCGGCGGGGCCGCGCCGGGGTCGGGGGACGCGGGGTATGCGCGGCGGGGCCAGGGCGCGCACGGCGCTGCGCCGGCGGCGCAGCGGAGTTTGCGGTCGATGGTGGCGGGGGGTCGTTCGGAGCAACGGCTCGGCGTGCGGGCGTCGCACGACGCGTCGTGGTCGGGGCGGAGCGGGGAGCGGCCGCGCGCGCGCACGCCGCAGCCGGGGCGTCCGCGGCCGGACTGGCAGGGGTCGACGCGCGTCGGGCCACATCCCGGGGGGGGGTCGTCCGCCGCCGCGAAGGCGGCCTCGCCGGAGAAGGACTTGGAGGAGATCGTGCGGCGCGTCGTGATGCAGGTGGTCGGCAAGCGCGCGGGCGGCGGCGCGGGCGGCGGGACGGCGGCGGCGCAGGCCGAGACGGTGGACGGCGGTGGCGGCCGCCGCCGCCGCGGCCCGCGCGCTCACGCAGGCGCAGACGCAGCGCGCGCGCGGCAGGAAGGTTGCGTCGCAGGCGGCGCGCGCGCGGATGGGGGCGCCGGAGCCCCCCGGGGGGGGTCCAGTAGCGCGGGGGAGTTGGGGGCCGTTTGACGTCGCCCCCGCGCGACCGCGCGACAAGGCGCCCCGGAGCGTGTCGGCGGAGCGCGGCGCGGGCCTGCGGCGCGGCGGCGCCACGCCGCAGAGCGCGGCGAGCCTGCGGGCGTCGGCGCAAGAGCCCGGGGAGTTGCGGGTAGAAAACGGAGCTTCAAGGGGATGTCTCCGGCGGACGCGGCGGCGCGGAGGGCGCGGCCGCGCTGGCGGCGCAGGCCGCCACGCGGGAGCCTGCGCGCGCGGGCGCGCGCGGCAGGGCGGGGGGGGTGTCTCCAGCGCGCACGCGCAACTCCCCCCAGCAGCAGCAGCAAGCCAAGGCGCACGCGATGCAGGCGCACTTCCCGCGGCACCAACAGCGCCAGCACGCCGCGCAGCCCGCCCAGCCCGCCCGCCGCCCAGCGCCCCTCCAAGTCAAAGCGTCTTCCAACGACACCGCACAACCCTCCATCTCACGTGTCGACCTGGGGGAGGCCAGCCGGCCGCTGAGCCTCGACGGCAGCGCGACGTCGCCGCACGCGCAGGCCGCGCGGCTGTGGGCGCCTGGGCCCGAGTCTCCAGCGCTGGCGGTGCCGGACACGGACAACGCGGTGTCGCCGGCGCCCGCCGCTGCGCGGAAAACCGTGCAGCTGCCGGGGAACGGTCCCGCGCCCGCGGCGCTGAGCAGCTACGTGATCGAGGTGGGCGACGACAGCGCGGCCACGAGCGGGGGGGTGTCTGACCGGGACCTGGACTCGACAGCGGGGACTCCGAAGCCGGCGACGCCGATTCGGGAGGACTCGCGGGAGCGGTTGCGGATGCGGAGCGAGCGCGAGCAGGAGGAGGTGGACGCGTTCCTGGCGCTGGAGCGCGGCCTCACGGGCGGGCCGTGACGCGCGTGTGGGGTCGGCAATAAGGGGGGGGGAGTTTTGCGGGGGTGCATGGTGCGGTGGGAGCCGTAGTGACGGCTGTGACCGCTATCGATGTACCGTCTTGTACTGCTTGGGGGTCTTATACCGGGGCCGTCGCACGGCGCTTCGACAGTCCGGTGGCCGGTTCGCGGTGCCACAGCTGACCGCAGTACCCACACCCGCGCGTGGGCATCGGGAGCGACCGCAGGCGACCGCGGAGGAGCCCCGGAAGGTGCGCGCTTCCCGTCACATGATGCCTGGTGCGGCCTGATGCGAGCGTGCACGAGCTTTTCCGCGGTGCTGTAGCATTCTGGCATTCCGCACCGTGCGTGCGCTGGTGCGTGCGCTGCCTGGTCCGTCCCTTGCGGGCGGTGAGCGTGATCACACACAATGAGCATGAGGTCGTTTGTCCGCCCGCCGTCGCTGCGGCGTTGGAACGTCGATATCCGCCGATGTATTCAATGCATCAGTTCATGACTGATGCTCGCACGCGTTTGGAGGACAAGCCCGATATCGTTGACGGCCCGATATCGTTGATGAGCCTTCAGAGTCCTCCAAGCCGTTGCGGTGCTTCTACCGCGCGACACGCGCCTCGGGTCGCTCATACAGCCACCGCCGGCCCCGATACCAACCTGCAGAGCAAGCATGTGCGATCCACCGGGTCCCGCAGCCAGCAACGGGGAGGACTCGGGAACCGGGGCCATCCTCCCCCCCGACGTGTGGCGCCGCATCCTCGACCGCCTCGCGCCCGACGACATCACCAGCCTCGCGAGCTGCTGCGTGGGAGCGACTCTGATCGTCCTGCGGTGCCGCCGACGTCTCTGGATGGGCAACTGCCCCACATGTTTCAAATATACAATTCTGGACCTGGCGTACAAGGCGCGCGAGCTGGGCATTGCGTCGGAGGACCTTCCGTGCGTGATGATCACGGAAGGCATCGGCGCGACGCTGTTCGGCCACGCTGCGCTGCAGCTCTACCGCTGTGGGCACAACAACACCCTCAAACACGTGGCACAGCGGGGGCTGCAGCACGTCGTCGAGGAGCTGCACTTGGGCGCGCAGGAGGACGTGTTCCCCATCCCGGAGGGCATGACGGGCCTTCGGGTTCTGTCGCACCGCGCGTACATTAGGATGGGGGTACCAAAGGCGACGTGGCTGCCGCCGAGCAGCGCGCAGCACGTGCGCATGCTCCGCTTGGCGCTGTACGGCTCGCTGTCGGAGAGAAAGTACCCGATCTGCTGCGAAATACCGGAAGGCCTGACGTCACTCGAGTGGATCGAGCTTCGAAACTGTTGCCTCGTCAGGGGGGACTGGCTGCCTGAGTCAAGCCGCAAGCGCGTGCGCTGCCTGGAGCTGCGCGGCGTGCAGCTCCTCGACGGCATCCCGGAGGACATGCAGGCGCTAGAGCTCATCGTTGCCGAGCGGTGCGACCTACGCAAGTTGCCGCCGGAGTGGACTTTCACGACGCCGTTTCGGCACGCGGCGCTGCTCAACAGCAAGCCGGTCGGGCCGTATCCTCTGACCCCGCTCTACGGCCGCGCGGACCGCGTGGAGCTGTACGCGCGCGCCAGCCCGCTGCAGGCGACAACGAACACGCACGCATGGCTGTGGAGCCCCCCCTGGTGACGTAGCGCACACTACGCGCGTCTGAGCTCCTGTGCGATGCTCAGCGGCCGTGCCCGCCCCTGGCGGCATGTGAGCCGCGAATGGGTCGAACCGCGACGCTGACTCTCTCTCGCCGCGACGCTGTGTGACGTGTGTCGCCAGCGCAGGACAGGCGGTGCTTGAGACCGCGCCCCGCAGCTGGCTGGCATCGCGGTGCACGCGATGCTGGCAGGCCAGCGACGCGGAGGCAGGCCGTCGTGCGTGCGCGGGCCAGCAACGACGTAGAGATACGGGCGGGGGCAGGCGGAGAGCAACGCGATGGGAGGCGATTCAACGGCTGGAGCCTCCGTCGATGCGTTTGTTGCCTGTCTGCGGGCCCTCACATGCAAGTTGAGGCCTGACCGACACTGACGGACAGTACAACACAATACCACCCCCTGGCCAACACGTGACGTCGTTGCGGCGAGAAACGACGCGCCTCACGTACCGCACGAACACGTCCCCGGGCTGCTTGTGCGCGTCGAGCTGTCGAAATCTCGTCGGCCCTCGATTGATATAGCAGCCAAGCGCGTGCTACAACTTTAAGTTGTAGCCACCAAATTGGTGGCCTCTTTCAGCGCAGTCTCGCGACGCATCTGCGCCGTGGTGGCTGGCATCGCCAGAGCTGTACGTAGACGGCCAGTCTCGGTGCCTGCAGGCGCGCGTGTGTCTCAGGAGCGACTGCGGGCGACCTGTGTTCTTGCCCGAGGTGTGCTTGCCCGGCACATTGCGACCAGTCGCCGTCTGCCTCGTGCGTGCGCGAGCTCGTTCCCGCCGCCGCGGATTATTTCGCGCGGCCTGCGTCGGCGTTCGCTGCCCAGGCCGTCCTTCGCGCGCGGAACGCACGCTGTCTGCACTCACTGAGGTTGTTAGTCCGTTCAGCGGTCGTCGTGGCATTAGAACGACATTCGCCATGTTGCGGAGTCATCAGGACGCGAACAATGATTCCGTTGACTGCGGAGGCGAGGCCTGAGACGGCGATTCGACGCGTAATGAGCTTTCCATGGCTTTCCTCGCTCACCGACGTGCGCATCAGACCTCTCAAGAAGCGACGTCGCCGCTGCCACCTCTTCGCAGAGCAGGCATGTGCGACTCCTCTCCCCGCGGAGCCGGCACGGGGCAGGGTGCGTCCCTGTGGTTCCTGGCCCTCCCCGTCGACGTTCTACGCAGCATCTTCGACCGTCTCGAGCGCGTGGACGTGGCGAGGCTGGCGAGCTGCTCCAGGGATGTGGCTCTGGCCGTCATGCAGTGCCATCGCCGCATGTGGCTGATCCAGCCTCGCTGGTATTTGCAAATGTGTGTATTTGTACAACACGGGCATCGCACGATTCGAGACCTAGCGGATCGGGCGCGCGAGCTGGGCATGTCGCGAGAGGACCTGCCGTGCGCGGTGATCCTAAGTGGCATCGGCGCGAAGCTGTTCGACCACGAAGCGCTCCAAGACCCCCATGCGTTGCGTCAAAGCGTATCTACTCCCCCCCTGACCCACGTCCAAAGGCAAGGACTGCTGCACACCGTCACGGAGCTGTACTTGCAACGCTGGGACCGGAGAAGCCCTCTCCCGCCGGGCATGACGGGTCTCCAGGTCTTGTCACTGGGCACCAAGTTCGGGGGCCGCTTCGAGTGCGTGGGGTCGTGGCTGCCGCCGAGCAGCGCGCAGCACGTGCGCATGCTTCAGCTCGACTTCAACGGGGCGCTGGGGGTGCCGGGAGCGCCAGGAAGCGACCCCATCCGCAGCCTCCCCGCACAGATGACGAGCCTACAGTGGATCGAGCTTCGTTGGTACAAACTATACTGGGGCTGGCTTCCTGTCTCGAGCCGCAAGCACGTGCGCTGCCTAGAGCTGCGGAACGTGCAGCTCGTCGACGGCATCCCGGAGGACATGCTGGAGTCGTTGGAGCTCATCGTGGCAGAAAAATGCACGCTGTGTTCTGCGCTGCTGCCACCCGGGTGGACGGAGACCGACCCGTCCCGGCACGCTGCGCTCCTCGCCAGCAAGCCGATCGGGCCGCGCCCGCTCGAATCGGACTGCGTCCCCGCGGGCCCGGTGACCGTGTACGCTCCCGCGCAGGCGTTGCACGACAGCGCCCTGGCAGCGCCGGACACGCCGTCGTCGTCGTGGTGACGCAGCGCACGCCTCAGCGAGCCCGCCTGCGTCCGATGTGAGCCGCTCGAGGTTGCCGCGCGTGGTCCGTACCGCGACGCTGACACCGCCCCGGCACTCGCAAACACACGCAGCTCGTCGGCCGCGTTCCGCAGCTCGTCGGCCGCGCTGGACGGCAGCAGCGCCAGCAGGCAAGCGCCGCGAGCGGGCCAGGAGGCCGGAGCGCCGCAGCAAGCGAGCGAGCGCGACTTGTGTCAGTGCGTGAGCCCGTTGTTGTCATGCAATGAGTGGTGTTTTTTCCCGCGTGGGTGGTGTTTAGAAAACACCAGTGGATTTTTTTTGTTTTGTGCGGCGCCGTGAGGCGCGCTGCGGGCCCGCGCGGGCTGCTTAGGCCGAGGTGAACTTGGTCACGGCCTTGGTGCCCTCCGACACGGCGTGCTTGGCGAGCTCACCGGGGAGGATGAGGCGGACGGCCGTCTGGATCTCGCGCGACGTGATGGTCGGCTTCTTGTTGTAGCGCGCCAGGCGCGAGGCCTCGGTGGCGATGCGGTCGAACACGTCGTTGATGAACGAGTTCATGATCGACATGGCCTTGGAGGAGATACCCGTGTCGGGGTGCACCTGCTTCAGGACCTTGTAGATGTAAATCTTGTAGGTCTCGGCCTTGGTCCTCTTGCGGGACTTCTTGGCCTCGACCTTCTTGGTCGTCTTCTTGGCGGGCGTCTGCGGAGGGCGGCACGGGCGAAACAGAGGTGGGCCGCTGCGCGTCGAGGCGGCGTCGAGGCCGGCGGAAACGCGCCGGAACGGAGCGGTCGCGGTGCGAGGGACGCGGGAAGGCGCGCGGGGCGCGCTGTGCGGGGTGCTGGGGGCCGGGAGCGCCCGGGGTGGTTGAGCGAGAGCGGGGCGGTGCGCGCGGTGCGCTCGCGGTGTGTACCTTGTCGGCCTTGGCGGGCATTTTGTCTGATTCCGTCGGTGAGTGATGGAGTGTCGCTGTGGGGCGCTGCGGGGCGCCCATGAGCCCCGTCCGGCGGAGGGCCCGGGATGTCGTCGCTTTGCCCTGCCCTGCCGAAGACCGACGACGTCCCGGGCTATGGCCGAGCTATGGCCGCGCGCGCGCGCCCCCGCCGGACACTTCCTGTCAAGATCGAACAAGGAACGCATCACAATGTCCGGTGCGTCCCTGGCCCGTCCGGCGCCCCTCGCCGTGCCCCCTGCTGCGCCGTGTGTGCACCCACGCTGCGCCCAGCACGACCGCGCTGGCCCGCCCACACCGCCCCGCCTCGCCCGCCCCGCCTCGCCCGCCTCCCCGCCTCCCCGCACGAAGAATGTGACACCTCAGCTCACCACACGCCAACCACGCTCACGCCACACCGCGCCCCCTCTCCACCGCTCAGCAGGCAAGGGTAAGGGTCGCGCCTCCACGAAGGCCAAGTCGCAGACGAAGTCCTCGAAGGCTGGTCTGCAGTTCCCGGTGGGCCGTATCGCCCGCTACCTGAAGAAGGGCAAGTACGCCGACCGCATCGGTGCCGGCGCCCCGGTCTACCTGGCCTCGGTCCTGGAGTACCTCTGCGCCGAGGTCCTCGAGCTGTCCGGCAACGCCGCCCGCGACAACAAGAAGACGCGCATCGTGCCGCGCCACATCCAGCTCGCCGTCCGCAACGACGAGGAGCTCTCCAAGCTGCTCGGCGGCGTGACGATCGCCTCGGGCGGTGTCCTGCCCAACATCCACTCGGTGCTCCTCCCGAAGAAGGGCAAGGCCGACAAGGACGAGTAAGCGCTCCCTCTCCCGCCGCATCGCGACGGACGGTGGAGCGCCGACTCGCCCGCGGCGCCCCGGCGCCCCAAAACAAAAAAACAAACCCACTGGTGTTTATTCAACACCACCCTCGCGGAACAAACGAACAAACTGATACACCCCCGTCTGCTCGCGGAACCGCGCCCGCGCGCCCCTGCCGCCGCCCGCGCTGCGTCTCCCCGCCTCGGCCAGCCTGTTGTGTCGCGATCACACACACGTACGACGCGTGCCTGCCTGCGTTGCGCGCGCCCCGCGCCTACACCACCGTGGAGTCTTGCCGCAGCAGGCGCTCGACCTCGTCGATCGCCTCGGCCTGCACGCGGTACTCCTGACTCAGCCGCTCCACCTCCTCGAGCCTCTCGACCTGCTGCGCCAGGTCGTCCAGCTCCGCTGTCGTCACCTGGCTCTCCATCTCGACTTCGATCTCGATCATCGACATCACGCGCGCGAACCCCGCGATCAGCTCCACGCCCCGCGCCACGCGCCCCTCCAGCCCCTCCCTGCGCGCCACGGACATATACAGAACGCTGTTTGAACGTGACGCTGAAATTCAGGTTCAGGTTTCCCGTTCCTGTCGGACGGGCCGCGGCGCGCGGGGCGCGCGAGGCGGGGCGCGCCCCCGCGGTGCGCACCTCGCAGCCTTGACGCGCTGCAACCGCGTCTCGTACGTCTTGCTCTCCCCCACGGCCTGCATCTTGCGCTCCAGCTGCCACAGCCGCCCGAGCTGCCGCACGTCGCCAATGGCGGTCTTCGTCAGGCTCTCCACCTTGGACGAGAGCTGGTCGTGCTGCTCGAGCAGCGTCTGGCGCACTGCGGCCGCGGAGCGCGCACGGGCGCGGGGGCGCGTCGGACACGCACGTTCCGGCGCAACGCAAGATAGGATACAAAGACTGGCGCGGCGCGGCGCGGCGCGGCGCTGAGAGGCTGTGGGCGCGGCAGCGGCGGGGAACGCACCCGACTCCCCCGCGAGCGACGCCTCCGGGAGCCGCTTCCACTCCGGCACGATGTACGCGTTGGTGAGCGCAGCGGAGGCGCCCAGCGCGCCGATCGCGCCCGCGGTGATCGCGGGAAGCGCCGGGTCCAGGAAATAGGTCGCCGCGTCGCTGCCCGCGAGCACCACCGCGGCCGGCATCACCCACCCCGGCAGGCCCGTGTTCTGCGCGGCACGGGGGGGTGGGGCGATCGCGTCAGATGCAAACAAACACACAACCCTGCCCGACGCCGTGAGCCCGCGGGAACGAACGCGCGCGCAGGCGAGATAGACAGAGAAATAGGTGGCTCGGGTCGGGAACGCGCGGGAGCGACGCAACGCGCCATCCACGCGCGAGCGCAACGCAACGCAGCGCGGGGCGCGACGACGCACCTGTGAGTCCGGGGGGCGCGACAGCACGGTCACGGCGTTCGTCGCGTGGTTCGTGCACTCCATCGGCTCCCCGGGCTTCCATCCGGGCGGCCGCGTCGACAGCAGGAACCGCCCGTTCTTCCCACTGCTCCCCGCCGCGCACGTGAAGGTCACGCGGTCGCCCTCCTGGCACGGGACGTCCGCGGTGGCCGTGCCGAAGCGGAACGTGCGCGCGGCGCCGTCCGGCGTCCGCACGACGACCTCGTGCACGGCCCCGACGGGCGCCTTGCTCCACAGCCCGAGCGAGCGCGCCGCCGTCAGCAAGACGGATTGCTGCGACACGAGGGCCTCGCTCGAGACGGACACGACGTCGCCCGTGAAGAGCTCGTACTCGTACCGCGAGTAGGAGTCCGCGTGCAGGGAGAAGCCCTCGGTGTCCTGAACGACGGCCAGGGGCTTCGTGGGCGACAGCGGCGAGCGGACGACCTTGCCGAACGGCACCGCGTTGGTGCCGGGCGCGGACCGCAGGCGCAGGCTCTTGACGACCTCGACGGCCTGCGGGGCGGCGCGGCGCGGGCGCGGGTCGGCGCGGGCGGCGCGCGCGGTGGTGTGTGCGTGCGAGCGTCGCGGGGGGGGGGTCTGGCGGACCTGCTTGAGCTGCAGGGACCGCGTGAGCGCGAGGACGAGCGCGGCGACGGTGGGGACGCCCGCGGAGGGCCAGCGCCAGGCGCCGTTGAATCCTGACACCACGGGCGACGCGGACATGGACTCGAGGAGCGCGACAGCAAGGGTGGTGTTTCCGCGCTCGGAGGCCGCAACCATCAGCGCGGCGCATTCCTCCTCGGTAGGTCCCGCGATGTCCTGCGATTTCCGCGGCGGCCGGGCGGCGTTGCGGGGCGCGCGTGGCCGGGACGGCGCGAGCAGCTGCGCTCTGGGCGGGGCAGTGCGGGGCGCGCGGCGGCGCGCTCGCGCGGCGGGGCGGGCGCACCGTCCGCTCGAGCCTCACTGCTTCGTCGAGGAAGGCCTCCAGCGCCTCGTCGGCGCACTTGGTCGCCGACAGCCGCCGCAAAGCCGACGGATGGGCCAGAATCGATCGCTTCGGAATGTGAGGACTCCACCCGTTCACCTGCGGGACGGACCCGGCCGCACGGGCGCGTTCCAGGTGAGGCCGGCACGCTCGCGCACCGCGGCGGCGCGCAACAGCGTTCTACCCGTCTCAGACCCCCGCGCAGCCCGCGAAACCAAGCACCAGGACACGAAGCCGGGGCGCACCGGGGCCTCAGGCTCCGACTCGTCCTCCTCGTCATCTTCCGCGGTCGGTTTCGCGGCGAACGCGCCCCCGCGGGCGCGCCGCGGCCAACGCGGCGCCCTAGGAGCGCCCCCCGCCCGCCCCCTCTCGATTCGCCACGCCGCTCTCCATTGGGCGCCGCCGCGCGCGGGCCTGAGCGGCCTGCCGGCCACGCAGCGATACGTGCAGTGCGTGGCTGGCAGCGACATCGCAGCTGGCCGTCGGGGTCACGCGCTGCGACGCGGTGCGGGCCGCGGAGCGGCGATGCAGGAGTGAAGGCCACAGGCGGTTGTTGTCGGCGGGAGGCGGTTGTGAGGGATCTATTGGTAGGCTGGGGCCCGGACTAGCCACAGCAGGGTCGCCTGGAGCGGGCGGGGCGCGGGACTGGCCCCGGGGGGGCCGCGCGGCGCGGTATGGGGCCGCGCTGGTGGGGTGGGGGCGTGGGTGTGGACTCTGGGCTGACGTTGCGGTGGTAGGGTTGTTTGGAGGCTTGCGCGGCGCGGGGTGGCGGGGCAGTTGCGTGGGAGCGTCCGTGTGGTCGGCGGCGGTGCGGAGATCGGGGTTCCGCGAAGTTAGAATCGGAATTGGAACCAGGAGAGAGCTTTTGGGGGCGCCGTTTGTCGCGTTCGCGTTCCGGCGCATTGCATGGGGTGAGGGAGGTCCGTGAGGGAGACGAGCGTTCCCGAGAGGCGAAGTCTCGCGTCGGGAGCGCCAGCCGTCGCGGCACTGGCGCCGGACAGAGGGCGAAGCTCCAGCATTCCTCCGCCCAGGACCTGAGGTCCGCGCGCCCAATGCGAGCCACCTCCCGTTCGACTGTATTTTCCATCTCGCGGATTGCTCCGGCGCTCGCGGCCCCGAAACCGCGCACGACGCCCCTCCTCGTGCATCGTGCAAGCGAGGAGCGCAGCGCCCGCGCAGCCACCCCCCCAAGGGCCAATGCACGCACGCCACTCGCTAGCTGCACCCGCTCTCCTACCGCCGGACCACCCAGCGATCCAGAACTCCCCCCCCTGACGCCGCAGTTCGCCCCAAACTCTGTCCACTTCAAGCTTCCACTCCCCGGCTGGGGCCCTGCCGCCATGGCGCAGCTAGCGGTGCGCACGCGGCTGCTGGAGTATGGCCTGCTCCCTCTCGCGGCCCTCCTGCCGGACCTGAGGCGCATCGCGCACGTAATGGAGATATTCCGGAAGCTCAATGGTGAGCCCCTGCCTGCGTGGGCCGTGCCGTTGCTCGCGAACGCGGCGCTCTCCCGCGCCCCGCTCCGCCCGCGCCGCAGCGGCCACGCAGCACCTCGCGCCGGCCGCGCTCTGGCGCACCGCGCCGCCTCGTGGCGCCCGTGCGCGCGGAAACCCGCCCGGCACCACGGCGGGGCTTCGCGGGCCGTCCCCGCGCGAGCCGCGGCAATTCCGCGGCCGAAACTCCACACGCAGCCCCGAACTGTCGCGGCGCCGCCCGCCCAGCTCCAAAACTCCCCCCCCCCCTGTCCTCGCAGCGGAGAGCGTTCAACAGGAGAGCAACTTCTTCGTCGATATTTACCACGCCGCGTACTCCGTCGGGCTCAACATCCCGCAGATGAAGGCCCTCGTGGACGTCCTCGACTCCGTCGCCACCACGCAGGTCATTCGGACCGGCCTGCAGCCCGGGGCGGACACCCGGTTCGTCGACGTGCATGCGGTGCTGCTCTTCCTGGTGTCGCAACTGTTCGAACGGCACACGAAAGGCATGGACGACATGGTCTCGAGGCAGACGAACGAGGTCTGGCCCATGTCGGGCGGTCCGCACGGCATGCCGAGCCCCACGCGCGCTCCCGGCAGCCCAGGCTCCGCAGGCATCGCCGCCGCGGCGGCGCAGTCCGCGCCGGGCTTCCACTCGCAGCTCGGCCACGTCGCCAAGGGCTTCAGCGACTTCGTCCTCAAGCACGCCGCCGGTGCGCCGCGCCACCCCCCCACCACACCCCCCCCCCGCTCCGCACCCCCGCGCGCAGCGCCCGAATCCCCCCCCGCCCGGACGGCGCCCGCAGACCTCGTGCGCCTCTGCTCGGACCGCGGCCACCTCGAGGACCCCGCCACGATCCGCCCGGGGGAGTTCGACCGCCTCGGGCTCCTCCTGACTCAAGCCGGCACCGGAGACCCCAACACCCCCCCCCCGAAGCCCCCGCGGCTGTCGACGCTGTGCCCGCTCTTCAAGGACGGCAAGCCCTGCGCGGCCCCGGACCTCGTCGCGTGGCTCCGCGGCCACGTCAGCCCCCCCAGCATCGGTGCCGCTGGCATCGCCCTCGGCGACAACGCCTCCGCGCAGGAAATCGTCGGGCTGCACCGCGCGACGGTCGTGCGCGGCGAGGACGCGTGCCCGAGCGGGTCCCTGCGGATCCTCGGCTGCCACGACTCCGTGATCTACGCACTGTGTCCAGTGCAGTACTGTTCTCTGCAAGGGTGCACGGACTGCACCGTGGTGGTCGGGGCGGTCGGGCGGATGATCCGGCTGGAGCGGTGCGAGCGGCTGCGGCTGATCGTGGCGTGCAAGCGCGTCACGGCGTCCACGTGCCACGACTGCACCTTGTTCCTCGGGACCAACCGGCCGCCGTACATGCTCGGCGACAACCGGTTCGTGCAGGTGGCGCCGTACTGCACGCGCTACGAGCGGCTCCAGGTGCGGGGCGCGCGCCGCCGGCCGGCGCCCGGCTCGCCCGCAGCTCCTGAGTGTGTCTCTTTTGTTCTTGCATCTCTGTTCACGTTGCTTCTCTGTCTTCGGTTCACTCTTTGGCCGTTCTGATCGCGCGGCCGTACGGGTGCTCGGTGCTCGCTGCGTGCACGTGCGCCGCCGCTTCCTTCCTTGCTCTCTTGTTCCTTTCTCCCACTCCTGTGTCATATTTTCGTGGTTGTTTTCCCGCTCCTTCTTCGCTGCTTCGTTCCTCAAGCCCCGCCCCCGCCCCCCGCCCCCGCGCGCGCAGGCCCACCTCGACATGGTCCGCGTGTCGTCCCTCGTCAACCTCTGGGACCAGCCCGTGTCCCTGGCGCGCAACGGCGGGAAAACGCTCTCGGGCCGCGGCCTGTCCGACACAGGCATGCCCGAGAGCCCCAAGGCCCCGCGGTCCCCGATGCGCCGCGCGGGGAGCGACTTCGCGGCGAGCAGCCCCACGGCGGGCGCGTCGGTGGGCAGCGCGGCGGCGTTGCTCCCGCCAGACCATTTGATGCCGTTCGTCATCCCGTTCCAGGGCGCCGGTGGCAAGGTGAGGCGCGGACGTGCGCGCTGCTGTGCGCGGACGCTGACGCGCGCGCGTCTGGACGCGGGCGCGTTGACACTTGGATGTAGTTGTTGATGAAGTACCACTGAAACATGATTCGGCGTGGCTTGATAGAATGGCGTTGAGTTGTGTCTGATCGGTTTGGGGGCGCGCTGGTGTGTGCTGCGCAGATCGCGGGCGGCGCCCCGCTGATGCACCGCGGGGGCAGCGGGCGGGAGGAGTACGGGCTGGGGGGGGGTATGAAGGTGTCGGACAACGTGCAGGGGGGGGTGTTTCCGCTGCCGAGCGAGTACGCGCAGGCGCTGGAGCGCAAGCTCATGGCGGTGTCGCAGCTCCGCGGCGCCGTCAAGGGCGCGGATCTGCCCGATCCGCGAAAGAACGAACTTCAGGCAGTTGTTCAATTGGCGTTCAAAGACTGGCTGGTGTCTTCTGGGAATATGAGGCAGGTGCAGGACATCGCGAAGCTGGAGAAGGACGCGGGCGGGGGCGGGTCGTCGTCGCGGGAAAAGAGCAAGCAGGGCGGCGGGGCGGGTGACGGCGGCGAGGGTGGCGGCGCGGCGGTGGAGGGGGTGGCGGAGAAGTTGCGAGACACGGGGCTGGGGTCGTGAGCGCGGACGTGAAGCACCGAGTCAGTGTGGCAAGCGTGTGCTGCTTGTGACGCGGGCATCGAGGCGTGCGGAGTCGAGAGGGGTGTTACGTTTCCAGTCGTGATTTCTCGAGTTCCTGTTTTTGATTCGGATCCTACATCCGGACGACGAGCACCACGCGCGCAGCCTCCCTCCCTCGCCCACCGCCCCTCCTGCTTCCCGCGCCCACCCGCATGTCGCGCTGTCAAACCTCCCCCCCCCTACTCCCCTCCGCCGCTGTGCCGTTCCTGAGCAGCGCACCTACTTCGCGTGCCGCGCCGCAGCCCCCGCCCCGCCCCCGCCGCGCTCCCGCTGGTAGAACAGCAGGTAGCACGGTTGCTGGAACACGTGCGTGGTGGGAACCTTGCCGACGTGCGTGTCGTTCATGTGCAGCCACGTGCCATCGTCCTGGCACACGTCCGCGACGTAGTGCCCCTTGAACGGGTCCGCGCCGAGGTGAGTCACCGTCGAGCGCAGGCGGTAGTGCACGCCGCCGCCGGGTTCGCCGCGGTGGGGCGAGAGCGGGTCGAGGAGCTTGCCGCTGATCGTGAGCTTCTCGTCGAACTCCACGAAGCGCGAGAGCTGCACGCACAAAGCGGACCGAGGAAGGCGGGGGACAATAGGCAACATCGGTGGTGCAATGAGACGGAAGCAATGCGGCGGTCAACGTCAACGCGAACGGCGTCCACGACACGGGCATTCAGAAGCCATTCGCTGGGGGCGTGCGCGGCTGAGCCGCCGGCACCTCGCTCGCAGGCACGCAGAGCCTTCGAGGAGAGAGGACGGCGTCGAGCGCGCACCTTGACGAGACCCTCCGCGGTGTACGTGAAGCGCTGCAGGTGGATCACGAGCACCTCCGGCAGCTTCCGCAGCTTGGTCGACTTGCTCGCCTGGCGCTCGACTCCCCCCGCCCTGTACCCCGACACCTCCTCTGCCGCCGTGAACCGCGCAAGCGCATCCTGCACGCTCCGCGCGGGCGCCTCGCCGGCCCGGAACGACCCCACCTCGAGCGGCAGCACCGTGAACGGCTGCAGCGTCGCGCTCGCGCGCGCGCCCTCGGCGCGCACCGTGCTGGACAACACCCCCGCGAAGACCCCCCCCACGATGGAGTCGTGCGCGTCGCCGCCCGCCTCGCGCGTCACCGCGGCCCTGTTCTTCGGCCCCACCGTCGCCCACTCCTCGGGGTCCTCCCACGCGACACCCCCCCCCTGACTCCCCGCAGGGTCCGGCGCGCCCCCCGAGCCGTGCCGCCGCCGCAGCTCCCGCAGCTCCTCGTCGGCGTGGTCCACGGCGTACGACAAAAACTCCTGCGCGTCCTCCTGCGCCGCCGCGCCGCCGTCGGCCGCGAACCGCTGCACGATGACGTCCAGCATTCGACAGTTAATGGTGGGCGCCTCGCCGCGCGGGCCGAAGCGCTCCTGCCGCGCGAGCTCCGCGGGCGTGGGCTCGCGCCACGAGACGTCGCCTGCGGGCCGAGCGGCGGGGCGAGAACGGGAACAGATGGGGGCGAAGGAAGTGAACGGTATGATACTATTGTATTGAGAACGTATCGATGATTACTGATTGCCGAGTGATAGTTCGTCAAAGACTGAGCGGGTCGCGGAAGGACGTTGCTGGAGAGCGCCGGCTGCCCGGGTGTGCGGGCGCGAGCACGGGGGCGGCGGGCGTGCTCCGCCACACCGTCGCGCCTCGTTCGGAAGGAGTGCGAACCAATTAGGGATTCCTGTCTCCGCGCACCTTGCAACGCCCTGGAGAACTCGGCGAGGCCGCGCAGGACGGGGGAGGCGTCCAGCGCGGGCCTGCAGCGCCCGAGCACGCGCAGGGCCCAGCAGAAGGGCGTGCACGCGAGCAGGGCCTGCATGACGGCATTCTGATAGCAGGAGTTGCCAGTGTTGCCCAGCCCGCGCACTGGGAGCCGCGGGCTCTCGACGGGGAACGTGGGCGGCGCGAGGAGCGTCCGGAGGTCTTCCTCGGAGACGGTGTCCGCGGCTTCGTCGCTCGCGGCGTCCGGCGCGGCCGGGGGGGGGAACGGTGAAGGTTGGGAGGACCCTGCAGGGGCGGTGTCGCGGCGAATGCGCGAAGTGAGGTCCTCGTTGCGAGGCCTATACGGGTGTGCGCAGGTGCCGGATACAGGATGCCGTGCGTGCGCCGAGAGAGAGGGTCGTGCGGAGGGGACGAGGCTACTGCGTGCACACACATGGCGCGCGGCGCGGCGCACGTCCTTTGATTTTTCGATATTCGCGCACCTGGACCTCCGTCCTGCATCGATGGATGCTCAGACATCGCACTGAGCTCCGTTCCTGGGCTTCTACCCTCTGTAGAGCACTCCTCCATTCGTCCCAGCATCGGCTCCGCCATCGCGTGCTGCAAGCGGTGAACAGAGCGCTCCGTCACCCCGCGCTCTCTCGCGACACATAGCTACGCCTCGAACGTGCTTCGCGGCCCTGCCGGCCCTTCCACGCGCGCCCACGGCGCCCGGGGACGCCAGCGAGACTCGCGCGCCCCCGCACGCGCGGCACAGCGGCCGCCACCGCGCTGGCCGCCTCTCCCCGCCCCAAACGTCCTCATACCGGCACCCCGCGGGCCGAACGCGCTACGCAGACCCGCACGCGCCGCCGTTCGCAGCCCGCTTCGCACCATCAGTGCCACCCCCGCGGCCGCCGCACCTTTTCGTCGCCCGGCATCCGCACGACGCCCCACATCGCCGGGTCGCCCGCGAGCCTCGCGAGAAGACGCGCGTCCACGCCCCCGAACCGCAGCTGCGACGCCCACGCTGCGACCCCCACCGCCCCCCCCGCCGCCACACCCACCGCCGCCCCCCCCTCCGCCGACGCGAGCCTGGCGGCCATGTCGCGCCCTCCTATGCCCCTAGCGCTACCTGCACCGCAATGCCGCGGCCTCCGCGCTGCGACGGCGCGTCCGCACACCCTGAACTAGCACAAACAAGTGCCCCGCTGTCGAGGAACACTGACGCGTGAAAGCAGCGTAATTCCCGCGCGAACGCGAAGAGTGTGCGCCGCGCGAGGGCCCCGTGCGCCTCGCGAGGCCCGCCACGCCCGCCCCGCGACGCACTGATGTCAGCCCTCTGTGGGAGGAAGACCCACGTCAGGGGTTCGCGGTGCGCGTCGCTGGGCCGGCGTGGCCTCAAGCGCGGCCGCCGCCGGCGTGGCGCGGCAGAGAGTGGCCTCCGGGCAGCGTAGGAGCACGCGCCGCGCGGTGGCAACGCGCCATCGGGGCAACGAGGCTTGCAAGACAGAGCCTTTGGTAATTGGGCTGCCAGGGGCTGGTGGCGGAGCGAAAACGCACGCCAGCGCGCGAGAAAGGTGAGATCGCTGCGGAGATGCCGTGATCGCGGCCGCGCGGAGCCGCGTGCGCTGTGGGGCTCGCGGGCCGCGGAAGATCTCCAGGAGCCCGGGCTAGGCTTCCGCTGGTTAGCGGCGCGTGGGGCGCCGCGTGAGGTTGCGGCCCGGTTTCTCGGCGAGAGAGTTTTGCGGGCTCGCCGTCGAGCGGCCGCGAGGCTCGCGTGGTGCGCCGCAGCGGCTCCGACGCTGCGTCGAGCTGGCGCTAGGCTGCTCGCGCGGTGGCCCGGCCGTCGCCTGGGGCGACGAGGGCTGCGCCGGGGACGCTCGCGAATGAGGTCGGACGAGGCAGGCTCGGCGCTGGCCCCGCGTCTGCGGCGCGGACCGCGCAGATGCTCCGCGCCGAGATCGCTGCCGTCTGCCCACGTCTCGCGTCTCCGCACGGCCGCAATACCGTTGTTTAAGGCCCCCTGCCGCATCATCGAAAAAACTTGCCCGCGAATCCGGCGCAGTACGCGGCCACCTCGCGCGCATGCGAGCTGTGCCGCCCCACGCTCCACCTCAGGCCATACATCACCGCGCCCCCGCAGCGCACACACAGGGCCGAACGCGCGCCGCCAACGCCCGGAACCTGCTCTTCGCTGTACCAGCTACCTAACCTAGGCAATCCAAGAGCCATGCGATGCCGCAACCCGCCGCGCGAACCCCCACAACACCACACCTGCCTACAGGCTGCCACCGCGGCGCCGGGCGCGAACGCCGCCATGGAAGTCTCCAGCGGCAACGCCTTCCTCCTCCACCGGGACGCGGCGCTGAATTCCGTCACCGTCGGCTACCACGACCCCGCGCGCGACCCCTCCTGTGCCTCCCCGCGCGCTCGCGCCTCCGTCGCCGACTCAGGGCACACCCCGGGCGCCGCAGCGCCCACGCACATCTCCTGGCTCCACGAGGTGCGCACCCGCGCGCGCTACACACCGCAGCGGGCCCCAGCGCGGCGCGCAATGCGGCACCACCGCACCGCTCTGACCCTGCTGTCGCCGTGCCGCGGTCCCCGCAGGCCGCGTCCACGCACGCGAAGAAGTATGCCGGCCAGGAAGGCGGGCAGCCCGAGTCGCCGGCCTCCGCGCGCCGCCTACCGGGTCTGTCACTCCCTCCCGACGCTCTGTCGTCGCGGCGGTGCTCCGGGCTGATGGACCCGGCCGCGAACGCGCGCGGGTCCGCCGGCCTCGTGGACGACGCCGCGGTGTTCTCCGCGAGCGCGCGCGTGAGCGCCGTGGGCGCCCCGGACGCGCCGGGGGACCCGTCGGACAGCACGCGCTCCGTGCGCCGCGAACGCGCGACGCCGCTCCTGCCGCAGCGCACGCGCGCCGCGCTGCGCAGCGGCGTGCCCAGCGAGCTCCTGCTCCTCAGCCAGTCCGCCCACGGGCGCGCCAGCAGCCGCGGAACGCACACGCCCACGCCGACCTTCAGCGGCCCGCGACGCACCGGCTTCAGCGCCCGCGCGGAGCCGCAGCAGCGCAGCGTGACGTGCAACGGCGAGAGCGCCCGCGCGGAGCCGCAGCAGCGCAGCGTGACGTGCAACGGCGAGAGCGCGGGCCCGAAGGGGCTCTCGCCGGCCTCGGTCGCGAACACCCCCTCTGTCAAGGTGTTTGCGAAGTCGTCGTCGGCGCGCACCGAAACGAGCCGCGGGCGGCTCATCGACAACGCCGCGGACCTCGAGGCGGACGCGGATGCGGACGCGGAGTGCGTGGCTGCGGGCGCCGCGGCGCCGCGCCAGGGCCGGTCGGTGAGGGTCTCGCACATAGGCCTGAGTCAGGCGGGGCTGCACACCGGATCGAGCACTGGGCGGGACAGCTCGGCGACGCCGAACTACAGCCGCGTGAGCAACGTGTCGGCGCTGGGGCCCGTCAAGTCGACCTGCGAGAGCCCGCGGTACGTCGGCACGATCGCGGAGTCGGGCCCGGGGGCGGCGTCGGCGGCGGAGCCCGCGAGGGAGGCGAGCACGGCCGGCGCGGGCAAGAAGAAGTCGCGCGGACTGTTCCGGTGTCTGGGGAAAAAGGTGACGGCGGTGGTCGCGGAGTGACGCGGATGATCACCGCCCGGAGAGATCCGGGGATGTTCCTTTGCGCAACGCGACACGATGGTTCTTTTCAAACCCCTCCCCCCCCCCTTTCTCTCCCCTCCCTATATCCCGCCGTTCCGGTGGGTCGAGCCGTCCGTCGGCCCGCGCATGCCAGGCGCTAAGTCGAGTGCACCCTGCATGGTGACGGCGAGGAGCCTCTGCATAGACACTCCGCCTCACTGCTCATCATCCGCAACACACCCCCAGGGACCCCCCCTGCCCTCCCCTGCCCTCCCATTCACACACTTGGCGCGCCCTGTCGCGGTGGTCCGCCGCACTGTTGCGGGCCACTCTTCACAGGCCCCAATAACCCCCTCCTCACCCCCTCTCTCCCCGCGAAGCTGAGCCCGACACCGCGGCTGTAGGCCGTGGCGCCGCGCGGCGCGCCTCGCCGCTCTTGCGTGAGGCTGCCGTCGGCGCTCGGCCCCCCAACATGCGTCACTGTCATACGCGTCGCATGCAACGGGCTCTTCAAATCCCCGTCGAATAAAACCCTCCCGAACCATCAGCAAAACCCCCATAGCCCCCACGTCCCTCTGACGTAGATTCTTCGTCCCGCGCCGCCTCGCCCGGAACTCGGCTGGCTGCGCGGCACCTGCGGCGTGTCACGTGACACCGCCCGCGAAACATGACTCCGCGGCCCCCTGTGGCCGCGCCAAACGCTAGAATCGGCCTGTAAGACCGAAACGCGGCCGACCCGGCTCTCTGGGCCGAAGGATCCGAGCTGCCACCGACGCTGGCCGCGCGGGCAAGCGCCGTCACCGCGCCTGCGCCCTGATGAGCATCGCCAGGCCCACGACGTGCAGTCCGCCGCCGGTGACGAGGCCGAGCAGCGCCCCCAGCATCGCGGCGCCCGCGGCGCCGCAGCCCGTCGCCACCAGCGCCCACGTGACCGCAAGCGTGCTGGCCACGACACACGCCTCCAGTGCCCAGTGCGCGAGCACTGCGGAGCACGCGCGGCGTGGAACGGGCGGTGCGTGGATCCGCGGGCGGGCGCGGGCAGTCGCGTCGCGTGCGCGCGAGGCGGCGGCGGGGGGAGTCCCGTTCAAAGCACGCGTGGTCTCGATTGCGCGATGCCGTGCCGTGCTGCGGTCGATCGGGGCGCGCACCTGCCGTGGGCGCCGCGACCCAGTGCGCGAGGCACACGGACGGCACGAAGATGGCGAGTCCGGTGGTGAGGGGGGCGCCCAAGTGGAGGTATGAAATGTAGAACGCCACGAGCGCGGGCGGCATGAGGAGGGCGGGCAGGAGGCAGCCGAGGATGTAGTTCGCCATGGAGACCTCGGCCTGCGCGCCGCGGTACCCGAGGGAGGCCGCCGCGGCGCGAGTGCGCTTACGCGCGGAGATCTGCCGCAACACGCGCGGGGGCAGGCCCGTGGCTTCGCCGCGACACACCTCGCAGATCGTGGTCCAGCGAAACCACCGCTCTGCGCGGGCACACGTCCGGGGGGCGGAGCAGGCTGAGCGAGATCGTCGTAGATTGTATGTCAGACTGGACTGTGTCGGGCGTGTGCTTCGCAATAGTCCCCCCCCCGTCCCAAACGGACGGTGTATGCTGCTCAGACTGCTTGGATCAGTCGGGGCGAGGAGCGATCGGGTTTCCCGGGGGCGATTTGAGACTGAGACACGCATGATGTCAGGGGGGGGTGTCACCTGCGCAGGAGGCGTGCATCCTCGCTGCGCCGGCGTGGCACCGGCACCCGAGGGCGAAGGCGTCGGGCCCCGCCGCGGCCTCGAGGCAGATACGGCAGTCCAGGGGTGGCGGGTCGTGCACGACCAGCGCGCCGGCGTGGTCCCCGCATGGCGCGTCGTGCTGCGCAAGGAGAGTAACCACGGACCTCGACGTGTTAGTTGGATTTTTCGTCCGCCAGAAAGCGCACGTTCGGCCGCGCGGACGTCCGAGCGACGGAGCAGCAGTCGCGGATCCGTCGAACATCCCTCCACGCGATCTGTGTGGTCGTAGCGCCGGCCGTGCGCCTCGCACTTCGACCGCAGCCCGCTAAATACAGCGAGAACGCCGGCGCGGGAGCTCACGCTGTCCACGCGCACCGACAGCGCGCCCGGCATCACAGTCGAAGTCTCCAAGGGTGGTGGTCTGCCGCGCGGCCGTGCGCGCGCTCTCCCTACCAGGAGCGCGGCGGGCGCGTCAACAAACGCCCCGGTGCCGCCTCCGCCCCGCCCGTCCCCAGGTCGCCCCGGCGACCGCTACGCACGTCGCCACGGAGCCCGACGCCTCTATTCTCGTCACCACGCAGGACACGAGTCTCCGCAGACCGCCCACGCGCGTCGGCCATGCTCTGTGGGTGTGCGGCCGCGCCGCGGCGATGCTGCGCCCTCGACCGCAGCCCAGAGACGTCAGGCGGACGCACAGAAACCCCCCCGCGGGGTCAGACAGGCCGAGAACGGACGCGCGGGCGCGCGTGCAGTGCTGTCCGGCGCCCGCGTGCCTCCGCAGATCTCTGAACTCCGCCTCTACGGCGCAGGAGTCGCGGATTAGGCCCGTGCGCGCGCGAAACAGCGCGGAAGGTGTGGCGTTGAGAGGCCGCCCGTGCTGCCGTGCAGGGGCCCGAGCACGGCTGTCGGCGCGGCGCCGAAGCTCTGCTCGTATCTGCGGGGGGCGCCGCGCGGTCGCGACGGCGGTGTAGCCGCGAGGGGGCCCGGTGCGGGCCCCCCTGTGCAGCAGGCAGGGTCGCGCAGCGCCGCGACGCGGGGCGCAATGGTGTCCACGAGGATATCGAACATCGGGACTAGTCTCACGTATGTCAAGGGGCGGCACATTGCGGTGTCGGAGTCCCTCGGGCTCGAGATCTCGGAGGTGCTGGAGTGGTCGCGCTGGACGCCTGGGGCAGAGCACGTCAAGTCCATCACGCTCAAGAACGTCTCCTTCGACGTCATCAAGATCAAGTACGGCCTGCCGTCCACGCGGTACTTCCAGATGGACTTCCCAGAGCCCGTGAGGCTCTCCCCGGGTGCGCCTCGCCTCCGCCCGCGGCCCTCGCGACGCGCACGAAGCGCCCCGGCCCCCCCGCGGCGCCGCACGCGCTCCGCACGAACCACAGCGAGCGTCCGCGCCACGAATCCCCGCGCGTTCCCGTCCGTAGAGCGCGCTGTCGCCGCACGCATGTCACGGGTACCTTCGCTTCGCTGCGAGCGTCCCGCGCCCGCCGCGCCCGGCTCGCTCGGGCCCGGGAACGCCTCCGCTGACGCCGCCGGGGTCGTTCCTGCGCGTCGCGCGTCGCTTGAGCGCGCTGGTCCGCGCTGCGGCGCGCGGCGGGCGCGCGACGGGCGCCATGCTGCGTGCACCCCCGCTGGCTTCCCCCACAGCCGCGGAACACGCCGGCGCTGCCGCGCTCCGTTCCGTACGCGCACCGCGGCATCGCGTCGCTGCGTCGCGCGCGCCGCCTCGCGCCCGCGCGCCGCGCTGCGTGCACCTGCAGCCCTGCGCAGGGCCGTCGCGGGCCCCGCGAGGCCCCCCCGCTGCCCCCGCGCGCTCCTTACGAAGCGACACGCGCGTGCGCGCCCGGCGGAGCGCTCAGCGGCCGCGCCCGCCCGCGCCCGCGTCGCAGGAATGACGGCAACCATCCCGGTCATCTTCTGCCCGACCAAGCTCGTGCCCTACTCGGACGCGGTCCAGTTCAACACCACGAACGGCTCCTTCGCGATCCAGCTCGAGGGCACGCTCCCGGAAATGGACCTCCAGATGCCCAGCGAGCTCGACTTCGGGTACACGCCCTGTCTGGAGCCCAGCCGGAGGCACCTACGCGTCCGCAACGTCGGCCGCGCGCCCGTCAGCATACAGTGGAAGGTCCCCGAGCCGTTCCAGATCGAGCCCGCCGAGGTGCGCGCCCCGCGGCCCCGCACGCGCCCCGGGAGAGCGTGCGAGAGAGAGACGGAAAGCATGCGACGCCCCGTTTTCGCCCGCGTGGTCCGCGCAGGGCAACATACAGCCGGACCGCGAGCTCGTCTTCAACGTGGTCTTCGAGCCCCCGGACAGCAGCGTGTTCAGCGCGGCGGCGGTGTGCATGATCCGCGGCGGACCTTCTATGGTCACTCGGCTCGCCGGGATTGGGAAATACCCCTATCTCCGCCTCGAGCGCTCAGTCCTGGACTTCAGAGAGGTGCCCCCGGGCACCGCCGCCGCCGCGGACCTCCACCTCGTCAACGCCTCCGTCGTCCCCGCGCGCTTCGCGATCTCCGAGGCCGTCGGCGTCCCCGGGCAGCCCCAGTTCGAGGTCGCGCCGGACGAGGGCGTCGTGCCCGCGGGCGGCAGGCTGCCGCTGACCGTGAGCTTCCGGCCGACGTTCACGACGGAGCAGAAGGTGTCGGCGACGTTCCACGTGCAAGCGCAGGGCGGCAACCGCGTCGAGCTGCAGCTCCGCGGCGCTGCCGTGGGGCCGAAGGTGGCGGTGAACACCAGCTGCCTCAACTTCGGCGACGTGGCCGCGGGGCGGCGCGCGCGGCGCGCCTTCATGCTGCAGAACCTCTCGAAGGTCCCCGTGACGTTCCAGGTCGGCGCGGACCCGCGCGGGCTGTTCCAGCTCGACACCCCGGGGGGGGTGTTGGGCCCCAAGGCCTCCCTGCTCATCAACGTGGCCTTCTGCCCGAAACACCCCTCCCAGTACTGGCGCCGGCTGCCCGTGCTCGTGCGCGACCTCGTCGACCCCGTCTCGATCGACCTCATCGGCACGTGCCACAACGACACGTGGCACCCGGATCCGATCTCGGAGTGGCACGTGGACCTCGCGCTGGGGCGGATCGCGGGCCCCCCGCGCGAGATCTTCGTCGCGTCGGACATGCCGAAGGTCTTCACGGAGGCCTCCGGCGCGTTCTCGCCGCGCCGGAGCGGCGGGACGGACGGCGGCGGCAGCGTGGCGGCGCCGCTGGTGGTCCGCGACGCGTGGTCGTCGTACTTCCGGACGAGCGTCGAGGCGGACAACGGCGCGATGCGCGTCGACACGTCGGTGGTCGACTTCGGGGCGTCCTCGCGGCTCCGCGCGGCTCCGCAGCGCGTCGTCACCGTGACCAACACCGCCGCTCAGAAGCTCGCCGTGTGCTGGCACTGCCCCGCGGGCGCCGAGGAGCGCGCGCCGGACGCGCCGCCGAACCCGAAGGCGCTCATCGCCGGCGGCGGCGCGCCGCCGGGGCCGTTCCAGGTGTTCCCAGAGGCCGCCGACATCCCCCCGGGGGGCTCCGTGCAGTTCCGCGTGCAGTTCCGGCCGCAGCGCGACGCGGCGTACTACGCGTCGACGCTCGAGTGCTACTGCCAGGTGAAGCAGGCGCTCGTGTCCTCGCTCGTCACGGGCACCGCGCAGCCGGGCCAGTCGCTGTCCCTCGCGATGATCCCGCCCCCCGGCGTGCTCACGGTGCGCGCCGTCGGGCACACGTTCGGGCAGGGCCGCCAGGAGAGCCTCCCGATGATCTCCGTCGGGAGCCCCGCGCGCGTGGACTTCCCCGCCGTATACATGGGCGCGGTGGCGCACCAGGTGTTCCCGATCACCAACTCGGGCAAGACGGCCGTGTCGTACACGGTCGCGGTGGACCGCGTGTCGGCGTCCGCGGGCGTCTTCGCGGTCACGCCGGAGCACGGCGTCGCGGACCCTGACTCAACGACGCTTGTCGCGGTCCGGTTCCACGCGAAGGACGCGCGCGCGTACGCGGGCAAGGTGACGGTGACGTTCAACGGGAACAAGGACGCGGCGCAGACGGTCGCGCTCGCCGGCGCGGGGTACCGCCCCGTGCTGCAGATGGGGGAGGGCGGCGCGGTCTACCTCAAGCCGACGTGCGCGGGCGCGGTGAGCCACACGCGGATGACGCTGCGCAACCCGTCGCAGGTGCCCGTGGCGTACGCGTTCCAGGTCCCGGACGCGGCGCGCGGGCTGGTCGCGGTCGACGAGGAGACCGGGATGGTGCCGCCGGGGCAGGCCGTGGCGGTGACGTGGACGTTCGCGCCGCGCCGCGCGCGCACGTACGCGCTGCAGGTGCCGTGCCTGCTCACCGCGCCGCACGGCGCCGTCGATGCGGAGACGGGCGCGCCGCTGGAGGAGTCGCAGGTGCTGAGCCTCGTAGGGGAGGCGACGAGCGGCGGCGTGCAGGCCACGCCGGACAGGCTCGACCTCGGCGTCGTGCGCATCGGGCACCACGCGCAGGGCGGCGTGTCGCTGTACAACGCGTCCCCGGGCGTGCTGCAGTACATGCTACGGTGCTCGCGCGTCCTCCCGGACGGCTCCGAGGAGCCCGCGCCGCCCGAGGAGCTCATCCCCTCCGAGGTCGAGGGCTCGCTTCCCGGGCGCGTCGCGAAGACCGTCATCTTCACGCTCGGCCCGCGCGCGCGCGAAATGTACACGTACCGCGTGCGGTGCTACACGTCGACGGGCGCCGCGCCGGGCGGCGGCAAGCACGCCGCGGGCAAGCACGCCGAGCCCGCGACCGTCTTCGAGGTCCTCGCGGAGGGCCAGCACCCGATGCTCCAGGTGCAGGACATTCTGGCGTCGCCGCTGCAGAAGTCGGCCGCGTGGGACCTCGCCGAGGTGCAGCTCATCAACCAGCACCTCGCGCTCCCGCTCACGCCGGAGGAGCTCGCGATGGTGGAGTCGCTCGCCATGGGGCACGCGACGGTGCAGGACGTGCTCGGCGCGGTGGCGCCCATCCCAGTCGGGCTGCCGGCGGGCCGCGCGGGCGGGCCGGCGTCGGTGGTGCGGCTGCTGCTCGGGAACACGAGCGACCTGCCCGTCGAGTGGAGCGCGAGCCTCCCGAACGAGACCGACATCGATATGGAGCACTGGGTGCAGCCGCGCTACCCTCCCGACGAGCTCCAGGCCATGGAGCACCTCTTCGCGCTGTCGCCGCGGAACGGCAAGATCGCGCCCGGCGCGACGCAGGAGCTGACCGTGCGCTTCGAGCACGAGGCCGCGGGCCTGCGGCGGTTCCCGGTCCTGCTGACGGTGGCCAACGGCAAGTGCGTGCGGCTCGACTTGATGGGCCGGACGCTCCCGGCGGGCGAGAAGACGCTCGCGCTGGGCGGCGAGATGCGCCACGAGCTGCAGCCCGTCGAGCTCGGCTGCGGCGCGCCGCCGGCGCAGGCCACGATCCTTTACAACGAGGGCGTGGAGGCGGTGACGTACGAGATCGACACGACGCCGCTCGCGCAGCTCGCGGCGGAGAACCACAAGTTCCCCGTCCTGGAGCTGCTCTCGCCGGCGGCCGGCGCGCTCCCCGCGGGCGGCCACGCGGTCCTGTGGTGGAGCTTTACGCCGATCGAGGAGGGGACGTACGTCAGCGAGCTGCCGGTGCGCGTCGAGGGCGGGGAGGACGCGCTGATCGTGGTGACGGGGAGCGGCGTGCTGCCGGCCGCGCCGCGGCCCCCGATCGACGAGGTGCTGGAGCCGGCGCGCGACCTCGTGACGGCGCTGCGCCCGGACGTCGTGGCGGAGGTGGCGCCGGACGCGGTGGGGTTCCCGGCGGCGGGGCCGCCGGAGCTGAGCGACCCGAGTCTCGCGCGGATCGGCGGCGGCGCGGACGCCGCGGGCGCGGGCGCGCGGGCGAGCTACGGCGGCGTGATGGGGCGCGGAGAGAAGCAGCCGTTGCCGGCGCGCGTCGAGGCGGTGACGGCGCTCGTGGAGTTCTCGCGGATCACGGCGCCCGGGCAGATGCTCGCGGTCAGCCAGGACGTGATCACGTCCGGGCCGCTCGCGATCGGCGGCGTGCAGACCAGTATCCTGGTGTTGCACAACGTCTCCGACGTGCATGTCCGGTACGCGTGGACGCTCGGGGACTACGCGGCGTCCGCGGCCGCGAAGGGGCGCGACGCGCTGTCCAAGCGCGCGAGCAGCGTGGACGCGCTGTCGGACCGCGGGGGGGAGGAGTTTTCCCTCTTCGACGGGGGAGTCGAGGTGGAGCCCCGCGGGGGCACGCTCAAGCCCGGCGAGCGCTGCCTGTGCCGCGTCAAGGTTACGGCCGGCGCGCGCGCGCTCGTGTTCGACGGCTACATGAAGCTCGTCACCAAGAAGGAGCCGCACTTCACAAAGCAAAACGCCCCCGGTGCGCCGCGGCTCGACCACTCCCTCGCGCTCAGCAACACGGCCAACCTGAGCCCGCGGCAGAAGAGGACGCTCCTGCGCGGCCCGCCCAAGTCCGGCGTGCTCCCGCTCGACGTGAAGCTTGCCGGCGAGCCCGACGGCGGCGGCGGCGCCGCGGCCGCCCAGGCCGGGAGGGCCGGCGGCGACGACGAGGACGAGGAGGGCCAGACGCTGCGTGTGCGGCTGCGGGGCACGGTGGACGCGACGCTGCCGCTGGCGCGCAACGTGGAGAGGGAGTGGCAGCTGATCGCGGGGTCCTATGAGCGGGGTGCTGCCGCCGGGGGGGGTCTCGACGTCGGCGCGGGCGTGTCGGCGGACGAGCTGGCCGCGGCAGTGCGCGCGGTGCTGTCGGACGCGCTCGCGGACCTCGCGCTGGACCCGGAGGTGTATTGCAAGGCGCTGACGCAGCCCGAGGGGGGGGAGTCTGGGGAGGAGGAGGAGGCGGCGGGCGACCGGGCGCGCGCGGCCGCGGAGAAGCAGGCGCTGCTGCTGGAGGCGGAGCACTTTGCCGCGGGCGTGCTGGAGGGCGCGGTGGCGTCCCTGCTCATCGAGAGCGTCATTGGGGCCTTCCCGGCCGGCACGGGGAGCGCACGGGCGCCGTAGGCTTGTACTTCGCTGACCTACAAGCACCCTCACCGCGAGGACGCTTGAGCGACCGAAATGGTACGCTGTGACGGGGCTATGCGGTCGTTGCTCGTGAGTGCGCGTGTGCGTGAGTGTTGTCAAATCAACGGCATGCACGCTGCCAGATTCGAATCAGATTCGAATTACAAGTTTTCAGGGCCTGGTTTTGAATCACCGCACTGCAGCTAGCGCTGCGGGCAGGACACTACTCGCGTGCACTCGCGCGTACTTGCGACAGGCCGGTGACGCCGCTCGCGAACGGGTGCTGCAGTCGCGCCCGCGTCGCGCGCGGCCTACGCAGCTGCGCTCAGCTCCGCGCGCGCGCCGCCGCCGCCCACGAGCGTCGACGCCGTCTTCAGGGCGTCCACGACCCACCACAGCACGCGCTGCGCGTCCACGCCGCCCACCACCGTGCCGATGCTCCCGGGCCTGCCATGCGCCATGCGCACCAGCCAGGTGTTGACCCGCTGAGCGGTATCTGGGAAGAGCCACGTGAGCACGGAGAAGGGCTTGTGCAGGATCTTGACGACGGGCTCCATGCCGTTGTCCGCGTGCTCCGACGCCGCGACGCCGTCCACGATCAGAGGCAGCCCCGACGCCGTGTGGATGCTCCAGACACCGAGCTGCGAGAGAGACAGGCGCGGTGACCTCAATCAGCGGTTGCGCATTGTTTGCGTGTGAGTGAGTGAGTGAGTGTACTCGCAGCAACCACGCGCGTAGGCAGGACCAACCGCCGTGTGGTCAATGCCAAGAAACACATTGAAACACTCTCATGATGGTTTTAAAAAGAAACAAATAGAAACAACAACCAATCAATCCCATGAGCAGAAACAATCAGGCCTCACCTTCTCCTCCACGCGCACCGTGTCCACGACGTCCCACACCGTCCCGGACGGCACCTGCCCGGCCACATCGTCGTCGTCCGCCGCCCCCGGCAGCCCGTCGCGCAGCACAGGCACCTCCCAGCCCACGCGCACCGCGTCCGCCCTCACCCGCCGCGCCGCGCCGCCCGCGCTCCGCGCGATCAGGTAGTGCGACGCCGTCACCGTCACCCGCGCGCCCGCCCGCGTCGTCACCTCCACCGACAGGGCCTTGCGGTTCGGGCCCATCTGACCGAACCACGCGATGCGCGAAAACAAAACAGTCCCCCCGGGACCCTGCACGGCGACCATGTCGCCGATCCGGGCGTCCTCGACGGGGGTCCAGCGACCAGAGGGGCCGAGCAGGCGCGCGCCGCCCGTGAGGCAGCCCTCGCTGGAGCTGGGCGGGGCGGGACAGCTGTCAAGGTACCCGACGCACTTGTATCCGTCGAACACCGTGGGGCCGATCGCGCAGTACTCGTTGTTGATCGGGCACTTGGTGCGGTACGAGCTGATGGCCGCGCACTTCGTAGTGTCTCTTCCGGCATCCTCGCACGCACGACTCGCGCAAAGCGAACCTGCGTGACACCGACGGCTGCCGCGGCACAGCTCAGTCAGGCGTGACGAGCACAATGGGGGTGTGCATAATGGGGGTGTGCATAATGGGGGTGTGCATAATGGGGGTGTGCATACCGTGAAACCATTTGCAAACGCGCTGACCGGAAACGACCTCGGCGTGGCACCTGGACTCGCTTGTGAAGGCGCGGCATGGCGACACGCCGGGCGCGAGCTGCAAGCTCCTTTCGCGCCCGGGCGCGCGCCCCTCGGCCAGCAGCTCCTTCAGCAGCGAGCGCTCGTACTCCTCGTTGTCGATCCGCACCGCCTCGGATTGCCTCGCGCCCGACAGCACGTCAGGTGCGAGCTGCGCCTCGCGGCGCGCGCGGTCCCCGCCGCCGAGGCCCAGCATCTTCCGGACCAGGCGCGAGCTCTGCGCCAGCACCACGCACGTCGCGCTCGCGGGCGGGCACGCCACCGCGCCGCTCGCGGCCCGCGCGTCCCACGCCACGACCTGCCACCCGTCCGCCGTCGCCACGGACCGCGAAAACCGAGCCGCCACCGGCACGCTGCTCAGCCGCTCCGTGTCCACGCGCACCATGTGCCTGCGCCCGCCGCCGCTCATCATCGTCTCGACGTGGTGCCTGTCCATCGAACCCACGTACGCGAGCTCGTCGTCGCCGTCAGCGCCCAACTCGAGGAGCCGCGCGACCTGCGCGCGCGCCGCAGTGAGCGTCTCGGCGCCGCCGGGCGCGTCAAGGAGCTTGCGGCGCCCGCCCTGCGTTGCCGCGACCTCCGGCGTGCCCTCGCGAAGGTGGATGGGGCACGTGCAGTCGTCGCTGTCGACGTCCATGGACGAGATGGCCGACCCGCAGTCCAGCCGGTACGGCGCTACGGCGTCACTCTCGCCCTCGACGGCGCACATGGCGTCGATCCAGCCCTGCGGCGCGCTGAAGACGCCCGCGCGGCAGTCGAAGACGTGCGTGGTGCTGCGGACACGTGGGCGCGCCGGAAACAGGTCAGTCGCGACGTTCACGTGACAGCGGGAATTTCAGGGTTTCCGAGCGGTGTTTCCAGAGCGGGGGGGTGTTTTGGGGGGGTTGAGGGTGTTGCACCTCTTCCACTCCATCTTCACGAGGCCGCCCGTGTTCTCGCGCGCGAGTTGCGTGAACCACTCCTCGGCCTGCTTGCACGTTGCGGTGGCCATCATCCTCCCGACGGAGGTGGCGTCCTGCTGCAGCCCGCGGCGGCTGCGCCTCCGGCCCTCCTTTGTCGCGGCAAACGTGACCGAGCCCAGCGACGCGGCGGTGCGCACGGGCGTCGAGCCGGAGCTGCTCAGCAGCACGCCGTCGTCGCCCACCTCGACCTGCACGCGGTTGCGCACCCGGTTGCAGACGGCACGGTGTTGACACGTGTGTGCCGCCCTGGTAGTTACCATATTTAGGAGATGCGATGCGCGCGCACGCGGGGGTTGCGACGCGCGATATCGCAGCCGCCGCGGCGAATGCAAGCTGCCCGGCGCGGGCGCGCACCTCCTTCGACAGGAGCACGACGGCCACGACCAGCCCAGTCATGCACGCCAGCAGAAGGAAAAAGAAGACTACGGAGCCGGCGATCACCCGGCGCCAAAACGTGCGCTCGGTGCGCATGTTCTTGTACGCCTGCGCGGTGCGGGGAAGGGGGCGCGCGGGTGAGCGGGGGGAGCCGCTGGCGCATACTGACCTAGCAGTGGGGGGCGGGTTGCGGGGCGAAGGTGGCGTGTGGGGCGGGCGGGCGCACGTGGTAGGCTTCCACGAGCTCCGTGGCGTCGACGTGGCCGTCCTTGTTCCTGCGGGCACGCGTTATATGCGCAGGGGGCGGTGGGGAATGCGATTACATTGACCTCACGTTGACGCCGCCGCAAGGGCCGGAAAATGCCTGCAATGGCGCGCTTTTGGATGCTTGGGAACGTACCGGTCGAACAGGCTCAGAGCGCGCTGCATCTCGGAGCCGTTCGGTGCGTCCAGGGCCAATTGAATGATGGAGGTGCCCTTGGCCGGCAGGGGCTTCGGGCCCTCGCCCGAATGTCCCTCGCGGGGCAGACTGGCCCGCTCGGTGGCGTCGTCGAACGCGGTCATCTTGGCGGTCAGGAGCGGGTTTTCCCGGCCGTGCTCGCCTCGTGCGGGCAGCTAGGGTGGCAAGCTCACACGAGCCCGCTCCGCGCGGAACGCGGGACCAAAAGGGCTCCTGATGAGCGGGTACGCCGACCACGAGCCTCTGCTGCGCGACCGGGTCCGATTTGCGCGGCCTCGCGCGCACCCGCGGCAACGAGGTCGCATCCCCCACCAAAGGGGTCAACTGCTTCAGCCCGTCCGACCTGACACCCAGTGCGACCCGGGCCCCCGAGCGGCACCCCGGCGACTCTGAATAGGCCCGATGCGTTCGCTACGGAGCCCCGTTCGCGCAGGCACGCGGCCCGAGGTCATCGCTCGCGTGCTCGTGGCGCTAGTCAACTGCAGCGGTTGCACGCGCTGACTAGGGAGGCGCTGCCCTGCGACGCGACGCCGCGACGTCTCTCTCCAGCGCTACTCCCTGGCGCGGCTCGTGGCGCCGCGAGCGCGGCTGTCTGACCGCCAGGGTGGGGTGGGTGCACATGTGTGTGTGGTCGCAGCGTCCGTCACGGACGACGACGGTTGCTCCGACCGCGCGCGTGGCGCCGCGCGGTCGAGAGCACTGGCGCTGCGAAGGGCGGGCCGTCGTCGACCTCACCGACGTCTCCAGCGGCCGAGCAGACCTCTGTGAATGACTACAACGCTGCCGGGGTTGCGTGAAGCACGCGCTGCTGCTCGCGCGTACTTGCACGCCACGGCAGGCTGCGCGGTGCTGCTGATCGCCCCCCGCTCGCAAGCGGGCAGCCGGGCCGGTAGTTGTCGGTCGTTGCGCACTTCGTGCGCGGCGCGTTCAGCAGCGTCGGTGCGAGCGCGCCGTTCCCGCGGCAAACTTCGCGCCACGAGAGGGCGTATGAGAACGTCTGCCCTGGCGGCGCGTCCCGGTCTCAGTGAGCTGGAGGCGTGCTGTGAGGCCGAGCAGTGCGAAGATGGCTGCTTCTACCGCTCGGTATGTGCGAGCGTACTCGCAACAGAGCTTCTGCGACCCCTACTCAGGTCCATAGGCGTCCGATCCGAGCCATGGCTGATGATCAGTATCCATGCAGCGTCGCGTGGGAGGCGTGGAAGGCTTCGGCGGCGTCCGGAGCGATATTTCGAGCACTGTGACAACTGTATTCTCTCTTGCATGCTTGCGTATGACATCGGCATCCTCTTGAAGTGACAATGTCGGCGATTACGGCCACGTACAGCGTCCCCGACGCGTCTGGGCATCGTGCCAAGTGGAGCTCCCGTTGCTGGCTAGCGTGCTCCGTGTCGAGCAGCGCACGTGATCGGCATCGACGGCGCAGTATTTCTCCTCGCGCTTGAGCGCAAGCGGTCTGCCGTGCCGCCCCGGACGCGACCGCCCGTCGCCTCCAACGCGCTTTCCCGCGTTCGTGGCCCGCGCGACGGCATGGCGCGAGAGGAGCGTGTCGCGGACGCGATCGTGGTTCGCTATCGCCGAATCACGACCACGGAGCGCCACAAGGAGCGTTGCAGGTTGACTACGGCGCGGTTCGAGGCTGTTTCCGTTTCACAGCAAAGGCATGCATCGCGGCGCTCCGTCGCGCGGCCGTGTGGGGCTCCGAGCCCGCGAACTGCGCTTCACTACGCAAGATCGCCCGCCTCGCCGCCCGCTCCCGCGCCGCCGCCCGCGCCACCGCCTAGCCGCCGAGCTCGATGTGGAGCGGCTGGCACATGTCGCGCCAGTTCGGCACGCCGGCCTCCAGCACCTCGAGCACCTCGTCGTGCAGAATCAGATCGTGGGTGGGCTTCCCCTCGGCGCGCAGCTGAACGACCGCGCGCGCGGACCGCACCCAGCACGCCGCGCACACCTCGTCGACGTCCTCCGAGTCCAAGCTCGGAAGGACGCCGCACTGCTTGTAGTGCGCGACGGTCGCGTGCGCAAGCTGCATCGCGGCCCTGAGGGCGCGGTTCTTGCCGCGCGGCGCGACCATGGTGATTTGTCGTAGATCCTGCGAGGTGGCGTTGGGGGCACCGCGGTTGAGATCGCAGCTTGCTACCGCTGTCGACGGCTGGCGCGTACGGACACAGCGCGCGCGCGGTGCTGGAAGGCGGACTGCGCAGGCAAACGTCCGGTCCGGTGTGTTCAACGTTCAAAGTTGAGTGTGTTCGAACCTGGGAGGTGCGCTGGCGGTCGGTGGGCTCGGAGTCCGCGGTGTTTCCGGACGTGGACGACGGAGAAGCTCGAGGAGTGTGCGGCGGTCGCGACGCACGCGGCCCTTTGCTCGCCCCGGCCCGATCTTGGCCGGCAGGGGGTGTGGGGACAAACGAGAGGCCCCCAGGGCTGACGGCTGCTGACAGTGTCACTGGACCGGCTGTCGGGCGCGCCGCGGCCACCTGATGAGGCGACTCGCGGGCGGAACGCGCCAGTAGGTGGCCGGGGGCGACCGGGGCGACACCGTGGCGGTCGCAGAGCTGCGTTTCGGCCGGCCGTCTGCCGTCCCGTCAGTAGCCGAACGGGCCACAACGGCCATGTAATATTGGGAACCGATTTTTTTGCCCCGATATATCGCGAAACGTAGCCGCGACGGTCCTCTGTCAACGCGTTGCAGCGCGGAGGAGCTGTGCCCAACGGCCTAGCGCATCACGGGCGAGCCGGCGCGCTCCTACGCCCAGGTCGACACACACGTGGTGAGAGCCTGTACTGAAGAGGGTGTCCCGCGCCGCCGCTGCTCGAGCGCGCCACCCCTCGGTGCGGAAGCGCCCACCAGCACTGGATTCGCCGAGTCCGCCTGCTTCGTCGGAGCCGACCGGGCTCTCCTGCACCCGGTCATTCTCTCCGTCTCAGAGCATCCGGCGAGCGCGCGCACGGCCCTTCGACGACGCTGAGCCGCTCGCGCCCGCTCCTCGAAGCTCTGGCACCACGCCCCTGCTCTCCCACCTCCCCCGCCGCGGAATGCACGCCGCGCATGTCCGTGACAGAAGCACGACACGCACGGCCCCGTGCGCACATCCCTGCAGCACGGCGAGCGACGGGAACCGCGCCCTCAGGACCGCGATGAAGTTCGCACACGCCACCGTCGCGCATTTCAACGAACGCGGCGTACTGCCGAGCCTGGACTCGGAGGACGTCGATGAGCTGTGCGCGTGCTTGGTCAGGGTCGCGCGCGCGGCGGGCTTCCCTACACCACAGCGCGCGCGACCCGCACCTAGCAGGCCGCGCACTGCTCGTCGACGTCCTGGGAGTCGAGGCTCGGCAGGACGCCATGTTTGTTAAAATGCGCGATCGTGGCGTGGATGAACTTCGTTGCGGCTCTGAGGGCGCGGTTCCACTTGTTCCTGCCCCTCGGCGCGACCACCCCGCACCCCGGCACCGGAACTTGCAACAGTTGCGCTGACATCAGGCCCCTGTTTGGCTGACTCAGGGGTACATGGGCGGCAGTGCGGCTTGAGGGCGACGAAGGAGATGTCGTGTGAGTCTTCACGCGCCAACGCCCCTCTGTGTCTCACTGGTGGCAGAACTACACGCGCACGTTGTAGCACGCTGTTGCTGTGTGATCGCTTCCAGGTGAGCAACGGCTCTGGGCACCAGCTGGTGGGCCGCCAGCATGCCACCCCGCCGCACGCATCGTGCGCACCGCCTTCGCGGCTTTCACAAGCATTTGTGTTGGTTCAAATGTGCTCTGAACATATGTATACATATGTCCGCGCGTAGCAGCCGCGCGCCTCGCGCGGGAGGCGGTCGACGGCCCGCTGCCCGCCGCGGTGAGGCCACGCCGGCCCCGCTGGCGCGCGCGGCCGCACTGGGAGGTCAAGTTTGCGCGCCCCGCTTGCCTCGCGCATCCCGCCCGCGCCGCGCGACGGCTCCCTGGAGCGCTGCCCGTCTGCCGCGACTCGCGGCGCCGCTGGCGTGGCTGTCCGACCGACTGCGTGTGAGCGGGTCGCATGCGTTCGAGCTCACGATTCACTGCAGACGATGATTGCTACGATGTGTTATTTTCGTGCTTATAATACATAGAAGCTCCGAGCTCCCTCCCGCAACGCGTGCGGCGCCGCGCCGGCCATCGAAGGAGGCGCCGCGCCCACCGCCGCTCGAGCGCGCTGTCGGTCGCCGCGACTGGCACCGCCAACAGCGTGGCTGCGGCGCACCGACCGGGCGGGTCACTGGTCGCATTGCGTCACACTGACACTCCCTCGCGCCGCGCGGGCCGGTCACGCGGCGACGCGCGGCGCGCGCGCGCTCCCTGGCCAGCGCGGCGGCGGTCCTATTGGATCAAATAGGTTTGATGCGGAAATGGAGTTGGATGAGCGAGAAGACGAGGCACTTGAGGTCCTGGACGAGGTAGTAGAAGGTCCGGAGGCCCTCGGGGTCCTTCGAGTTGTTGACATCCACCATCGACCCTATCTTGGTAGTCGCAAAAGAGATATGGTCGGGCCCACACACCACCTCGAGTTCCTGCCGGCCGGCCTTGTCCGGCTCCGGCCAGTTCGAGTCGTCCTCCTCGATAATCTTCGAGTCCTGCGGCCGGGAAACGCGCGCGGGGCCGCGTGGGCGCGGAGCGCCGGCGCCTGGGCGGCGCGGAGGGTGCGCGCGTGTGCTGGGACGCACCAGAATGATGCGTTTGAGCTCCGCGAGGACCTCCTTGGTGACGTAGCACTCCTTGCGGATCATGGTGTCGTTCTTGTAGTTCGAGTTGTTCGCGTACCGGAGCTGCGTGGGCGCGGGAGGGGCGGGGGAGCGTCGCGGCGGGGCCGTCGTGCGGGATGCGCGGCCGTTTGGCGCGGCAGTGGAGCGCTCGGGTGGCGAGCGGCCGCGTGGGATGAGAAATCAGTGCGGAAGCGAGCATAAAGCGCGGTGGCGGCGAAAAACAAAGCAGCATGCAACAAGGCGCTCGTGTGCCTCCCCAGGAGCAAGATACACCTCGAATTTCGATCCACCTGGACCTCCACATAGCGTGCGTCAACTGGAGACGTCGCACGAGCCGCGCGCGGCCCCCGGACCGCCGCCCGCTCTCAGCAGCAACACACCAGCGGCCCGCCGGGGCCCGCTCGCGCGCCGCAGCCCCGCGTTCGGCCGCCAGACGGCGCCACAGCACCCCCACGGCGCTCACCTTGCCGTCCGGCTGGAACTCGAACTCCAGAAACTCGTGTCCGAACTGCCCTTTGTGTCCAACATAGTATCGCACGTAAAAATCGTCCCCCCCCGACATCCTGCGGCCCGGTTCCCTCGCCCCACGCACTCTACAGCGCTAGCTCCGCCGCGTGACAAAGTGCGACCGCGCCTAGCGCTCCACAGGGCCCGGACGGCCGCGCAGCAGTTTGCGACGGGTGTCAGAGAGGCCGGTGGCGGCTTGGACGCTGCGCTGCGACGTCGTACGAGGGCTCACGCGTTCGCGGAGGGCGCGGGAGTGCCGGGGCGCGCGTGCGGCGTGAGCCCTCGCCCCGGCCGCGCTCGCTGACAGGTGGGGGGGCGTGTTGGCGACGCCCCCCGGCCGCGAACGCGGCGCCGCTGCGGCCAAGGCCGCGGCGGACGCTCGGCTGCCAGCACGACCTCGTGGATACGGAAGATGATCATGCCAGGCGACCGTTCGGCCGGAGAGGTGCGTCGCGGATCGTCGGTGTCGATGCGAGCGCCGTGGGTGCTGCTGCGATCCTACGCTACGGAGCGCGTTGCCACGCAGCACGACGGCGCAAATAATACACGTGACTCTCAGCGCGTTCCGCGCGCAACGCTGGGACGGTGCGGGCCCTCAGAAGCGCATCAACGAAATACGATCGTTCGTGTTTTTTTTTTTGCAGGCGGCTCCGGCGCCGGAGAACGACCCCTGCTACGACGTCGTGATTATAGGCACCGGGCTGGCCGGCCTCGCAGCCGCGACGCGCCTGCCGCGCGGCGTGCGCGCGGTCGCCGTGTCGCAAGCGGGCGCGTGGCTTGCCGGCGAGCGTCAGCGCGCCGCGCGCCTCGAGGCCGAGCTCTGGCGGTACCCCAGCACCACGAGCCTGCACGCGGACCCCGAGGCGCTCCGCAGCTTCGCGAAGGAGCACGGAAGGCTGAACGAGCTGCTCAAGGTGCGCTGCGTGAACGAACGCGCCGAAGCTCTGTGGCGCGCGAATGCGGCCAGCAGCACTCGCATCTGCCCTTGTCGGCTGCACCGGCGCACGGGAAACAAATCACACGGCGTCCTGGGCGGTTGGTGCGCCGGCCTCGTCGATCGAGAGGCCGTCAGAGCCGAGCGTTCGACGGACTCGAGAGCGCAATGACTACGTGGCCCGAGGCGGCCGTTCCGCGCCCCGCGCCCCGCAGACGAGCGCGTCCATGGGCGAACGACCGACGTCGCGCCTGATGCTCGACTTCCAGGACGCCGTGGTGATCCCAGCGCTCCCCGACGCCCTCCGGCAGCCGATGAAGGCCACCGTCCTCTCCGTCGCGTCGGTTCGCCCGACGTCCGGACCCTCACACTGCACCAGCGATTTTTCAGCGTCGCAGCCCGCCGGTACCACCCAGCGCAGCGACGGCAACGCGCGGAACGCTGCGAAGAGGGATCTCACCAGCCCTGGACAAGCGTGCGTGTCCATCGCGCTGTCCGGCGGGCGGCGCCTCCTCGCGCGCGCGGCCATCGTGGCGACGCGCTTCTCGCGCCCGTTTGTCCCCGCGGTGCTCGAACGCGCCGCAGCGGACGCCGGTGGCGGTGACAACGCAACGTCGCCGCCGTCGGCGCTGCAGCACGCGTCGGCGCTCGACGTGCGCGCGCTCGAGGCCCGCGGAGTTCGCAAGGCGGTCGTGGTCGGCGGCGGCATGTCCGCCGCGCTCGCCGCCGCCGCCCTCGCGCGGCGCGGCTTTTCCACAGCGCTGGTCAGTCGCAGGTGTGCTGGCACGCACCGACGCCCGCACAGCGCTGTTGATGCCGCCGCGGCGTCATGTATGTTTGCGTCGTCGTCGGTGCAGGGACCTGGTCGTGAGCGACGTGGGCGCGAGCCGCGGGTGGTGCGGGCAGCGCAACTTGCGGGCGTACCACGCACTGGGGTGCCCGAGGGACCGCGCTGCGCTGTGCCGGAGCGCGCTGCAGGGCGGGAGCATCACGCCCGATCTCGCGGTACGCCCCACACACACAAACACACACGCGCACACAAATATGATTTGAACAATATTGGAACAGTTTGTTTTCTTCATGTCTTGTTGCGTGGTTCCATGCTTGGCGTGCGCTCGTGCCATTCAAGAAAGAGAGCTTTTCGTCGCTCCCCGGTCCGGCCGTGACCGTCCCGCCCCGCGCCGCCCCGCAGGCGGCCCTCAAGCAGCTCGAGAAGTCCGGCAGGCTCGAGATCCTCCAATCCCTATCTATCACCGCAGCCACGCTCTCGACTCCACCCTCCCCCGCGTCCGCCGACCCGAAGCCCCGCTGGACCCTCGTCCTCAGCAGCGCCACGCTCGGCCAGCGCTCCCTCCTCTGCGACGCCGTCGTGTGCGCCACCGGCACCACCTTCGACGTTCGCGACACGCAACACCCGTGCGCGTCCCTCCCGCCGACGCGCATCGTCGCAGGCGCGCCGTGGCTCGACGACGCAACGCAGTGCTGGCCCGGCGCGCCCGTCTTCGTCCTCGGGGGCCTCGCCCGCCTCGCCGCGGGGCCTCTCTCACACACCCCCGGGGTCCTGCAACGTCAGACCGCGCAGGTCGCCGCCGCGCTGCGCGCGGTCCTCGCGCCCGTGCCCGCCGTCGACAAGGCGCCCCCGCCGTGGATCGCGGCCCCGGGGGGGGTGTTGGACGCCGTGTCTGACCCTGCGGTGACGGCGGGGGACTGCGGTGTTGCTGTGGACGGCGAGGCCCCCCCGGCGGGCCCGCTGCGCGCGGTGCGCGCGCCGACGGTTGTGGATACCGCGGTGCTGCCCGCGGGGCGGTCGCGGGCGGAGGTGCAGGCGTTCCGCTGGGAGGATCGGGGGTGGGATGTGCGGATTGACATCCCCCTGCCTGAGTCAGTGGATGGGGCGGGCGGGGGCGGGGGCGTGTTCGTGGTGGCGACGCGTTCGTCGCTGGACGTGTGGGCTGTGTGCGCGTCGTGCGCGCACCGGCTGCACGTGCCGAGGCTGTACGCGTGCGTGCAGGCGCGGCGGACGGCGTGGGCGGTGGACAGGGGCGGGCGGCGCGTGGTGGTGACGCTGGTGAAGGAGAGCGACGCGCCGTGGTACCACCTGCGCAGCTGAGCTCGCGCAGGCACCGAAACTGCACTTGATACATATATAGATAGATAGAAAAAGGAACTCTCAATTGTTTAGACTGTTGTGAATACTCGATGCATTTTGCGGCGCATGACACGCACCGTTCGCGTTATCTGAATATCGGCCCACGGTCCGTCGTATCAGGTAGAAGTAGAACAAACAATAGGAAATCATACCAATCGCTCGCGTGCTTGTGAGTGACCCTCACCCCGGACAAGTCCCGGCGCCTCACACGCCGCCGCGCGCATCAGTGCGCCCCGAACCGTCTCGACCGCCCCGCGAAATCCTCCACCGCCGCCTTCAGCTCCCCGCTCGTAAAGTCCGGCCACAACGCATCGCAAAACCACAACTCCGCGTACGCCGCCTCCCACAGCAAAAAGTTGCTCAGGCGCCGCTCGCCCGACGTCCGCACCAGCAGGTCCACGTCGCCCATCCCGGAGCTCCCCAGCCGCGACGCAATCGCCTCCTCCGTGATGTCCGCCGCCGCCGCGCGTCCGCTCGCGACCTCCGCTGCCAGCTCCTGCGCGGCGCGCACCACGTCCTGCCGCGCGCCGTAGCTCAGCGCGACGCCGAGCCGCAGCCCGCCGCCCCCGGCCGTCTCCGCCTCGGCCCACCGCGCCGCCGATTGCAACGGCAGCGGCAGGCGGGATAGGTCTCCGAGAAACCGGAGCTGGACGCCGTTGCGGCGCAGCTCGGGCACCTCCTGCGCTCGGAGCGTGGGCGGGGGCGCGGTGTGGGGCGGCGCTGCGCGCTGGCGAGCACTTGGATGGCGGACGCAGCGGGAATTGAGGATTCAAGACTGGTGTTTGAACTGAATTCGCGGGAGTTGAGTTGAGTTGCGTGGACGGTGCGCAGTGGTGGTGCGCAGCGTGGCGCGGGCGCGGCGCACGGCCGGCGTTCCGCCTCGTCCGCGCTCCGGTGCGCAACGCACAACAGTAGCAGCTGCGCGTACAGCACAAAGATGCACAGTGGGGCACACGCCTTGCGAAGCGTGGACTCGAGCAGGGAGAGCAGGCCGGACACCTCGCTGCTCCCGCGTCGCCAGTTCTCCGTCGAAAACGCAAACACCGTGATCGCCGGCACCCCCCACGCGCCGCAAGCGCGCACCGTCTCCCTGAGAGCGTCGACGCCGCGTTCGTGCCCTGCGCGGGGTGGTGCGGCGGGCGGAGGGCTGTCGGGGGGCGGTGCGGCGCGGCGGGGCAGTCGGGCGCGTAGGACGCGTGGGGAGTTGCGGAAACATGGTTGGCGGTGGGACGGTGCGTGCCGTTGAGGGTCGGGAGGCCGCGTTGCTCGGCCCAGCGCGTGTTCCCGTCCATGATGATGCCGATGTGCTTCGGGAGCGACGCCTTCGGAATCGAGAGCTCCGGAATGTCGCGCCCTGCGCACAGATGCACCGATGCGGGGCTATGAGAGCGCGCGAGCGGCGGTCCGAGGCCCCGCGGCTCCGAAGGAAGCGCGTGCTGCGATAGCGAGGAGCTGTGCGGGTGCGTTGCGTGCGGAACCGCGGCGCTGGAAGGGCGCGTGCGTGCGTGTGCGGGGCGTTGTGTGGCACCGGCTCCGGCAGCAAGAAACGCCCGGGGCGCTCCGGACGGCGCTGAGCGGAGCGGGAGGCTGGAAGTTCGATACGACGTGTCGGTGTGCGGCGTTGTCGACGGAGAGGGAGGCCCGTTGCAGGACGCGGGCGGCCTGGGCGGCCGCGAGCCGTTGCAGTGCCTTCCCTGGAGTCTCCCGCAACACGCAGCGGACGGCATCGACTGCCGTCTCCTGGGCTGCTGGAACAATACAGCGACTTTCCTTCGGGCGCCGTGCGGCCGCGTGCGACGGCGTCCATGTGGCGCAATTCGCACCTGAGTCCTGTAGTGTCTTCTCCGCACCCTCCCCAGCCCTCGGCAGCAGCGCTGACGTCACGACAACGTGCCGCGCGGTTAGCTCCGCCCTCGGACCGCACGCCCGGCGCCCGCGGCACGGTGGCGCCCGCGCACGCAGCGCGTAGCCGGCCCCGCGCCGTGCGGGCGGCAAGCCCGCAGTGCACCGCGCGTTCGGCGTCGCACCGAGCTGGACCGACATGCTCCCCGCGCTCCACCGAATGGCGCGCGCAGCCGCCGCGGCGGCCCCATCGGCCGCGGCGACCCGCAGCACGCCCCGGAAGTAGACCCCCACCACGACTGGCGGGGGTGCTCGCGCCTGCGCAGACCGGCACGCGGTATCTGAGGCGCTCTGCGCGCCTCACCGCGATAGATACGATACATAGCTACCTATTTCTCTCAGTTTCGCTCCACATCACGACTGAACTAGGCTACTTTTGCGCACGCACTCGCTATTGCTGTTGTGCTGCAGCTGCTCCCGCGCGTGCGCGATGAGCACCGCTCTGGCCCGCCTGCTGCTCCGCGACACTCTCCCCTCTGCGCGGCGCGCGCACGCGTGTCTCCGCGGCATGAGCAGCGCGCGCGCCGCCCCGAGCCCGTCGGCACCCGAAGCAGCCCCCAGCGACGCGATCTACGGGTGCAACGTGTACGTCTCGGAGGCCGAGCGGATAGATATCGTCAACGAGCTCGAGGGACTGTGCCGCCGCGACCCGAAGGTCGCGTACATGGGCCGGTTCGTCGACCTGCCCTACCAGCGCACCAGTTTCTCCCTCGTAGCGGCCGAACGCGACGGGTGAGACACCCCCGCACCACACCCAGGAACCAAACATCTTGTTTACTACACGTTCATTTCATTTTAATGGTAATTACTTGACTGATCATCCCGCGCGGTGGACACATAATAACACTTGCGCGCTGGTCGCGTGCCGTCCGCAGGGAGGCGCTGGCGCGGCGCGTGGCGGACGTGGGCACGCGCGCCGTCGCGCTCATCGACCTGCGCGCCCACGACGCCACCCACCCGCGCCTCGGCTCCCTGGACCACGTCAGCGTCCACCCTCTAACCCCCGCCGCAACCCTCCACGCCGCCGGCGTGATCGCGCGCGCCGCGGGCGGCGCCGTCGCGCGCGGGTACCCCGCGATCCCCGTGTACTACTACGGCCACGCCGCCGCGGGCCCCGCGCCGTTCCCGCGCCTGGCGGACGTCAGACGGAAGCTGGGGTACTTCCGGGGGGGGTCTGTCGGGCGGTGGCGCGGGCCGCGCCGGCGGCGGCGGCGGCCCGCGCGTGACGAGGGCCCCGCGGCGCCGCGCGACGCGACGGGGGTCTGCACGATCGGGGCGGTGCCGTGGGTCGTGAATTACAACGTGGCGCTGCGGTGCGGGGAGGAGAGGATGGCGGACGCGCGCGCGATCGCGCGGGCAGGTGCGCGGACGCTTTTCCGACGAAAGATTCGTGCGTTTATTTTATTTCACGGATTTTCCCGCGGTTTGCGCGCCGTGGGGTGCCCGCGCGCGTTGTTTTGAGCCTGCACGTGCTGCGTGATTGCGCGACGACGGTCCGCGCGCGGGTGGCTGCGCGGTGCTGCAGTGAGCGAGCGCGGAGGGGGCCTCGCGGCCGTGGAGGCGATGGCGTTGCCGCACGGCGGCGGGATCATCGAGGTGGCGTGCAATTTACTGGACCCTGACGTCAGCGGGCCGGGGGGGGTGTTGCGCGAGGTCGAGCGGCTCGCACGGGAGCGCGGCATCGAGGTCGCGGGGGAGTACACGATCAGGGAGAGCGCCACGGAGCTCGCGGCCCGCGCTGCCGCGCAGCTTGCAACGACAGCGTGAGCGAGGGTCGTGGCCGTGGCGGGGCGTCGCGCGGGCCGCTGTGAGTCGCAGCGCGCCGGCGCGGCTCACATTTTATTTTTCTAGCCGGCCTCGGCCGTCGTGGGCCGCTGGAGTCGCGGGTCGCGCCGCGCGCGGTGTCGCAAACGCGTGCCGGTGTGCTCTCTCTCTCTCGGGGCGGATCACGACATGAACAGGCGGAACATCGTCGCGCCGATGGCCACGAACGTCATGAGCGTACCGGAGAAGTACTTGATCTGCACACACGGCACGGCCAACACGAGTTCAGACCTCGTCAAACGGCGCATGCCCGGGAGCGACGCACGGCCCGCGGGACGGCCGCCAGGCCCGCAGCTCCGCACGAAATAACGCGAAATGATCTCTCGCGCGCGCGCGTCGGCGCGGGCGCACCATGTCGTTCTTGTTGGCCTCGAGCGCCGTGCGCTGGACGTGGATCTCGCGTTCGACGCGCTGGTCCTGCTGGTTGAATCCTTCTTCCATCTTCTTCAGCTCCTCGCGCAGCCGCGACCGCTCGAGGTTCAAATCGAGCCGCTGCGAGCTCGCCTGCTTTTCCAGCTCATGCCTCGCGTCGACGCGCAGGCTCCGCACGTCGTTCTGCAGGCCCTGAATGTCCCGCTGCGTGGACGCGCGGTCCATTTCGCGCTGCTTCACCGTGTCGAGCCGCCACCGCTCCTGGTCCTGCGCCAGGTCCCGCAACGCGTCCCGCACGTGCGCCGTCGTCGCGTAGTCCCGCGCCACCTTCGCGAGAATCTCGTTCGAGATCTCCGCGATCACCTGCGTCACCGCGTCCGCCTGCACGCACGCCGCACCGCACCGCAAACTCAAAACACCCCCCCCCACACCGCCGCGCTGCGCGAGCGGCGGGTGCGGCGCGGGCCCGCACCTGCTCGCGCGTGAGGCCGCTCTTGCCGCCCTCGACCCCCAGCCCCTGCAGCTTGCGCGAGATCTCGATCTGATTGACCAGCAGGCCCGTTCCCGCGCCGAGGTATGACGAGCGCTCGCGCTCCACCAGCTCCTGGAAGCGGGCGTCCGCGGTGCCCGGCGCGCCCCCCGCGACGTCGCTCGGGTACAGCGGCGACCGTTCGCGCCACGGGCGGCCGCCGTCGGCGTCGCCGCCGCCCCCCGCGGCCCCCAGACCCACCGCGAGGTCCACTGGCGCGCCCGCGTCGCCCTGCTTGCGCTGCTGCTCCTGCTGCTGCGCCTGCGCGGAGAAGGACCGCCCCGGCGGCTCCGCGGGCGGCGCGCCCGCCTGGGCCCGCGCGCCGGTCGCGGCGAGCGCTGCACCACTGGCAGCTGCAACGGCCGGAGCGGCCGCCTCCGCAGCGGGGCCTCCGGCCGCACCTGCGCGCCGAGGGGCGAGATACAGTGAGGAATAGGCGGGAGGGGCGCGGAACGGGCCGGTATAGGCGCGGACGCGCTCAAAAAGCGTGACGTAGGTCGTGTTGCAGTTGTGGGGTGGGGGGCGGAGCCGGGGCGCGCGCGTTCGCGGCGCGCGCGGGCGCGAGTGGCGCAGGGGGCGCGGAGGTGCGCGCGGCGCGTGTTTTGGGGCGGAGCCGTGCGGGCGTACCGGCGGCACCCGTGCGCGCAGGTGCGGAGGTTGCGGGCTGGGTTCCCGGGCCGTCGCCGGCCACGGGGCCCGGCATTGGGATCGCGCCGCCGTCTATGCTGTGCGTCGCGGGCGAGCTACCCGGGGCGCGCGAGAACGCCCGCGCGCCGCCCGCGGCGCGCCGTCGCAGCGTGCCTGGACTCGCGCACCCAAACCGGCCGAACACGCCGCCGTCCGCGGTGCCCTGGCCTTCTCCGCGCTCGTGCGCGAAGAACTGCGACACAGACGCCGTCTGCGCGCCGTTCAGGCGCGCTTCGATGCGCGACGCGGCGGGGAGAGCAGCCTCCAGGGCCCCAGGCAGGGCGCCCGCGGCCCCGCCTGGGAGGCGGTTCCACGCCGCAGCGCCCTCGCACACGCTCGCTAGCGACGCGAGCGACTCGCCGGCGGCGCGCAAGCGCCCCAGACTGCGCATGGCGCCGCGTCTGCCCAGATCGCCCTCGCCGCGATGCGCCCTCAACGACCGCACCCGATTCCGCGCGCGTGGTCCGGAAGAGAGGCTGCGGGGCGCGTGCGTTCGCTAGACGGCCGCGAGTGCCGCGCGGCGCGCTGCCGCGCGGGCCTTGGGGGCCGCGCACGGCCGTGTGATGCGTGTCGCAACGGGGGGGGAGCAGTAAAGAGGATTGTTTGGGGAGTTGGGGTGGTCGGGCGAGGTGGCATTGGGCTGCGGCGGCGGCGGCGGCGCGGAGGCGGAGGGGGGCTGTCGTGGAGTGACGGTGCGGGCACGCGGGACGCCGCGGCGAGTTGTCGGAGGGCTGCGAGGCGTTGGAAGGCACGCGCAGGTGCGCGGCGTAGGTCTAGGCGGTCGCGGCGCTGCGAGCGTGAAGTTTGGGAGCAGCTGAGTGGTCCACGGTTGGTTTGAGGTGGGGGGGGCATGGACGTGGAACCAGCGGGCAGTGATGGGTGGCAGGAGTTGGTGAGGGCGATTCCGTCCGCGGAGGTGTTCCGCAGCGACGAGTTCGGCGCCGTAGCGGAGCGTCTGCGATCGAGGTACGCCGCGGGGCCGCCACACGCGCGGACCGAGCGCCCACGCCGCTGGCACGAGCGCTGAGGCTCCACGCACGAACCGGACGCCGCGCTTCCGTGCCCGTGCGCAGCTGCGAGAAGCTCCACGCGGCGCTATCGACATGCAACCGTCTCGACGCGTCCGGGGCGGTGCCCCAGGGCGGCAGCAGTAGCGCGGAGGCGCGCCTGGAGGCTGCGCTGCAACTCGCCCACAGCTCACGCCTGACGGTGCTCGCGCCGCCGTGGTTCACGCCGGGACAGGACCTGCTGTTCTACAAAGGGCCGTACCCGGCGCAGGAGATGCTATCCTCGACGCTGTTCGACCTCGACGACAGGTAAACAACCAAACACGTGTTCGTGTTCATCCGCAGTCATGAAAACATGGTTCTGTGTTTCTTTTGGCCCTATAGCTACCTGCGCGCGGCGCCGACGTGCACGCGCTCGGCTCGCGCGCGCAGGGACCGGGCGGCGCGGGCGAAGGCGGCCCGTGCGGCCGCCGCCAGGCAACGGGCTGCGGCACCCAGACAGCAACCTGTGGAGGCGCCCAGCGCGGAGCCGCAGACCCCGTCCGAGACCCCAGAATCGCCCGTCGAGGTGAGATCCGCTCGCGCAGCCCAATCGCGCGCCGCCATGCTCGACCCCCCCCCAACCCAACCCCCCCCCTCAACACATGCCACCCTACTACTACTTGTCATTTTGCGAATCAAAGTTGGTTGCAACTCTCTGATTGACTCATTATGAATTATTCAATGGATTCTCGACGTTTTTGTTCCACTTCGCGGGCGCTTCTGCCACCGCTGGTGTGTTGTTTTCAATGACACTGCGTTGCTCCTCCGCTCTGCCAAGCGCACCGCGTCGCGCCGACAGCCGCCCCGTCTGTCCGCGCGCAGGAGGAGGCCGCGAAGGAGCCGCAGCCGAGTGCGGTGGACATCGCGGCGGCGGCGGGCGGCATGCAGGGCGAGGGCGAGCTCGGCGGGTTTGCGATGGACAACGACGACGTCATGGCCATGGCCATGGGGGAGTTTTACGAGGGGGAGTCGGGGGGGGAGTCGGACGAGGAGGAAGACAGCGACTCGGACGAGGACTGAGCGCGGCGTCGTCGCTTGCGGCGTGTGACGGGAGCGCGAAGGGCAACGTGACGATGCCTGGCAGCTGAGTGCCTGCGCGTGCTGGCCCGTGCGGGAGACGCGCGCGGTTGGGGCTGGCCGCGGTGATGTGCGGATCCGCCTCGTAGAGCGCTTGTCTGGGGAGCTTGCGGCCGAGTGACCTGCCTGAGCTGTTTTTTCGTTTTTTTATTTCTAATTATTATTCACTATTTCAGTGATCTAGCAGCCCGTGCTCGCTGTCAGTACAACGCAAAACAACTCAATCGTCGCACCGACCACCAGGCAGTCCAACCGCGCGGGCCGCCCCTCTCTTAGGCAGCCAGCAGCGGCGCACCGCGCGGCTCGCCGCGCGCGCACGTCCGCCACCGCAGCGACGCCACGGCGCTCACCTATGCTACGTATGCATGTTTACTCCCCCCGCACCGCCCGCGCGTGACTGTCTGTGCGGACTCATGGCTCAGTCTCACAGGCTGCGCATGCGTCGCGTGATTCGCTTGCTACGCGAGCAGCAGGTTCAGGTTGTACGCCTCGATCCGTCCGCCAGCCCCCGCGTCCCCCCTCGCCGCCACCGGCGCGCTCACTGCCCCCCGGGACACCCCCCCCTCGTCCTTATACACCCCCGCAGAGTACGCCACTGGCGCCGCCTCCGGCGGCGGCGGCGGCGGCGGGTCCGCAGCAGGCGCTGCCGGCGCGCGCGGGGCCTGGAAGTACGCCCCCGCCTGCCCGTACCACCACCCGGGGGGTCCGCCATAGTCGGCCGGGACTCCCCCCGGGACTCCCCCCCCGCCGTATCCCGGCGGCTGCATCCACGGCCCGGGCGGCGGGCCGTACGGCCCCCAGCCGTGGTAGTACGCCTGCGCCGCGTGCGCCTGCTGCGGCGCCCACGCCCCGCCGTGCGGCGCCTGGGCGAACGCGAACCTCTCGCGTGGCGACGGCCGGTCGCGCGCCGCGGCCTCCTGCCGCGCGTGGTCCTCGACCCACCGCGACACGCGCACCATGCTCGCGTCCTGCGGTATCGTCGGCACCGGCCGCGCCTGCGACTGCGCGAACCGCCGCGGCGCTGGCTGCGGCGGAGGGACGGGGACGGGTGGCGGCGGGGCCTGGCTGGCTGGTGGCGTGGCCGCGGACGCCGTGCTCGGCGCGGCGCTCGGCCAGGCCGGCTGCGGCGCGTGCTGCGCGTCCCCCGCGTCGCGCCGGGCCGCCGCGGGCGCCGCGATGTCGCTCGGCGCCGGGGAGAGCTGAGAGCTGCGGCGACTGAAGCGCTCGCTTGTGGCGCGCGCGTGGAGCATCTGGCGGACGAGCTCCGCGTCGCGCGCGTACGGCGACGGCGTCCGGCGCAGCGGCACGTCGGCCAGCCCGCTGTCGACGTCAGGGGGGGGAGTGTTAGGGGCCGGCGGGGCAGCGGTGGCGTCGTGCGCGGCGCGCTGCCGCGCGCGCACCGCCTCGCGCGCCTCGCGCAGCGCAGCGGCCTGCTTGTCCTGCCACGCGCGGTCCCGCGCCTCGGCGACCGCGCGGGCGTGCGCGGCGGCCTGCGCCGCCGCCGCCGCCACCGCCTCTCTCTGCGCCGCCTGCGCCTCCGCGGCCTTCTCGCCCCCGCGCAGCCGGTCCAGCTCCATATCCAGCCTCGCCAGCGACACGCGCAGCTTCTGCACGTCCACCGACAGCGCCGCGCCCGCCTTGATCGGCCCCGCGACGCCGCCCGCGGGCGCCGTGATGTCCTTCGGCGTCCGACTCAGCCCCTTCTTCGCCGCGCGCTCGTCGATCTTCCGCAGCTGCCGCAGCAGCGCCTCCTCCTCCGCCGACACCCCCGTGAACCCCGCCGGCAACACCCCCTGCTTCCCGCGACCGCGCGCGGATGCCGCCCGCGCCTGCCGGTCCAGCGCGCGCTCCTGCGCCGACTTCGGCCCCAGCGCGTGCCGCCGCTTGATCCGCGCCGCCTCGGCCTCCTCCCGGCCCCGCTCAACAACACCCCCCGCGCCCTCTCTTGCTTTCGCCGCCTGCGCCTTCAGGCCCGATCGGATGCGGTCGCGCTCCGCCTGCTCGCGCGCGGCCCGCTCGCGGGCCTCCTGCGCCGCGCGCAGGAAGCTCCCCTCGCGCTTCAGCACCCCCTCGAACCCCCGGTCGCCCTCCCGCATCACCCCGACCAGCTCGACCGACTCCGGCGGCGGCGCTGACGTCAGGGGGGGGCGTTCCGGGGACGCGGCCGGCGGCGGGGCCGCGGACGACGACGCCGTTCCTGGCCGCTCGGCCGCGCCGGCCCGCGGCTCCGCGTCCGGCTTGCCGTTTGTGTTTGCATCATCCTGGGGACTTGTTGCCTCCTGCGATGGGTCTTGGTGTTGTTGCTGTTGCTTCGGAGGTCGCGATTTCGCGGCGGACGGCGCGCGCTTGTCCTCCTGCGCCCTGCGGCGCTGCTCGCGCACCGCCAGGTACGACCCCTGCCGCCCGAGCGGGCCCATGATGCCTGACGTGGCTTTCACTCCCCCCCCGCCAAGCGGCCGGTCCTCCGGGGTCCTCGCGCTCAGCCGCGCCGACGCCGGGCTGTCTGCGCGCCGCTGCGACGCCCGCGACGACGCCCGCGACTGCCCCGCCGCCGCCGCGCGCGCCTTCGCCGGCGACGGTGACGCCCGCCCGCGCCGCTGCACCGACGCCGGCTGCCCGCGGGTGCCTGCTCGCGCACGACGGCGCACGCTCGGCTTCCGCGCGACGCCGTCCGCCGGCGCGCCCGGGCGCCGCCGCCCCGGGGTCGTCCGCTTCGCGGACGGAAGCACCGCTGTTCGAGGATTGCTATTTCCTGCCGCGCCCCGAGGCATATCTGATTTGCTGGCCGGAACGGGCTGCATCGGAGGCGGCGCCCACGGCGCCGCGCCGGTCGGCGCGGGGCTCGCGTACCGCGAAGACCCCGCCGTGACGGGCGAGGTCCCCGTGCCCGCGTGCTGCGGTGGCAGCCAATGCAGCTGCAGCGGCGGAACGACAGCGGCGCCTCCGCCGCCGCCAGTCGGCGCCGGCCCGCGGGCGCCCGGGGCCGCGCCACCGACGCGGCGCTCGGTGAGGCTCACCTCGGAAATCGTCGACACCGCGCCGACGCTCCCGCGCGCGGGGTCGTGCCGCGACACACCCCCCTTGCCTGACGCGGCGGCGCGGGGGGGGTCCGCCTTGCGCGGAGACTCCCCCCGGCGCTGCGCGCCCGCGAGCGCCGCGCTGTCGCCCGCCGCGGTCGTCGTCGAGCGGTCCGCGGACGCGCCGACGTCCGGCGCATCCAACCCCCCCCCCTCCTCCGAGTCTGTCGCCTCCCGTGCCCTTGGTGTCTCTTGCCTGGGCTGATGAGGGGGCTGCGCGACGCCCGTGCCGAATTGGAGCCAGGGGAAGGCCGCCTGGAGGCCCTGCGGGTCGATTGCGAGGTCGCCGTCGCCCAGGTCCGCGCCCGACTCCTCGCGCGCCGGCAACATCGAGGAATCGCTATTCACCGCCTCGCCGGTATCTCTCGACTGGTTCGAGCGCCTGCTGCCGTGGCTCGCCGCGGCCCCGCCCGCGCCCAGCCGCTCCTCCGACGTCTCCGCGTCCGGCGTCGGCGCCCCGAGCAGGATCTCCGGCGTGGGGGGGGGGTTCTCCGCGACACCCCCTCCGCCGCCGGGTCCCACCCCCAGACCGCCCCCGCCGCCGAACTGGAACGACGCGAGCAGCGCCGCGCCCGCCGCCGCCTCCGCGAGGTGCCGCGCCAGCGTCTCGTCCGCCTCCTTGTCCCCAACACCTCCCCTCAGAGACAGACTCGACAAGAGAGCCCCCCCATTCCACATCCCAAGGCTCGCCAGCGCCGCCTCCGGGGACGCCGGCCGGCCAGGCGACGCGCTCGGTCGCCGGCTGCCGTCCGGCGTCGCCACGCGCTGCGGCGCGGGCGGCTCGGGCTCCGGCGCTGGCGCTGGCGGCGGCGCTGGGGGGGCCGCGAGCGGGGAGCGCATCCGCGCCGCGAGGTGCGCGATGCGGCGCGCGGGCGAGTTCGGCATCGTCGCCTCCGACCCGCCCTCGCTCTCGCCCGGCGCGCGCGCCGCGGGCCCGGGGGGGGGGACTTCGTCCTCCACGCGGGGGGGTGTGAGAGGGCGCGACTCCTCGATCGAGTCCCCCGCGACCAGCGGAGTCTTCCGGAACCGCGCCGCCGACACGACGCCTCGCCGCAGCCCCCCCTTCGTCTCCAGCTCCTGGTACGCCTCCCCCTGAGACCCCCCCTCAACACCCGCCCCCTCCGTCGCCCCCGCAGGCGCGCGGTCCGCGCCGGGCTCGGCGCCCGCGGCCCCCATCAGCAGCCCCTGCAGATTCTGCTCCGCCAGCTCCCGGATCCGGCCCCAATCCACCCCGGACTGCGCTTTATTCGACGCAGGTGCCGGCGCTTGTGCCGTCGTGCCGTGCGCGCCCCGGCCTCCCGTGCCGCGCGCGCCCGCCGCGTCCGTAGACGGCGCCGCCTTCCTGTGCCCCGCGGGGGTCGCCGGCACGCTCACGCTCACGCGGACTGCATCTCCGTTGCCGTCTTCGTCGCCGCGCTGCGGGCTGCCGTCCGCCGAGCCGCGGACCATCGCCTTCTGCTTCCGGATGTACGCGCGGAGGTCCTCGCGCCACTGCGCGCGCCGCTGGGCCGTCTCCGGGTCGCCCGCGCCCCGCGGCGACACTCCCCCCCCCGCCGCGACGTGCCCCGTGCGCTTGCGCAGGAACTGCCGCTTCGGCTCCGGCGGGGGCGTCGCGGGCGACCTCAGATACCTGCGCGGGCGGGCGGTGTCTGCGCGTGTGAGCGTGCTCGGCGCGCGCGCGGGGCGCCGGCGCGGGTGCCGGGGTGCGACGCGCACCTGTCCTGTGCTTTCCGGGCCTTGCGTCGCGCCTCGAGGGCCTCCTGCGCGCGCTGCGCGTCCTCCTCCTCGCGCTTTCGACGCTCCGCGTCCGCGACCCTGCGGGAACGGCGCGGGCGGTGAGCGGGCGCCGATGAAGCGATGCGCGGCGCGGCAGGGTGATGCAGCGTTTGCGCGCTGTTCGGGCCAAGATGGTGCCAATCTGCCAAATCTGCGTGTTCATCATGGTATGGACTATATATGAGGGGTGTCTTGTGGATGTGCGCGGGCGCACGGCGGCGGTGCGGGGCCTGAGCACTTGAGCCATCTGTTGCGTCGCTGAGCTGCTCTGGCGGCTCGAAACGACGCATGAATGGTTCCTTGGTACTGATATGTACCGGAAAAATCTTCGCGTCGCATCGGGGCGAGATGAAGCGTCGCGACGGGGACGTGCGCGGGGCTGAGGGCCTTTGCAGGCGTCCTGTGCGGCCAAAACGACCCCTACTCGGCTCTTCCATTCCGCTACTCTAACCTCAAAGCATCCGACCGATATGAGGAATGCCCGGAATGCAAGAAACCACGCTCAGCGCCCTCGAGCGCCCCGCCGCAGCCCCCCGTATCCCTCCGCGGCCTGCGCGGCGCCCTGGGCGGCGTACCTTCGCCTCCGCGCGTTCTCCTTGGCGCGCTCGCGGAGCCGCAGCTCCTGACTCGCCCGCAGACCCGCCATTCTTCCCTCACCACCCACCAACCACTTAGCTCTGAACGCACATTCCCTCAGCTCCTATCTCCGCCGCGTCCGCAACGCCTCGAACCCCGCGCGCCCGCGCTCCGCCGCCGACCCGGCAGCCAACCGCCCACGCAAGGTCCAGGCGCGCGCACGCGTCCGCTGCGCCCGCCAACGCGCCCCCCAGGGCCGTCGCTCCCCGGTGTTGTGCACACAGGAGGGTCTCGTGGCCGATTCTACCGTCGTTTCCGAGTCTAGCGCGCTGAAATCACTGCCAGGCGGCAGACTGTGCCCCAGGCCACGCGTACGGGCGGCAAACGGCCCCGCGGAGCCCGCACCGGCGCGCAGACACGCCCCCGCGGCCTCGGCGATCCAGCCCGACGGTGCGTTCTACCGAACCCGCGCGGTATAATACGAGCCACCTCCCGCCTGCGCTCTCCGCCGCAGTCTCGATCCGGGAGCGCGGCGAATTCCACGTCAGACCCGGTCGTCGAGCGGCAGCGGGCGGCCGCTGTGTCGCGCCACGCACAGGCACGGGCGCCCCCCGGCGCGCCGCAACGTGGTGAATTGGCGCCACAAGGCCGCAGATGCACGGACGAGCTTGGTATTGACCGCCTCGCGCCCGCGGCGCGATTTGCGTCCCACCGAGACGACGTGGCGGGGGCCTGGCTTGATGCCGGGCAGTCAGGTGTGTTCGGGGCGCCCGCCCGCCCTCCGTAGGGCCCGCGCTGCTCGGTCGATGCGCAGATCTTGCCGTCGGGAGCACTGAGGGACCGATTTCGAGCTTCGTTTTGTAGGTACGGTCCGCCGTACGTGCGTTGCGGACACGGCGAGGGTCCCATGGTGCATGCCGCGTGCGGGGCGCAGATGGACCCGGTGCCGCGTTCGGCGGGTGTTCCCGCGGTGAATATCGCTGGAGATCTCCGTTGCCGCGCTTTCGCCCGACGGATTTCGCGTATCGGCACAAACGGCCGGTGGTCGGTTGAGGCTGGCGCCCGCGCGCGTCGCCTCGCTGCGCCCGCGCGCCCGCTGCGCGCCCGTTCGTCGCACCACATTTCCTCCGCCGCTTCCAGCGCCGCGCGACCGCGCCACGGCGCGTGCGCACCCGCGTCGCGCCACGCTCACTCGTCCCGGCTCCGTCTCGTGCCCGCGCAGGGCTCTCTCAACGGTATCTCGCCTGGCGCCGCCACGCCAAGCCGCCTGCCGCGCACACGCGAAACCCGTGACGCCTCGCGCGCCATGCCGAACGCGGACGCCCCTGGCCACACGCCCACCACCTCGGCTGGCCTGGGCGACGTGCCTGCGCGCGGCATGCTGCGCCCGCCGTCCGGCTCCCGCCGCCAGGTGCGCGAACGACCCATTCGCCGCGACGGATCGCTCCGGGCCGATGCGGCCGGCGCGCCCCACCGCGCGCTCCCTCGCGCCTCGCGTCGTCCCAGGCCAACCGACCGCGCTGTCCCGCCGCGCGGCGCGCCGCGAAGCGGGCGCGCGGGCGCGCTTCGGGTTCCCGCGAAACTGAATTGCCGAACGCGCGGACCGACGCGGCGCGTGCTGCCGCGTGCTGTGCGCGCAGATGAGCGTGCAGGGCCAGGAGGGAGGCGAGCCGAGTGAGTTCACGACCATGGTCCAGGCGGTCATGTCGTCGCAGCGCAACGTCATGTGCGCGCTGCTGCAGCGCCTGATCTCCATCGGACGCGTGAACCGCGGCATCCTCCTCCCGCACGTCCTGGAGGACGAGCTCCACGACATCGTCAACAAACAGGCACGCGCAGACCTGAATCCTCGACTCCCAGCCCACTCTTCCTCTCCGCGCGCGTCCCCACCGCCCCCGCCCCCGCCGCCCGCCCCGCAGGACTCCGGCCACGAGCTCCTGTCGTCGGACTTCTTCCTGACGTGGAAGCAGTGGGCGCAGGAGGTCGCGGTGCTCGGAAACAGCATCATTGTAGCGCTGCGGCCCCAGGTGGGGCTGTGGTCGTACGTGTGCCTCAACGCGCACTCGATGAGCTGCGAGGACATCACTGTCTCGCAGTTCCTGCGCCTCAAGGAGCGCCTCATCAAGCTCGAGACCGAGGAGGGGAAGCCCGTCGTGGAGAACAAGCTGGTCAGTCTCGCGGACGACCCGTTCACGCTCGAGATCGACATGGAGCCGTTCAACAACGACTTCCCGAAAATGACGCGCTCGTCCTGGATCGGCCAGGGCGTCCAGTTCCTCAACAGGTGCGCGCACGCGCCGTGACTCGACCACTGATGTCTTCTGTTCCGTTCCCACGCCGCGACTGCCCCGGCTCTCCCCTGCTCCCGCTCCCACGGCCAAAATATTAAATCATTCCGCTCGGCCCGCGCAGGTACCTGTGCGCGCAGCTCTTCGGCGCGCAGCGCGCCCGCAGCACGTCGGCGTCGTCGGTGGCGGTGCAGTCCTTCGACATGCTCCTGGAGTTCATGCGCACGCTCGAGCACAAGGGCGAGTCGATCCTGCTCGACCCCGAGCGCATCAAGACGGCGCGGCAGCTCTCGACCGCGCTCGCGCGCGCGGACCGCGTCCTGAACGCGCACGACGAGCAGCACGCCCACGGCGACGAGCGCCACGAGAAGCACGCCGTGCGCGCCGTGATGGCGCGCCTCAAGGACCTCGGCTTCCAGAACGGCTGGGGCAACACCGTCGCGCGCATCCGCGAGACGTTCCACCTCCTGCAAGATCTGATGCAAGCGCCCGAGGAGTCGACGCTCAAGAACTTCCTCGCGCGGCTCCCGATGGTGTTCAGCGTGGTCATCATGTCCCCGCACGGCTTCTTCGGGCAGTCGGACGTCCTCGGGCTCCCGGACACGGGCGGCCAGGTGGTATACATCCTTGACCAGGTCAAAGCGCTGGAGCGGGAGATGGCGCGCCGGATCCACGAGGCCGGGCTCGACGCGACGCCGCGGATCCTCGTCGTCACGCGCCTGATCCCCGAGGCGCGCGGGACGACGTGCGACCAGCCGCGCGAGAAGATCCACGGATGCGAGCACTCGATGATCGTCCGCGTGCCGTTCCGGGACGGGAGCGGGATCGTGCGGCCGTGGGTGTCGCGGTTCGACGTGTGGCCGTACATGGAGCAGTTCACGCTGGACGTCGCGAGCGAGGTGCGCGCGGAGCTCGGGGGGAAGCCCGATTTCATCATTGGCAACTACAGCGACGGAAACCTCGTGGCGAGTCTCCTGGCGACGCGGATGGGCGTGACGCAGTGCAACATCGCGCACGCGCTGGAGAAGACCAAGTACCCGTACGCGGACATCTACTGGATGAACCAGGAGGAGAAGTACCACTTTTCGTGCCAGTTCACTGCGGACCTGATCGCCATGAACACGGCGGACTTTATCATCACGTCGACGTACCAGGAGATCGCGGGGACGCGGGACACCGTCGGGCAGTACGAGAGCCACCAGCACTTCACGATGCCCGGGCTGTACCGCGTCGTCAAGGGCATCGACGTCTTCGACCCCAAGTGCGTGTTCCTAGTACTAGTATTCAAACAAAAACCATCATTCCCTATTTGTTTGTGTTTTTTTTCTCCCCGCTCTCTCTTGATTGTCGTGCGCCGGCTGCGTGCGCGGCGATCGCAGCGGGCAGCACGCGCGCCCCGCCGTGTGCGCGCGCCGCGCCTCCGCTGCGCACGTTGCCGAGTGCGCGCTATGTCTGCGGCCACGCGCAAGCGCGATGTGCTCTTCCGCGCCGACCGGCACCGCATGGCTGCTGCGCCGGACGCGAGCCCCGTCGCGGCGCGCTGCCGCGGCCGCGGACGCGGTCCCTGCCGGCGAGTGGGCGCAGCTGTCTCGCCGCGCACACACACCCACGACGCAGCGACGCGAGACTGCCCTCTGCGCCGTTTGCGGGGCCTCCGCGCTCGCACGCTGCGCAGCCGCTCTGCTGCAGCCCGGCACCACCTCTCAGCGCGCCAACGCACCACCTAACCCCGTCGCCGCCGCACGCGCAGGTTCAACATCGTGAGCCCCGGCGCGGACCAGGAGGTCTACTTCCCGTACACGGACAAGGAGCGCCGCCTCACGGCGCTGCACCCGGAGTTCGACGAGCTGCTGTACGGCCCCGAGGGCGACGGGCAGACGGCGGTGGGCTACATCAGCGACCCGAGCAAGCCCGTGCTGTTCACGATGGCGCGGCTCGACAAGGTGAAGAACCTCACGGGGCTCGCGGAGTGGTACGCGCGCTCCGACAAGCTGCGCGAGCTGTGCAACCTGGTGATCATCGGCGGGGTGGTGGACCCGGACAAGAGCGGGGACCGCGAGGAGCGCGACCAGTGCGAGCGCATGCACGAGCTCGTCAAGGTGCGCGCGCAGTCTCCGCCCGCACGGCCCTCGAACTGCCTGTTTCTCGCGCCCTCCGTTGCGCAACTTGTTTCGGCCGCCGGGATCTCGGCACGTGGCGCCGTCTCCGTCCGCCGCCCCTCACGTGCGGCGCCGATGCCCGCCTCGCGTGCACGCAGAAGTACGACATGCGCGGCAGCTTCCGCTGGATCGTGAAGCAGACCAACCGCGTGCGCAACGGCGAGCTGTACCGGTACATCGCGGACCGCCGCGGCGCGTTCGTGCAGCCCGCGCTGTACGAGGCCTTCGGGCTCACCGTGATCGAGGCCATGACGTGCGGCCTCCCGACCTTCGCGACCAACCGCGGTGGTCCCGCCGAGGTGATCAAGCCGGGGGTGTCTGGGTTCAATATCGACCCGTACCACGGCGACCGGGCGGCGCAGATGATGGCGAACTTCTTCGAGCGCTGCCAGCGGGAGCCGGAGCACTGGGACAAGATCTCCAAGGGCGCGATCGACCGAATCATGAACAATTATACCTGGGAGATTTACGCCGACCGGCTGCTGACGCTGCAGAACATCTACTCGTTCTGGGGCCACGCGACGCGCCTGGCGCGCACCGACGCGCGGCGCTACCTCGAGATGTTCTACATGCTCAAGGTAACACCCCCCTGAGGCTTTTCAGCACTCCCCCCCCCCGTTTCCTGTGGTTTCGAGGGGCCTGTGCGCCGGATCGCGCATGCGCGCAGCGCGTGGCCGTCGCGGCCGACACGCGCGTTCGCGTTTCCTCGTCCGCGCGCGCAGATGCGGCCCCTGGTCAAGACAGTCCCCACGGTGGACCGGCAAAACACCCCCTCCATCCTCGAGACGGCCGGGCCGCTGCACGGCGCGGAGGACTGCGGCCCGCCGATGCACGACGTGACGCCCTCGGGCGCGACGTCCTTCCCGGACCGTCGCTCCTCAGGCCTCATCGCGACGTCGGCGGGGAGGGCGGTGCCGAAGATCGCGACGCCCTCCGTCGACGTGAACGACCCGCACCTGCCGCTGTCGTCGCCGTCTTTCAACCGCGGGCTCCTGCACCTGTAGGGCGCGATGCGGGGGCGCGGTGCGCGACGCGAACCTGCGGGCGGGGGGGACGCGCGCGACGTGCTGCGGTGTGGAGCGCGGAAGGAGCGAACGTGGGGATCTAGAGGGGTGGTGCGGAAGGGCAGGGACGGCCTGCGGCCCGTCGCGGCGCGTCTTGGATCCTGAACGAAACGAAGCAACCAGCAAATACCAAACAGTAAGTAATTCTCGTGTGAGACCAGTTATCCTGACTGGCTGTTGTGTCCGGAAACCGGGACCGCTCGCCGGGTGCTCCAGGCTCGCCTGAGCGCCCCTGGATTCGCGGAAGAGCACGTGCGCCTCAGTCCTAGGACAATAGTCAACGACTCCGAGCTCCCAAAAACACCCCCCCGCGTGTTGCCCGCCGGCTCTTCCAGCGCGCAAGCGCCCTGCGCGCGCTTCGAGGAGCGCGCACGCCGAGGCTGTCCTGCGTCGCGTGCGGCCGCGAGGCCCCGGGACGCGCGATCTCCCCCGGGGGCGCCGGTGTTGCGGCGTCAGACGTGGGGCCCCGGGCACGTCGGGCGGCGCCTCCAACCACCCGCTCACTCTCAAGCTACACAAGAGCGGACCTCGCGGACATTTCTGACCAGCGTGCAAAGGCCGGCGCTGTTCCCGCAGAGCAAGAAACAACTGACACCAGAAAAGGAGCGATGGCGGGCGGAAACTCCGACGACGGAGGCTGCAAGCACATCCCGGAGATCGTGCTGACCTCGGTCGCGGCGGCGTGCCTGGCGGCGGCGGGCATCGTGCTCGGGTGAGTCCCCTGCGGCCGCTGGCAGTTCGGCATCAAGACACCGCTGTCGCGGGCCGCTCGCGCGGCTCCGTGGTCGCAAACCGCACGGAATCGATTGGTGTTATTTGGCGTAGCGTGGTTTTGGCCCGTCGCGGTCTAGGCCGTGCCGCCTGGCGCCGTCACACGGGCTGTTTCTGCGTCGGCGAATGAACGCGTCGCATTGGCCTGATGCAGCTGCTCGCACGATTCCACCGCAACGCAGGGTCAGGAAGGCGAAGAAGGACAAGGACTGAGCGATGTGCCCGTCCGGGACGACCGGAGCGTCGTCACACGTCGTCGAACGCTCGTGTTCGACCCATGCATGCTTGAGGGGCAAAAATGATCGACCGGGGCCGTTGGACGGGCCTCTGGATTTGCGGAGCGCGAAATCGGCATACTGGATTTGCTCGCGTCAGCCCGGGGCGGGGCCGCCGCGAGCGTCAATGTGAGTGCTCGCCCTCAACCCGGCTAGTTCGCGGTCGCCTCGCGCTTCATGGCCTGCTCGCCGCTGCCGTGGAACTGCAAATCGTACGGGTTGTCGCCCTGCGTCCCGAAGTCGCGGTCCGTCGCGTAGTGCGCCAGCGCCGGCACCTCCTGCACGTCACCAAGCAACATCGCCCTCGATCGTCGTCGCACGACGCCGCGAAGGCCGCACGAGCGCTCCACGCGAGCCAGACATTTCCTCCCCCCGCGCACCTGCCCGAGAATCTGCTTCGTCGCCAGCCGCGCGATCGCGGGCGCCAGCGTCACGCCCGAGTGCGACACCATCAGATACGCCTTTCCCTCGTGCCTGGGCAGCCAGCCGACGACAGGGAGCCCGTCCGCGGGGTACGGGCGCATTCCGAGCGTCACGCGGCCGAGCTCCGTGCCCGCCAGAGCCGGGAGGACTCTTGCGGCAACAGACAGGACACGCTGGCCGTTGTCAGCGGACGCGTCGTCGGCTCTCGCGCCGCCCGCGGACCCGTTCTGGTCCTCTCCGATCACGACGACCCCGTCCCGGCGCTGCAAGCACGCCGCGTGTACGAGGCGCGTCAGGCACGAGCGCAGCGCATCGACAGGGGTGGCGACGACGACGACGCGAGCAGCAGCTCGCCGACACCGCAGCACGCCGGGACCGCCCCGGGCGACCATTCGCGCTCCACAGCCCGAGCACTGAGCGCGGTCGACACGCAAGCAAGCAAGCACTGCGCGTGGCAACCGCCGCCTCAAGCAGACAACAGCAGCCACGCACACGCACCTGGAGCATGTAGCACGACGGCGCGACGACGATGTGCTTCAGCGTCCCCGGCGGCATCGGCGCCGTGTGCACCAGGATGCCCGGCCGGTGCAACATCGGCACCTCCGTCCCGAGTCCCGCCGCGAGCGTCCGCGCGTCCACGCCGCCCGCCAGCACCACCGCGTCCGCCTCGACCGCCTCGGCCTCGCCGGACAGCGTCAGCCTGACACCCCCCCCCTCCACGTGCACGTAGTCGGCCGACTGCCCAAAGATGACGCGCGCGCCCAGGCGCTCGGCCTCGGCGAGGATGGCCTCCGTGGCCTGCACGGGGTCGCAGAGGCCCTCCTGGCGGTAGATCCGCGTCCCGTGCGCCGGCGGCGCCGCCAGCGGTGCGAGGCCCGGCTCCGCCGCTGTCAGTTGGTCCTGAGTCAGGGGGTCGGACGGGTACGCCTCGCCCTGGCCGCCCGTGGCGTCGTCGAGGACGATGCAGCCGTTGAAGTCTGCGCGCAGGAAGCGACGCGCGGCAGCGCCAACTTGAATTGTTGCATCAACATGCGGTGGCGGGTGCGCGTGTGCGGGAGGGCAGTGGCGCGGAGAGGGCACAGGCCGTGCGGTGCGCGGGGCGCGAAGGAGACGGAGCCCGTGGGAGCGGTGCTGCGCGCCGGAGCAACGCACTGGTCCCTTCCCAAACACTGGTGAACAAACAACCAGCATTAAACATCATGGTCGGCGTCAACGCGGGCTCGATCGGCACCTCCAGCCCCGCGCGCAAGAGTACGTGCAAGAAGCAGGAGCGTCCCTGGCCGGCAGCGCTGCGCCTCACGGCGCGGTGTTGCACTATGCCATGCTGCACGTGGGGCGTCGGCGCACCTGCGAGCTGGGACAGCAGCGGGTCCGTCTTCCAGATGTCCATGCCCATCAGGTTGAGCTCGCGGTAGTGCACCGGCTCCTTCCTGTTCGCGTTCAACCACGCCCACGACGCCGCTGCGCCACACGCGCAACCAGAGGGGGGGTATTGCGTGTTGCCCGATAGGGAAAGGGGGGGGTGTTGCGGCCGCGCTCAGCCTTCGAGCAGATCACACCCTCGCTGCAACGAAACAGGACGGCGAGCGCGCGGGCCGCGCGTGCGTGGTGTGCGCGTCAGCGGGCGTCGTAGTCCCTAGGGGGGGGGGTTGTTGTCGTACCTGTGCTGACGGTTCCCGGGCGGTCCGCGCGGTCGACGACGGTCACGGGGACGCCGTTGCGCGCGAGCTCCAGCGCCATGCACGCGCCCAGGATACCCGCGCCCACAACAGCGACGCGTGGGACGTCACCGCGCGGGGCCTCCGACGCCGCGGCGCACCGCACCTGCGCGGGCGGGTCGCGGGGGGCGAGAACTTGAGGACGAGGGGCCGCCGAGGCCGGCCGCGGCCGACGCGGACGCGCAGCGGAGGCCGCAGCCCGGTCGCCGCTGCGCGTGCCGTTGACTTGGACAGGGGCAGCGGCAGGACACAATTGGCGGCTGGTGCGACAAATTCTGCCCGGAAACGCGAAGAACATGTCGTGGGGAGCGCGGGAATGCGTCGCGGTGGGGCGGAGAGGCGGCGCGCACCGCGCTGCGGGCGCTAAGGGTGGTGAGGTGTGCGGAGCCTCCGAGGGAGCAGACGTGCCGGCCCCGGCGCTGCGCGCGGGTTCTCGCGGCGTGGGCGGCGCCCGAGGGTACTGGCGGCGTCGCGGGGGCGCAGTTCGGGCGCCTGCCCGCGACGCTGGGGCCGCGGACGACGCAAGCGTCGCTGGAGAGCACCAGCTGCATCGTGCGTGCGTTTCGCGTCGGACAGCGCGTCTCCGCGGGTTTTCCGGTCCTTCCAGTGCGCCTCGGGGCGAAGTGGCCGCCGGGGCTCGGTAACCGCTGCCAACGAGGGCGGGACAGGCCCACCTGCGGTCAGGGAAGAAACACACCTCGGAGTGTCCCCCCGGGGCGCGCGCGGGCGCGTTCTGGGGCCGCGGGGCGCGCGGAGCGCGGCAGCTCCGCCCGCGCGACGCCGTGGTTCCGAGAAGTCACCGCCAGTCGAGAATTCCCGAGTTCCCGCGCGCTGCAAAGATGATCACTCCGGACCCGGGCAACCACCTCCCGCTAACCTCCGAGAAGGCGACGGTGCGCGCCCCGCTCCGCCAGACGCGATATCTGCCGCGAGACACGCGGAATCCGCGCCGCAGGGCCCGCTGCGCGCGCTGCGGACCGTCGGCCGCGCGGGCTGGGTCCGGTAGCAGCGCTAGCGTCCCCGCAGCGGCGCGCGTCGCGGGGGGCGTGACGTCGCGCGCCGCGGCGGCCGATAGCGTCTCTGCGGGCGTGCGAATGGTTTTTCTCGGCTGAATCGCGCTCTATTGGTCGGAATTGCGCGGTCGCGCGTGCAGGTGGGCGTGCTCGGTGGCGGAGCCTGGGGCACCGCGCTGGCGATCCACGCGGCCCGCGCTGGCCACGCTGTGCTCCAATGGGCCAGGTGCGCTACGATCTAGCCTTGTACGGCGCAATGGGTGGCGCGGAGCCCCGCGAAACGCCGCAACGCGGGCCCCAGCGCGCTTGGCCAGCGGAGGCGTCTTTTGCCCGAGAGCGCCCGGGGGCGCGGCCGCCGTGTCTGGTTTCCCGGCGCGATGGAGCGTCGTTGATGTCGGTGTCGTGCAGGGATGGAGCGACGGTCGAGGCGATGAACAAGGACCGCGAAAACCCGGTCTATTTGCCGGGCATTCGTCTTCCGCCCAACCTGAAGGCGACGACGGACATGAGGGCCGTGTTTGACTTCTGCGAGATGATCCTCATGGTCATTCCGTGCCAGTACGCAGGCGAAGCGCTGCAGCAGGCCGCCGAGTGGATCCGTCCGGGCCACATCATTGTCTCGTGCTCCAAGGGCATCGTGAACACGACGCTCGAGACCCTCGACGAGGTCTTCGAGGTGCGCCGCCCCACCTCGACCTCCGCGACCCCCCTGCCTGCCCCACACGCCCGCATTCTGCCCCTTCTCCCCGCACGAGAACTCCTCACGAGACCTCGAATACACATTACCAACTAATCAAGAACTCATAATTACCGTTCACTCTCCATGGTTGCGTGTCTTTCTCGCGACCATGTGCCGCCCGCCCCGGTCCCCGCAGCGCATCCTCCCGCCGCACACGCAGCTCGCGTACCTCTCCGGCCCCTCGTTCGCCAAGGAGGTCGCGCTCGACAAGCCCACGTGCGTCACCATCGCATCCAAGTCGCCCGAGACCGCCGCGCGCGTCCAGCTCCTGCTCTCCACGCCTATCTTCCGGTGCTACCGCACCACGGACGTCGCGGGCGTCGAGATGGGCGGCGCGATGAAGAACGTCCTCGCGATCGCGTGCGGTATCTCCGACGGCCTGGAGTACGGCGCAAACGCGCGCGCGGCTCTTATTACGCGCGGGCTGCTGGAGATCGCGCGCATGGCCGCGGCGCGCGGCGCGAACCCGCTGACGATGTCGGGGCTGGCGGGCATGGGCGACCTCGTGCTGACGTGCACGGGGGACCTCTCGCGGAACCGCACGCTGGGCATGAGGATCGGGAAGGGCGAGAAGCTGAGGGATATTCTGGCGAGCACGAAGTCGGTCGTGGAGGGCGTGGTGACGAGCGCGAGCGCGCACAAGCTCGCGGAGAAGCTCGGGCTCGACTGCCCCGTCGTGCGCGGCATCTACAAGGTCCTCCACGAAGGTGAGACTCCGCGCAAGGGGATGTGTGGGTGTTGTGCGAGTGGGGCGCGGTGCGGGGGTGCGCGGCCGCTTGCGGGCGGGGGATATGTGCCCGAACACGGCTGCATCGGTGCCGGCTGCGGGCGCGAGCTTGGCAGAATGCAGAAATGAATTCCTAGTCGTGGAATCTAGCACACAAATGCGCGCGTGCGGCGGTCTGTATCTGATTGCTGCACGGCTCGAGTTTCCGCCTTCGAGCACGCTCCGACCGCTTGCCGTCCGGTCGTGTCGGAACGCTGCTCGCGTCGCGGGCACCGGCCCCCATCGCCACGCGACCGATCTCCGCCGCCGCTCTCTCGCGCAGACAAGGACCCGCGCCAGATGGTTCTGGAGACGATGAGCCGCGCGCTGAAGCCGGAGATCGAGGACGACATCACGATGGCCGCGGCCGTCAGCGTCGGCGGGTCCGGGCACGAGTGATGTCAACGCGACAACACGCTCTGGAGCCTGTTCTGCGCAACAGCGACGCGGTGCCGCGGCCCGCGCGCACAGCAGCGTGCGGTTGCAGGTCAGACCATGTACATTGAATTCCGTCAGCGAATCACTGCGCGCGCGCGCCGTGTGACGTGTTCCGACTACAAACACCCCCCCTTCCCCTTTTTCCGGCCACGTCAGGGCCGCTCTGCCCCCGCCAGCACGCCGCCGGTACAGCACCGTCGAGCACGGCACCGCTAGCATCGTCGGGTCCGGTGCCAGACAGCGGAGGGAGGCGCATTGATGCGTGATAGTTTTCTCCCACGGCAGCTTTGGGGGGGCACTCAGTCGGCAGGCATTGGCACGCCTCACTCAGCGCTTGAACGCGCGTTCGGTCCGACTCTCTGACCGCCGCACGCACGCAGCTGCGCACCCACCTCGCACGCAGTTGACCACGACGCGGTGCAGAGTCTGCACCGCGCACACAAGTCGCAGGCCGGCGGCCCGCCTACCTCCTCCTGACAAGCCGCGCCCCGCCCCCTACCTGCTCGTCCCCCTCCGCCTCCACGCCCCTCACCTCCACCACCGACCCCTGCCCGTCACCGTACACCCCGTACTGCTTGTTGCCGCGCACCCAGCCGCGCTGGACATGCAGGTGCGCGCCGCCCGCCACGTGGATGCCGTTCGTGAGGTTGTCGTCGCAGATGAGCCCGTCTGCGTCCACCTTGGTGCCGGCGAAGGTGGCGCAGAGCCCGTTTTGCTTGTTGTCGCACAGCCGCCCGCTCACGTGCAGCTTCGCACCACGGGCCGCAGTCGCGCCGTGCCTGTCGTTCGCCTCGCACACCACGCCCTCCGCCCGCACCTCCGTACCCTCGTCGGAAGCGCACACGCCGCTCCACTTGTTGTTGCACAACCGCCCGCTCGTGCAGCTTCGCACCACCCTCCACCAGCCGCGCCTGCGTTACGCCATTCGCCTCGCACACCGCGCCCTCCGCCCGGCCTCCGCCCCGTCGCCGATGGCAAACACGCCGGCTGTCCTTGTTGTTGCAACCGCCCGCTCGTGCAGCTTCGCACCGCTTCTCTCCGCAACCGCGCGGTGCTTGTCGTTCCTCGCACCGCCCTCCCGCCCGCACCTCCGTGCCTTCGCCCGCTGCCATACACGCCGCTCCGCATTTGCTGCGGCTGCCCACCCCTCAGGTGCACCTTCGCGTCGCCTTCTCCGCGGCCGCGCCGTGCTACAATTCCTCGCACGTCACGCCCTCCGCCCGCACCTCCGTGCCCTCGCCGCTGCCAAGCACGCCGCACTCCTTGTTGTTGCACAGCCGCCCGCTCACGTGCAGCTTCGCACCATCCTGCGCAGACGCGCCGTGCTTGCTGTTCCCCTCGCACACCACGCCCTCCGCCCGCACCTCCGTGCCCTCGTCAACTTATACACGCGCTGCACGTGTTTGTTGCACAACCGCCGCTGCAGCGTCGCACCACCCTCCGCATACGCGCCGTACTTGCTGTTCTCCTCGCACACCACGCCCTCCGCCCGCACCTCCGTACCGTCGAAAGCGCACACGCCGCTGTCCTTGTTGCTGCACAGCCGCCCGCTCACGTGCAGCTTTGCTCCCTCCACCGCAGCCGCGCCGTGCTTCCCGTTCCCCTCGCACACCACGCCCTCCGCCCGCACCTCCGTCCCTCCATCATAAGCGCACACGCCGCTGTCCTTGTTGTTGCACAGCCGCCCGCTCACGTGCAGCGTCGCGCCGCTCTCCGCACATACGCCGTCCATGCCGTTCCCCTCGCACACCACGCCCTCCGCCCGCACCTCCGTCCCCTCCCCCTCCACTCTCAGCCCGTCCCCGCTGTTTCCCGTGAACGCGCACCGCTCCATCGTCACCTCCGCCCCGCCCATGACCTTCACGCCACACCCGCCCTCGTCCTCGTTGCCACCCTCGACCTCCATCCCCGCGCAGCCCCCATCCACTCGGCACTCCACCATCCGCACCTCCCGCGCCCCGCACACCCTCACCAGCGCCTCAACCCCCCCGCACCCCTTCCTCACGCCACCGCGCACCACATCCACCCTCTCCAACCGCGTCCCGCTCGCGCCCGCCTGCACCTCCACCGCCACGCCCCGCAGCACGCCATTCTTCACCGTCACGGGCTGCAGCAGCTCCACCACGCTTCCCTCCTCCCCGACCACCGACCGCCCCCCCAGGTCCACCACACCCCCGGGGCCCTTGGACGCCATCAGCGACCGCAGGTCGTCCAGCGTGCACTCGCGCGCGTCGCCCGCGCCCGCGCCGGAGCCGCCGCGCGACGCCGCCATCTCCGCCCGCATCGACTCCAGCATCTCCTGCGTGCGCGCCTGCGCCTCCTGCTGTTGCTGCAACATCGTCGCAAGGTCTGCATTGTCCACTCGCGCGCGTTTCGCGGGGCGTGACGGGCCCGCGCCGTCGCCCGAGGACCCGGCCGTCATCGTGTCTGGTGTGCCGTCCCGCGTCGCTCGCTTAGAGTCGTTCCGTGTGCGATCCTGCGCCCGGACAGATGGTGCACTGGGGAATCACCGGCCAGGGGGTCGCGCAGGTGATTCAGTAGCGCGGCTCGCACAGCGCGCGAGTCTGCACGCGACACGCATGATCCAACAAGCGCCCACCCGTGACCCAGCGCCTCTCCACCACGCCGCACGCCAGCCCGAGGCGGTGGGCGCTAGCAGTTGGCGGGGCTCGCTCGCACGTCGCAGCAATCACCGCACGCATCGAGCACGCCTCGCGCCCGTGCTCGCATCATCAGTCTCTCACCTCACCGCACTCGGCAAGCACGCCAGTGCGACCGCCCGGCCCAATTTGCGCACAGCCTCTTGCACAAGGAACCTGCTGCAGCGCTGACGTGCAAACGGTCGGTTCGCCGCCCTGACAGCCTCGAGTGACAGCATGTATCCGCCGCACGCGCCCTCGTCGCCGCCCGCGCCTCTGCGAGCGCGCACGGCACGTCCCGCGACACACACCCCCACCTGCTGTGTCAGGCCCGGCCGGGGCAAAGGGGCGCCGGGGAACATGCAGAGGAGCCGTGCGTGTCGGTGCGGGTCTGGCGCCGCCCTCCACCACCGTCCGCACGTGCGCCCGCTCCTCGTGCGTCGTTTGACCCCCAATGTGCAACATGAGGCCCATCGCCGCAGAATCGGTCGCAAGCCCGCCCAGGTGAGCCCGAGCCGCAGCGCCGTGCTGCGCCGCGCAGGTGCCGCGCCCGGGACCCATGCAATGCACGTGGCCTCATTGCCTTAGCGCACAACCCTTGCTGCGTTGTCATCATCGTCGCCCAGCACAGCACAGCACCTGCCGCGCACGCCGCCCCCACGCACATCAGCCGCCCGCCCGCGCTCAGCGGCTCAGAGCCCGCCGCCTCACATGCACTCATGCTCACAGTCCGCCCCCCTGCAAACCACGCAGCAGCCCACAAGCATTTGCCACCCACACTTGCAGGCCCGGCGGCCCGCCTACCTCCTCCTCACGACCCGCGCCCCGCCCCCCACCTGCTCGTCCCCCTCCGCGTTCCCCTCCGCCTCCACGCCCCTCACCTCCACCACCGACCCCTGCCCGTCGCCGTACACCCCGTACTGCTTGTTGTTGCGCACCCAGCCGCGCTCGACATGCAGGTGCGCGCCGCCCGCCACATGGATGCCGTTCGTGAGGTTGTCGTCGCAGATGAGCCCGTCTGCGTCCACCTTGGTGCCGTCGAAGGTGGCGCAGAGCCCGCTCCACTTGTTGTTGCACAGCCGCCCGCTCACGTGCAGCTTCGCACCACCCTGCGCAGCCGCGCCGTGCCCGCCGTTCCCCTCGCACACCACGCCCTCCGCCCGCACCTCCGTCCCTCCGCGGCTGGCAATCACGCCGCACTCCTTGTTGTTGCACAGCCGCCCGCTCACGTGCAGCTTCGCCCCACCCTGCGCAGCCGCGCCGTACTTGCTGTTCGCCTCGCACACCACGCCCTCCGCCCGCAGCTCCGTGCCCTGGTTGAAAGCGCCCACGCCGCTGTCCTTGTTGTTGCACATCCGCCCGCTCACGTGCAGTTTCGCACCCCTGGCTGCACATGCGCCGTGCTTGCCGTTCCCCTCGCACACCACGCCCTCCGCCCGCACCTCCGTCCCCCCGCCTCTGCCATACACGCCGCCGCCCTTGTTGCTGCACAGCCGCCCGCTCACGTGCAGCTTCGCGCCCTTCTCCGCGACCACGCCCTGCTTGCCGTTCCCCTCGCACACCACGCCCTCCGCAGTCACCTCCGTGCCCTCGTCGAACGCGCACACACCGCTGTCCTTGTTGCTGCACAGCCGCCCGCTCAAGTGCACCTTCGCTCCACCCTCCGCGATCATGCCGTGCAGGCCGCTCGCACACCACGCCCTCCGCCCGCACCTGTCCTCCCCTCCGCTGCCAGCCCCGCCCCTGCTGTTCCCCACCACCACGCACCGCCCACTCCGCACCCGCCCCGCCCTCCACCCTCACCCCGCAGCATTCACTCCCCCCCTCGCTCTCGCTGCCGCCCTCCGCCCCCGCCCCCGCGCAGCCCCCGTCCACCCGGCACTCCACCATCGCCACCTCCCTCGCCCCGCGCACCCTCACCAGCGCCCCCGGCCCCCGCCCCTTCCCCTGCCACGCCCCCGCGCACCACATTCACCTTCTCCAACCGCGTCTCCGCCGCGCCCGCATGCACCTCCACCGCTGCCCCGGCAGCACGTTGCTCCCGGCACCACCGCCTGCTCCAGCACCTCCACCACGCTCCTCGCCTCACCACCGTCCGCCCCCGCAGGTCCACCACACCCCCGGGGCCCTTGGACGCCATCAGCGACCGCAGCCCGTCCAGCGTGCACTCGCGCGCGTCGCCCGCGCCCGCGCCGGAGCCGCCCCGCAACGCCGCCATCTCCGCCCGCATCGACTCCAGCATCTCCTGCGTGCGCGCCTGCGCCTCCTGCTGTTGCTGCAACATCGTCGCAAGGTCTGCATTGTCCACTCGCGCGCGTTTCG